AGTAGGTTGTAAAGCAAACGTATGTGTTACTTTTCTTCTAAATTTGTAAGTGATTTTTTATTTTTTATTTAATATACATAACGAATGAATCCTAACTCAGATTGTAAGTTCAGAATAACTCGTGTTTATATAGTTTTAATTTCTTTTGATTACCTTCTCATCTATTAGGTAATCTTCCTTACGTAATGGTTCATTAGTAATACGCATCTATTTTTGTATTAGTAATGTGATTACGTAACATCTTGTTATGTAATATTCTAATACGTAATTTTCTCGTGATCTTTCCATTTTATTGGTAAAACATTCTAGATATACTTCTATCATATTATTTCCGTCAATTCAGCATGCCCTTATATCCATCATACTTTTACAGTACATTTAGCTATATTGGAATGCTGCTTTCTATTTTAAACAGCAAACTCATTTCCCTTTACCATGTTACATTAACTAAACAGCAGGAGTAAGAATTTTTGGTTTTTTGTGCTTGTACATTAAAATAGTTATTAGAAATTTCAAAATTTAGAAATCTTGTTCCTCGTGGCCCAATGGTCACGGCGTCTGGCTACGAACCAGAAGATTCCAGGTTCGAGTCCTGGCGGGGAAGATTAATTTTTTGCCCACACGCACTCTGTTCTTTTTTTCTAAGACATATATCCATACTATTGTGTTAAACCTCATTTCTCCTTTTTTTAACTTGCAAAAAGTATGTTTGAAAGTGTACTATAACTATTACCATTCTTTTTTAGTTGAAATCGTTATGTACGAGGTAGTTTCCTTTAATATTGAAAGAAAGGAAAAAACAAAATGCCTGAAAAAAATTAATAAATTTATTTTACCAGCGAAATTAATTATATAAACGTTAACGACTATTTTTCACATACAAGAGAGCTTTTTTGTTTAGTATTAAAGCTTGACTTTACTTATAAATAGAATAATACAACAAATAAAATACATATATAATGTCTGGTCGTCAAGGTGGTAAATTAAAGCCTCTAAAGCAAAAGAAGAAGCAACAAAACAACGATGATATGGACCCTGAAGAAAGAGCTTACAAGGAAAAGCAAAAGGCAGATGCTGCCGCAAAGAAGGCCATGATGCAAAATATCAAGGCTGGTAAGCCATTAGTAGGTGGTGGTATCAAGAAGTCTGGTAAGAAATAGATTTTCGTTACGCTTCCATAGATTATATATATATCTCTATATATCATTAATACATACGTTTAATCAATGTGCACATAATATGAAATGTCCTTTTCTCATCACTACAACAATCTCTGTGTGGGAATTTTTTTATAAACGTGGAGGGTAACTATTGTTACTTATTTTCTTCACGGAATTTAAACCGAAATTCAAAAGCACGAAGCTAGAAGAAGACCCCAACAAACAAGCATTGAGAGAATTTATCAGGTTGTTTTAAAAGATAGGAATCATTTTTTTAGCACTACCACATTGATAGATAAATTAACGACTTCAACTATTTTAATATAATATTTACCATTTTCTAGTATTTTAAAGGGTTCTTTTGTTTTAGAGATACGTATACCAGATTACCCTAATATACTTTCCTTTCACCATCCATATAAATCAAAAAATAATAAATTATGAGTACAGCACCAAGTGCTTCACAGCAGACTAAGAAGTCTGGGAAGACTTTAAGTAAATACAAGATTGTGTTTCTTGGGGAACAGGGTGTAGGTAAGACTTCCCTGATAACAAGATTCATGTATGATACATTTGATGATCATTATCAAGCTACCATTGGTATAGATTTTTTATCAAAAACAATGTATTTGGATGATAAGACCATTAGATTACAATTATGGGACACAGCTGGACAAGAAAGGTTTAGATCTTTGATTCCATCATATATTAGAGATTCGAGAGTTGCAATTGTCGTGTATGACATTACCAAGAAAAAATCATTTGATTTCATAGATAAATGGATTGAGGATGTAAAAAATGAAAGAGGTGAGGAGAATGTTATACTTTGTATTGTTGGTAACAAGAATGACTTGACAGATGAAAGACAAGTCACTATAGAGGAAGGGCAAGAAAAGGCAAAAAAATTAGGTGCCAAAATATTTATGGAAACCTCAACAAAGGCGGGATACAATGTAAAGAATTTATTTAAGAAAATAGCAAAATCGTTACCAGAATTTCAAGACTCTAACTCCAACATTATTAATGAAACTACAGGTGCAGCAAGTAAAACAAATAATAACGCCGCTGGATCGAATGATACTAGTAAAGCAGGTGTTATAGATATCTCTACTGCGGACCAACAAGAACAAAGTACCTGTCAATGTTGAAATGGGTTCTTAACTCTATATTTAGGGGCATACAGATTATTTTCATCATCATCTACTTATCTCTACTATTCTGACCGTGTTGTGTTGGGTCTTTTTTTTTCTCTTCCCAACACATAATACAAACTTGATGTAGTTCATTACTATCATAAATGCATGTAATATTTCATAATATATAAAACATATTAGTATATAAATAAACAATCAATAACATATTGAAAAATGCCACAATAACTCGTTGGTAAAGAATCAAAATCTTAAAATTTTTCTTCTACATCTTATCGAATTGAGTGTCAACATATTTACCATCCCTTAGAAGTGTTTTGCATAATTTTGGCATAATTTCGACTTGTAAAGGTGCTAATGGGAATTTTTCTCCATCGATAGAGTAAAGGCCATTTGGACTTGGAATATCATCAAAGCTACCAGAAGAATCTGATGTAGCTTCCACAAAGTTATTATTATTAATTTCTTTGTCAGAGTTCTTTGGGATTAACCTGTAAGCAACAATCTTAGAATGAAGAACCTCAGGTTGTAAGACATGTGACCCCTTATCTAAAGCTAATAAAATAGGAACCATCCTGGTAAATGGTGTTCTCGAATCTGTGATAACCATATCCATACATCCATCAGCAGGCAATGCAGCAGGAAAGAATTTCGTATCAGCAGCGACATAAGGCATTTTACCTGAATAAAATATACCTAGATTATTTGTGACATGAGGATCAATTCTTTCCCAATCATCAGGAACGCCATTTTCAAATTTATATTTCGTTTGGAAATCACTCTCCATTACAAAATTATTGATGTCGGGTTCATTTGAACCTTGATCGTCTTGGATCGTTATTTCATTATTCAATTCAAGATTACCAGGAGTATTTGACATCGACGTCTCATCAGACTCCATATCACTTTCGTATTCATCATCTCCAATATATCTAATCTCGGGTTCTATTAATTCGGGTTTTTCAAGTATATCCACTTCAGAATCTTCTAGTTGTCTCTTGTATTTAAGATAATGAGATTTCAAATCATTCTTACTTTTTGCATGGTATTTCACATATATATCACATGGATATTTTTTCCTTTGTAAAATGTTAAATGCTACCCCTAATTCGAATCTAGCAGGCCCCATCCATCTGATAAATTCTGTATTGATATCCGATTCAGCAATTATACCATATGTTTGACTTAAAAATGATAATCTTGGGTATTCTGAACGTGTGGATGGTTGGCTACAGCACATGATGTCAATTCTTTTTTCAACTGACTTAATTAAAAATAGGGTTGCATATGACGGATTATTGGTCCAGTGGCATGAAACACTCATAGCGTTACCAGATCCACAGGGAATCTCTGTTATTGCTAACTTATTGAATGCTTCGACACGATCTGGTCTTTGAAAGAGTCCATTGATTACCTCGTGTGGGATACCATCACCAGATGCGCATGCGATTGTGTCATATTTCTCTATATTAATATTCTTGACGATATCCACGGCATGGCAGGGATATTTTGTATACACGACATCTATCTTAAAATTACTGGCCAGGAGTAATGGTTTTGCTTTCTTCTTAAATATCTTTTTAGCATTTTTTTTACCTCCAAATGGATTTATTATGACAAGTATAGATCTTTGGCGTTTTGAGTTTCTGTAACTTCTACTCAAAATTTCCTCTATTACTTCTTGTTTAGTACCACTATTTTCAATCACCAAAGTTAATGATTTTGGTTTAACATCATGTCTGGTTGGTTTTGCGAATGTTATTTCAATAATATGTTGATTTGGAAGGCGGCTCAATTGAGCTGGTAATATTTTGATTCTTTCTTCATTCTCCACAGTTTCTGCATTTAAAATTCTATCGTAGGATATCACCGTATTAGTTGGAAACTGACCATTCATTGAGCTGTAATTGTTTGAATTTCTCTTTGAATTCTTAATATCGGTTTTAGATTTATGACTTTGGTCACTATTTGTATCTACTGAAGAGTTCGAAGATGTATCATCGTCTCCATCATCACTTAAGCAGGTAACACAGCTAATAAGTGATGCAGTCTCGAAAGAGCTATCGTTATCCATACTACTTCTGAAACTTGTTGCGTTACTCGACATACTTGTCCTACTAGCGGAGAATTCCTTTGACATTCTTACCAATTCTCTCTCAGAGAGTTCTGACGTTGTTGGCTTTCTTGACTTAATCATTATTCCTTTCTCAGTCAAAATAGCTAATGATATTGGTCCTTTGTCCTTGTGTTTATGTTTTCTTTTTTTCTTTTGAGCTGAATGAATATCATTACTGTTACGAAGATAATTCAAATGAGAGTTACTATTGGTATTATTATAGAGTATTGTATCATCATCCAGTGGTAATTGAGATTGTGTCGTGTCCTTTTTTGATATATGTGAAGGTAACAACATCTTTTCATGTTTAGATAAATCATGTGGTATTTTTTTCAAAGAAGATTTTGTTGTATTATTTTCTTTACCACCTTGGTTTTCATGTTGAACCTCTGAATGGAATCCGTTAGTTAAATCATTCTGTTCTATTATAGGAGAGGACGATTTATATGATATATGTGATGTAACATCTTTTGAAATGACAGATGAAGAATTATTAGATTCATTTCTTGAAGAGGAATCAATTGAATTTGCTGTATTTGGATCCTTGACAATAGCATTGCTGTTATTATTTTTAAAATGTGGAGATGGTTTCTTAGGTCGGTCCAACACGTTAGGATGACCACCTAATATGATGTCCTCTTTTTTCTTACCATTGAAAGCAGGTTTGCTTTGGGTTTTATTACTTTTTCTTAGAAATTGCAACGTTGGAAATTTGTATATGTGTGGCTAAAATGTATTAAGAAGATAGACAGATCTCAAAATAAATCAAATAAGGAAATCGAAATAAATTTCTTATATTTTTTTTATTTTATTTGTCTACTTCTTAGAAACAAATTAAATAGTAAATTAGACGAAATAAAAATATAACTAATCTTCACAAAATATTATATTGAACCTAGTTTCTCTTAAATTTCTTTATCAATGAAGATCAAATATGTGGGTAAAATATCTTCGATCTTAAAAAAAATAGTTTTGCGAATGTGAGTAAATAATGAGCAAAAATATCGGTTTTCTTTCTTTAATTTGTAAATACCGACTTCAGCAAAGAAAACTATTCGAAAGTGTTATATTAGATGTTTAAATATATGTGCGTGATTGTGTGTTGTGTGTGTGTTAAAATAAGTTGATATGCTAGTTCCTTTTGGCAAATCTATTCTTTTTAACAGAAATGCGTGTCACTGCACGTATCGGATAATCTTTTGTCTTGTTTTTTAAGAACGCTTCCTAATTCCTGTGTGGTCTTGTATTTCCCTTCTCTCTCTATTAACTTTTTCTTATTACGTAAAGTAGAGAGAAGAGTAAATTAAAGCAGAGACAAAACATCAAGTAAGTTAGCACTTTATATATATTTATATTAGTTATTCAAGGTATGATCCTACCTATCCCCCCCAAGTTAATTACAAGTAGCTCTATAAGTTAAGCTCATATAATATTGCAATAGAATGCTGGTACCGTTGAATACGACGATCTTATCGGGATTCGCCACTGGTCCCCTACATATGACATTAAATTTTAGACCTCCGTCATCGACTTACACATATCAGTCTCGACAGAGCTGGCGACGTTAATAAGGTATATATTGGCTGATGTATTGGTTGATACACACCAATATATTCTTGTGCAGTTGTACGGTTAAATAAATAAGCTTTAAAGATCATCACACCGCCGCGTGAGATGAAGAAGCTAAAGAACAATAAAGAACAATACAAAAATAGCTGAACGGGAAGAACCTGGGTAATTTAGCGTTATATTCTTGTATTATACTTGTGTATTTTATTGATAACAGCGCATCATCAATTATCTATTAACAAAGTGTACCTCGAAGAAGACCGATGTAAGAGAAGTCGGCGCAGTTTCTGTATATGTATACATACATATTTTTTTTGTTTCCATAGGGTCAGTTTTTTGCCAAGATTAAAATTCTAACTCTTTTTTAGCTATCTTGGCGAAGGGGATGTAAAACTATATAATTAACTAACATTGTTCATGGAGAAGGTTGATTATTCTATAAATAACTATATATGTATATATACCTATGTATACATGAGTGTATGTGCGTGTATGAAGATAGATGAACAACTAGAAGGGCGTGGAACTTGGATTTTTTGCAAATACGTGTCTCTATTTTTCTGAGTTAGAATGTGGGAACGTGATCTGAGAATCTTTTACTATCACGGCACCGTTAGCATCTCTGTCCCTTGGTTTAATCCGTAATGATAATGGTAATTGGTTGCCGCCAGATGATGTTCCAATCATATGTGGTATCGTCTCTGCCGTGAAATTTATTGTTTCGCCAAGTCCATTAGCATCTTTATTTATATCCTTAATATCAAATGTATACCATGATTCATGTTGTGTATCATTAATGTCAATAGGTGATGAACCAATATTTATTTCTATGTCAGTATTGGTTGATATTCCCGAACTTGGCCCCTCTGTTGTAATATCTGCAGGAGAGACTGTTTCATTAGTATTAGTATTATTTGATCTTGGACGTAATGGAACAATAGATGGTTTAACTTTACCATTTTCATCAAAGACAGCTAAACGACAAATTGGACAAGTTTGCGATCTTTCCATCCAGTTCTTTAAACAAGATAAATGTAACATATGACCACAAGGTAATTTTTTGGGTCTTTTAAATTTTTTAATATTATCTATATCTAGTTGTGTTAAAAGTTTCTTTTCTTTATCATTATCATTTTCATGTTTTAAAATTTTATCTGATGGAATTGATACTAAATCATCCATACAGACAATACAAATATTATCATGATCCATTAAATCTATAATATCAATATTTGGTAATTTATCATCTAATTGTCTATTATTTTTATAAATTTTCCATAGACTAGTAATACCTTTATAAAGAGACATTAAATCCCATATTATATCTTTAATCACAACAATTTGTAAACGACATAATATTAATACATGTAATGCAGTCTTTGCTACTCTTGATACAATATCAATAATTTTTTCATAAATAAATTTATTTTCTAATCCGTCATCTGGTGAATCTTCATCATCATCATCGTTATCATTTATTTCTTCATCGGACTGAATATCTGATTCATCTGTATCAGAAAGTATTTCTGTTGGAATTCTTATATGATTATGATGACGGCGTTGTTGTCTTCTATCATTAAGATAAAATTCATAATAATTTAATATTGTATGAGATGCTAATTCAAGATGATCCACGAATAAGACACAAAATTCCATTCCAAATAATAAAAATACGCTCATATAACTATCATAATTACCTTTAATTTTTGCTTGAAAATTTCCTATACCATATCCAATATTAATAATTTGAACATCATCATCTGTTAAATCATTTCTGAATATATATTTTGTCCAGAAATAATGTGCAACCCAAAATTCTACAACACAAAATATTATTAAATTTCTAATATATTGCGAAAAGATTAAATTTCTAAATTTTGTTTCATTATTTATGGCCTGTAATCTTTGTTCCAATCTATCTTTAAGTATCCAATGATAAATCTTTAAAGCAATTAATCCACCTGAAAGACTTATTAATGTCATTAAATGATATTCTGAAAACATTGAAGTCATAATTATTATTCCTAATACAGAGAAAGGAACTCTTTCAAAGATATGTTCTTGTTCAATAAGTCTTAATTCTCCAAATAAAATCCATGTTATAACATTCCATATTAATGCAAGGTTTAAAAGTCCAAAGACCATAAGAATCAATAGATTCACACCACTACTTAATTTTAAGGACATCTGTAAAAATGTTCTTGAAGCATTGTATGAGTTGATTATAGCTGAAATAGTAAGAATATACATCACTACTGTAAAAGTAGCTAGTTGCTTCCTTCTTGTAGCCGTTAGCATATTAACTTATTATTACTTAATATTTTATAATTCTCTAACACCCCCAACACTCCTATATCAGAAAGCAAAATAAATCAAAAAAAAAAACAGAGCCCTAGATTGGTACAGGAATCAAATTTCACAGATATCAATAACCTCTTGAATTGATATAAATATATAAAGTTTTCACAATATTTGTTATTAAAGAAATGTTTACCAAACCTTTAAAAAGACTCAACAAAAATGTATGCCAATTATATTTCAATATGATATATTTTACTTATAATTTAGAGATACCTTTTTTCTCTATCACCGAAATTAAGATAAATACTCTAATATTATAAAATACAACATATATGATCCTCCATATAAGGAAACAATACACGTAGCACCTAAATTTGTGCTAATCAAAATTCACAATCAACTAAGAATTTCAAAAATATTTAGTTTTTCAATTTACGACAGCGCGCGCGCACTTTTCCCTCTCTTAAATCATTGCTTCTCTACGCTGTTTTCACTGAGATGAGAATAGAAAGAAGAAAATTTATTGTTAGTTACCCGACTTATTAATCTTTTTGAAGTCACGTGACCACATTTCTGATATCTGAAATTATTAAGAAAGCTCAGATTTTTCAGAAAATTTAAGGTCCCTTGGCCCAGTTGGTTAAGGCGTGGTGCTAATAACGCCAAGATCAGCGGTTCGATCCCGCTAGGGACCATTCTTTTTTTTTTTTGAAAGTTGTAGTGTTTTTTTACCCTAGTATTAGTCGAACCATTATTAACCACAACCTCATTATTATATTATATTCGATTGTTTGATTTTAAATATGCACGTAAACTGTTTCAACTAGTTTTGAGCTGTTTGTGTTTTAAGTAAAAAATAAAAGTCCATTGATTGAGATAAAAATATTCCATTCTTGTATGTGTGTATGTATGTATTAAATATGAGACTTTAAATTTTATTTTATTAATACAAATTGAATGAGGGGTATATATATATATAAAGAAAGAAAATACATATGTAGTTTTTAAAAGAAAAAGGTAAATGAAGAGAAATATAACCGTTCTAGAATATCGAGAGAAAAAGAGACATATAGATAGACAAAAATAAAAAAAAATTAAGAAAGGGAAGATAGTTTTTACAAAACAAATATTATTATCATATTCCTTTCAATAATACATTTTTTTTTTTTTGGTATATCTAAGTTTACTTTCTAGTCTTTTTTTCAACTTTCAATAATAAAGCTTTATTAATATGTGGTAAGACACCACCAGATGCAATAGTAGCTCTAATCAAAGAATCCAATTCATCATCACCTCTGATAGCTAATTGTAAATGTCTTGGTGTAATTCTTTTAACTTTTAAATCTTTAGCGGCATTACCTGCTAATTCTAATACTTCAGCGGTCAAATATTCTAAGACAGCAGTTAAATATATGGCAGCTTTAGATCCGACTCTAACTTTACCGCTAGCGTTTCTCTTCAAATAACGCTTAATTCTACCGACTGGGAATTGTAAACCTGCTCTAGCTGAAGATGATTGAGCCCCTAAAGCAGCTGAATCACCACCTGTCTTACCTTTACCACCGTGTGCTTTACCTCCTGACATTTTATATGTATATAAATTTAGTTTGTTATAGTGTGTAACAAATATTCACAGATCCTTCTTAATGAATAACAACACTAATTAAACTCGACAAATTAAATAGAAATATACTTGTTGTTTACCAAGTTATATACGTTAAAAACCTTTTATTCTTGTTAAAGTTTGTTGTTGATTTGTTTACAAAATACATCTCTTTGTTTGTTTATTTTTGTTTTTCTTCCTCGGTGCCGCCGCCTCCAACTCTCTCTCTCTCTCTCTTTTGCTTCACCCCCAAAAAATGCGAATTTCGCTGCGATTTCGAGGTACGGTGAGGGTAATACCCAAAGAATTTCCCAATTTGGAATTTCGAACGGCTGAATCTCAATTTTATTTAAAAAGGTCAAGACTATATACACTCTCTCATCTGTTGGCGTGAGATGTAGGGTGGTATAGATTTATGTATAGTTCGGCATTGTTGTGTGTTTGAAAGAAGAAATTACCTATATTTGGGTGAACAGAAATTTTTGCAACAGCTGCTATATATATGTCGGTCACTAATATATATGAACTGTGTCTGTAGGTGGCCATAGTGTAAATACACACAGGTCGCTGTGCAATATTTTAAATATTTTTGATCGATGACACTAAGATTGTTACTCTTTCTTTTATTTAATAAACTTGTTTTCACAACGTGGTCCACGTTGTGAAAACAATATAAAGCCAAAATATAATTACAATCCTGTTTCTGTTCTACGATGTTTTAAGTGAGAGTAAATCACTATGTATATTTATTTTGACTTTTCCTTAACTGTCCGAGGGACAAAGATTATCTCAGCACAGCGAAAGAACAGAGGAAGAAAAAAGCTTGCCGAAATTAGAGAAGTAATTTGATAATCGTACGAGCACCAAGAATTTCAAAGACAGATTCGTTGTCCTAACTAAAAACAATAACGAACTAATATGACATTCTAAGACAACAAACAGCTGATTTTTAGCTTCTTTTTTTCTTTATTTGTTTGTAGCTGTGAAATAGTTTAGAATCCCTGAAATAACTAACAACTTCCCTCGTGGATTCTTATTATTCCTTTTGCATTGTGCTCAGTTTGCAAAGTGAATTCTCTACATTTGACAGCCACATCATATCTACCTCTTTACTTAAAAACCCTTTATTTGCATTTTTTATTGTTTTAAAGATAGAAGAATGTTGGTAAATAAAGTTGTACGACCTTATGGTCTCTACGATTTATTGCTATTTTTCTTATTTTTATTTGCATTAATTATACCTATAACTGATGCAGCAAAGGATAAAAAACCAAAAATTGCATCTAATTATGCTCCAAAGAGAATTAAATGTCCAAATGATTCAAACAAACCTTTATTGAGAGAAGCTAATTCTATCTCCTTTGAAGAATCTAAATGGTTACATAAGAGAAAACAAGTTACTGTGCCTGCTTTAAAAAATTTCTTATTAAGAGCTACAGAAAATTTTGAAGATAATTCCTTTGTAGATCAATTATTTCAAGATGATGAAGATAATAATGTTCCGAAAATTGGAATTGCAATTAGTGGAGGTGGTTATAGATCAATGTTGACTGGGGCAGGTATCCTTTCAGCAATGGATGATCGCACAATTAACTCAACTGTAAATGGTCTTGGTGGTCTTTTACAATCTACCAGTTATATTGCAGGTGTCTCTGGTGGAAATTGGTTAGTTGGATCCTTAGCATGGAATAATTGGACTTCTGTTCAATCTATTATAGATAATTGGAATGTTGATGATAAAGATGATGATGATAATGATACTGATGAAAATGATAGTATTGAAGTTACAGAAACTGAAGAAGTTACAGGAGGTGAAGATGCAGATTATGAAGTGAATCCAATTTGGGATCTTCATGATTCAATCATTTCCCCAGGTGGGATGAATATTTTTAAATCTGCTAAAAGATGGGATCATATCTCCAATGCGATTCAAGCTAAACAGGATGCTGGGTTTGAGACTTCTTTAACTGATGTTTGGGGTAGGGCACTATCTTATAATTTTTTCCCAAATTTAAATAGAGGTGGGATCGATTATACTTGGAGTTCATTAAGAAATGCAAAGGTTTTCCAAGAGGCTCAAATGCCTTTCCCTATTAGTCTTTCAGATGGTAGGTATCCTGGGTCTAGTGTCATTAATTTAAATGCAACTTTATTTGAATTTAATCCGTTTGAAATGGGTTCTTGGGATTCCTCATTGAATGCATTCTTTGATGTTAGATATTTGGGAACAAATGTATCAAATGGTATTCCAATTAATCCTTATAAAGAAGAAAATACTGAAGCAACAACTAAGGTAACTAAAGATGATGTTGATGTTATAGAAGATAATCATGAATGTATTATCGGATATGATAATACTGCCTTTATTATGGCAACATCTTCAACTTTGTTCAATCAATTTTTATTGAGAATTAATTCGACAAAACTACCTGTTCCAAAATTTATAACAAGATTGGCTACACATTTCTTAAATGATCTATCTCAGGATTATAATGATATTGCTGTGTATCATCCAAACCCATTTAAGGATTCTCAATTTGTACTAGATAATTTCACAACAAGTATCACCAAGTCAGATAGTTTATACTTGGTTGACGGTGGTGAAGATGATGAAAATATCCCATTTGTTCCATTGATTCAAAAGGATAGAGATCTAGATATTATTTTCGCATTGGATAGTTCTGCAGATATGAAGTTGCAATGGCCTGATGGATCCTCTTTGGTTCATACTTATGAGCGTCAATTCTTTAAACAAGGTGATGGTATGGCATTTCCATACGTTCCCGACACAAATACATTTGTTAATTTGGGTTTGAATAAGAGACCTACTTTCTTTGGTTGTGATGCATCAAATATGACCGATCTTGAATATATCCCACCATTGGTTGTATATATGCCAAATTCTGAGTATTCATTTAAGAGTAATCAGAGTGCATTCAAATTATCTTACTCTGAAACTCAAAGAAGACAAATGATTCAGAATGGGTTTGAAATCGCTACAAGGAATAATTTTACTGATGATCCAGATTTCTTAAGTTGTATTGGATGTGCCATTATGAGAAGAAAACAAGAATTCTTAAATATTACATTACCTATCGAATGTGAATCTTGTTTCGTCACATATTGTTGGGATGGTGAATTAGATACTACTGAATTGCCAGACTCCGAAAAGGATTGGCATCATTCTTTTGTGTATGAAAATGGAAAACCTAATGACACTAATTCCACAGTGAAGGATTCAGGAACTTTTGTATCTTTACAAGATGATAATTCCCCATATTTGAGAGACTCTAATTCTAAGAATATTAAGGATCATTCGGATGAAGATCATTACAAGAATACAAAAATCTACACTGGTACATTGATCAACATTAAATTCATCATGCTATTACTGTGCATAGTGACATTTTTGGTAGGTTTAATTTAGAAGTAACAATGCTACTTTACAAAGTACCCTTAACTCTACTTAAAAATTAAAAATAAAACGAATATCTAGCATTTCTTTTCTCTCACTACATTATACCTTAGAAAAAACTTCAGAACGAAAGAAAAGAAGAAAAAAAAATTCAAGCATACATATATCATTGATACACTACATAATTTATAAATTCAATATATTTTCATTAACGTTAAGTTAAATCTACCACTAATGAAGGACTCTTTATGTTAATATCACCAGTTTTATCACTGCATATTGTCTGTTCTCTCTCTCTATCTCTATCTGATGCCCGAGCAATGAGGAAATTTGAAAATTATATTTATGCAAAAAAAAAAATGAAAAATTACAACGGCAAAAAAATTTTCAGGCTCATCTCATCTCATCTCAAAATTTTAAAAGGGCTATGAAAGAAGAAGCTATAGCTACAATAACAAGGATATTAGATACTGTTGTCATAACATAAACGCCCAAGTGCATAACCGATTCCAAATTACGTGTAATGTCATCAAATAAAAAGTCACCTTATGTTACCTTCCAAGGCTCTCAGAATTTTAGATTAAGAATCGTTCTTTCTACTCTTTCTGGTAAACCTATAAAGATTGAAAAGATTAGGTCAACTGATCTAAATCCTGGTCTAAAGGATTTTGAAATATCGTTCTTAAGATTGATGGAATCAGTGACAAACGGTTCTCAGATTGAAATCTCATACACAGGTACCACTGTAATTTATAGACCAGGTATCATCGTTGGGGGCTCCCATACACATAATTGTCCTCCATCTAAACCAGTTGGTTATTTTGTTGAACCTTTGTTATATTTAGCTCCATTTTCCAAGAAAAAATTTTCTATTGTGTTGCGTGGTATAACCAGTTCTCATCATGATGCCGGTGTAGAGGCCATTAAATGGGGTTTACTACCTATTTTAGAAAAGTTTGGTGTTAGAGAATGTGCTTTACATACATTGAAAAGAGGTTCCCCACCATTAGGTGGTGGTGAAGTTCACTTAGTAGTTGACACATTGATTGCACAACCTATAACGATACATGAGTTAGAGAGACCAATGATAAGTGCTATTAAAGGTGTTTCTTATTCAACCAGAGTCAGTCCATCTTTGGTAAATAGAATGATCGATGGTGCTAAAAAAGTACTGAAAAATGTAGGTTGTCAAGTAAATATCACTGCAGATGTTTGGAGGGGAGAAAATTCCGGTAAGAGTCCAGGTTGGGGTATAACATTAATAGGTGAGACCAAGAAAGGTTGGTGTTATTTTGCAGAAGCTATCGGTGATTCTGGAGCTATCCCAGAGGAAGTTGGTGAGATGGTTGCTTATCATCTGTTAGAAGAAATTGAATCCAGTGGGGCTATTGGTAGAACACAATTACCTTTAGCAATAACATTTATGGTAATTGGTAAAGAAGATATAGGTAGATTGAGGATAGCCAAGGCTGAAATAGACGAAAGATTTGTAGTTTTGTTGAGAGATATAAAGAAAATATTTGGTACCGAAGTTTTATTGAAAGAGGTTAACGATGGTAGCGACCATAGTGATGACTATATAGTTACAGTTAAAGGTAACGGTTTCACAAATGCCAATAAAAAGATTGCATAGGAATATAAGTCAAGTAAGAATTACTTTTACATAATGAAAGAAGAAAACATATATATATACATATATCTATATATATTGTAAGATATTTATAAGCATTGTAAGACATTTTTATTCTATAACTGATTCATTAATGTGATATATACTTAAACCTATATCTATGGGCCAAGGTGACTAGAAATTATTCGACAACGCCATATTTTCAATCAAATTTGTTAATTTTTCCCATGCATTCATATTGAGCTCTGTTGTACTTGCATTCAATCTCGTCCAGTCCTTAAATGCATTGGAAATTAAAAATTGTGTCTCTTGGAAAATAGAAAACTCAAAAAGAATACATTGCCTGATTAACCATGATCTATTCAATTGTTGAACAATGGAGGCTCTATCCTTCTTTACAGAAAGTCTTAAGCGGTCGTATTCGGTACCACTTGAATCAGGCTTACCTTTCATAGATTCTAGTCTTTCCATGTCGATTTCTATATGTCTTTGTAGTTGAGGTATATTATTAGTGGCCATTATTCTATATCTTTCAAACATATTCTTTAGCGATACTAATATATCAATATATACACCAAATTTTGGAATTAATTCTTGTGATAATTTGGCAACCTCTTCATCATTTAAAGTGTTTAGGTCAACAATATGTTTGTTTATAATAGAGAGATTGTTATTGATGTCAAGAACTGTTCTATTATTCCCTTCATCTATGTCGATAGGGTACATTTTCGGAGTCTCTCTTTGTAAATCATTTAGTAAGCTAGTCATTATTTTATTCTCATGTATCTTTTGTTGTAATCTTCTTTGAGATCTTTGGATAATGATATTTATCTTATTCCATGTTTCAATTGTGCTATCGATTGAATTGGCAACGTCATTTAAATGAAGTGATAACTCTGGTTTCCACAATTTAATGAAATTTTTCGTAATTTTTTTATTTTGAAACTCATCAATGGTATCAAACTTATTATTTAATTGTTTCCTCCAAGTTGAAAGATCCGTTGGTACAGTCAGGAATGTCAACACTAAATCATCTTCTTTTAAAATAGGATGTTTCATTATCAAATTAATAAAAGTGTAGAGGCCATGTTGTCTTTTCTTAAGAAATGTTTGATCTAAATTTTGAGAGGTCCTAATCTTCTTAGGTGGTAATTCTGGAACCATTCTAAATGGGTACCTTTTTAACAGAACTTCTTGCAACCAATCAAAGTCCGAGTATCTTCGAACAACATTTTTCGTATCTGAAGGATCAGTATTTGGTAATTCTACAGCCAATACTAATTTATAATTAATATGCTTAAATAATAGACCTTCTCGCTCTGGAATTTCTTCTATTGAAACTATATCTGATAATAATGGATTGTAAAGTTTCCTAGTGTCCTTTATCCATTCTCCTAAATCCTCGTTATTTGCGTGCTCTTCATCTTCAATATTATTTGTTTTAGAAGATCCCTCACCTTTATTAACGTCATCATTAAATATGTTTAATGTGGTAGTTAAAGGATCTGATATTGGAGGAAATTTGTCTGTATCGTTAGGCCCACCCCAAATACCTTGTTCCCTAGTATCATCTTGTTGAGGTAATTGTACTTGTGGCTCGTCTAGAGAATCTCTGAAAATATTTGTTTCGGAACCAATTGGGGATGAACTACCAAACAACGAATGGCCAGTATTTTCATTATCCAGAGTTAAGCTATTCAAAGTGGAAGAAACAATTGAATCCTGGTTTAACGTTGTGGTGTTATTCTGAGAGTTTGTCTCATTGGTTCCATTTGCATTCCATGGCGATTGTGTCTCGCTATTTGATGCCCACACATCATGTCCATTCGAATCATGTACACTCATGTCTTCATAAAGTGAAATGCCCTTTTTTACAGATTTGTTGATGATAATATCTTTACAGAAAGTGTTTTTATTTGAAAGGTAAACCTTGTAATAAAACTATTAGTATGTTGTTATAATTAGAAGATAAATTGCAGGTTCATAAAGAGAAACATAAGTTGTGTAAATAATTTTGAAAGCTACCGTGCCACTTGAGTAAAGCATTGTTCCCCTGTATCCATTATAAAAATGTTGTCTGATTTCTCTTTAAGTCAAAATGTGTTCCGAGCAGCAACACCGCCTCATCCCCGTACAGAACATATTTTGATTGTGAGCCCTTTTGGCAACTACTATCACAAACAAAAGAAAACTATAACAAGAGCTTTACTAATAGTAACATATCTGTTTGTACATGAGTTTAACAATATTATTTGTTCCTTATGAATATGATTTATTATTTAGTTTTATACAGGCTATATATGAGTAATTGTAGTATCTGTGACTGGGTATATGCGATAATTATTTCTACTGATGTTCATGGTTCATTCATCACCTGAATCGTTATCCTCGGATTCGTCTGAAGATTCACTATCAAGTTCAAAGGTTAGCCAACTTGGCCATCCTACCTCTTGTCTTAAGAAATTTTTTAATTTCTCAACTAGGAACTGTTCTAATTTGTCAACGTTTCTTAACGTAGCCCCATTTGGATTTGAACTAAAGCTTAACTCAGATAGCGTATCATCGTCATTTATTTGGAGGTCATTAGATAAATTAGGAGCTGCATCGGACCCTATCTCGGTTTCAATACTGAGGTCTTTGATTATAGCCAATCTTTCAAGAGGCGATCCCACTTTATCCTTCAGTAGGTCCCCAATACTTTGTCTACGTATACTATCTTCCTGATCCTCGATATCACATAGTACACTAAATACTATTCTCTTACCTTTATTAAATATTCCAATGAGACATAATACATGTAAAGACAAAAATCTCACTTTGATATTAATAGGTAATGCCATGAACTCCTTCGAGGGATAATTTAGTACCAGTGATGTGTTTAATTCTAATTGTAAATCATCATCGTACTTCACTTCGAATAACAGCTGAAGATCGTTTTCATCGGGGCCAGATGGATCCGGGTTAATACCACTAATCGGTTCCGAGATATCATGAAGTATTATCTCTGGGGCATGAGAACCTATTTGAAAATCTGTAATCCTTATGTGGTTTAAGTATGATGGAAGTTCTAAAGATCCGAAGAAACTATTTAATTTATCTCGTATTTGAGCATTTAAAGTAGCATCGTTTTGTAGATCCTCCCAATGAACTTCGAAAGACATAGTACTCTTAAAAATTGGACCAGGGACAAAGTTAACTTGAAGATATTGTACGAGAGAATATATGTTCTAGATTATTGAACCTACACTGATCACTGAATTTCCTTTCTTGGTTCCTTACTTATAGAGCATGTGATGTTTTCTCTTGTTAGTCATGCGGCTCTCTAATAAAAACGATTTCTTGGCCAGTTCAGTTTCTTCATTTAATTTCAATATATATTTTTTAGGGCACAATGCAACGACATATTCAAAATAGGGAAAAGTTAAGTACAAACGAGCACTCTAAGTTACAGGTGCACATTATAACACACTGAGTGTTAACTTGGTACTGTTGTTCTGGTATTTGAAACTTTCATTGAATTAAATTGTGTTGGTCATTTGCAGGAGTGAAGTCAAGATTTCCAATCCAATTATTATAATGTTAACAACCAAATTTACACCAATCTACCGATATGGTGGAACGAAATCTATAGCAAGAATAACAGGAAGAAGAAATTTATTCAACTTTAATCTTGATGAAAAGAGAAATCAACTTCAATCTACTCAGACGTATAAGCTAGTTAGAACGATTGAAACAACTCCAAGACAGGTTTATGAAGTGGTATCACAAATAGATAAATATAGTGATTTTATTCCGTATTGTATTGATTCATTCATTGATAAGAGAGATTTCATCACTGGGAATCCTACGTTAGCGGGACTAAGGGTAGGGTTTAAGTCATACGATGAACGTTTTACCTGTAATGTTAATTGCCAGGAACTAACTGAGAAACAAAATTATATTGTTGAAGCCGAGTCAATATCACATAATTTATTCAAGACATTGTCTACTAAATGGACAATTGTTCCTAATCCTAGAAAGCATACCATGTCACAAGTGGAACTAGTGTTAAAACTTCAATTTCATTCGGTCTTGTACAATAGCGTATCATCAATATTCGCTGATAATTTAACTAGTCTCGCTATGGGAGCCTTTGCTAAAAGAGCTGTTAATTTAGGATCTAAATAATTAGTGGGAGATATTTAAATTAGCAAAAAGTAAAGGTTTTATAATGAAGGTATATATATAAATATATAAATATATATATACTAAAATGCATGCAGGTATAGATAGGATGGTTCTATATTTGAATTCTTATATTTGATACCCTTTCAAACGATATGAACGACACAATTATCCGTAGTAGGCTAACGTTCAAATTTCTGTATCTGTATTCAAAGATGATTTATCTTCATCTTGAAGATTCAATAATTCATCCAAATGAACACTTGGTGGTCTAAAATGTTTTGTATTTTTGGCTGCTATTGGATCGATCGTCGTAGCATTACCTCTATTAAACTCCGAATAATCATTAGATATAAATTGGGATGCCGATGTTGCAGAGACATGTGCTGTTGGTGTACTTGCGTCTGAGCTAAAGAAACTTTCATGACTAGCGTTTGCACTGTTATTCCATTGATGAGTTTCATTTTGTAAAATTTCTGTAGGAGATATAAACATTGATAATCTAGAATTATTGGCCAATGTATTCTTAAATACAGGACCTTTTGTTTTCGTGGAAGAGTCTGAATTTTCAAAATTATTCAATATATTCAATGCAGAGTTTGAACCTAGAGAGTATAGACTCAATCTAGAACTTTTCGTCTTTAAGACTTTTTCACCAAAATCATTATTCTTCTCGTTTTCATCATAACTTTCAGATTCACTAGATACTAATGTGGCTAAATCAGACCCAAAATATCCTAGTCCACTGCCATTACTACTGTTTTTAATCCCATTTCCTAATGAAGCGTTTCTATTACTAAAAGGATCTGTAAAATATCCATCTTGCATAGTTTTCAAGTGATTTTCATGACGGGCACTATACCAAGCTTTGAATGCCAATATCCCCCAAGTTAAAAATAAAGCTAAAATAATTAATCCTAGACAACTTGCAAAAGATATAAAGACGGTTCCATCTGTAGAGGTTCTTATTATAATATTTGGATTTTTCATTTGATTATTATTTGGTATAGTTACTGGATTCGAAACATAATTCAGACTAGATGTAGTGGTTCTTACGATAGATGTAATTGCACTTGAATTGTTTACTTGAGTAGAATTTGAATATGATGTAACATTTGAGTTTGTTGAGTTTGATGTAAGTAATGTATTACTGCTTGCAATGTTTGTGGTGCTTGCAACGCTTGTAGTACTTGTGGTTGTTACTAAAGTAGGTAACCCTCTTTTTTTATATGATTTATATTGAGCTGGGGATGCATTAACAATAAATGTTAATATTGATATATTGAATAATATATAAGAAATATTCATATACTTCATTGTAATAACTAAGGAAAATTTTAGGAGATAATAACTAATTGGTTAATGTGGTATATTTGGTAGGGAGGAAAGCGAAAGTGGGTACCAATTTTAGTTTAGACAGGTTTTCTTGGTGAAATAAGAATAAGAAATTAAAAGAAAGATGTACTTATTTAAAATTACATTCTATATATATATATCTATATCTATATATATATATGAGTGACAATGAAGAGAAACCAGTGAAAGAGAACGTGAACAATGTACGAAGGGGGAATGTTGGTAATATATTACCACGCATTAACAACTATTAAAGAATACAGCAGTGAATCTTTACAATTTTATCTTTGAATGATGGTTGAAATAAAATAGACCAAAAATAATATTTAAAATCCAAGAAGAATTTCCTGCAGTAGAATGATAAAGGAAGATAATTAAAATATAAGCAAACTGAGATAGTCTATTAAACAATATTAATGATTTCAAGTTAGAGAAAGAGACCGATGCGAACTTAATGAATAATAAAGAACATTCCACCGTTCTACCAATTAGTATATACTTCTTCAATATTTTCTGTACCAGTCATGTCTAACAACGAAAGTAGTAATTTTGACAAGTCCAAAATTTCTGATCTAACGCCAAAATACGTAAAATAGTCTGAATACCCATTAAACAGCTAGAATTTTAATTATTATGATTCTAAAACAAAAAAAGAAAAATCTTAAGGTAAGTCCCTCCTGATCCTCTATCACGCCTTCATTAAGCAGTGCACTCCCAATTTTTGGCACACAAGCACAAAGTATTTAGATTGATCCAGCCTTACAATCATATAAAAAATCTAACTCTCCCCCAGATATGAGTAAATAGAACTTATTTATTTATTTATTTATTCGTTGTTTCAACATTTCGTGTAAGCCAAGAACAAAATTAAGAGTTTACTTGTTGCATGAGATCAATTGTTCATAACATATGGATGAAAATGGTGATAGTGGTAATAATTGAGGTGAAACCTTGTTTTTATTTACTGACGCGAAATGTCAATTTGATTAAATATACCTGAGAAAAGGATTCCGAGTTGTCTCTTTCATCCCCGTACGGCTTAATAAATTTCTTCCGCATTTTATCAAGCATGATCATTTCGCGTTTATATTTTCTTTCTCTTTTAACATTTCGCGTCACAATTCCGTTAAATTTTTCGATTTTTTTCTCAAATTTTTTTTTCAAGAAATCTTTAAGTGAAAAAGAATTTAAAGGAAACCGCCATTAGATAACAATTCGCGTCTGATCGAACCCCGATAGTAGTAGTAGTACTCTTTCATTCTGATAATAATAAGAATATTCGAATATATATAAGTAAGTATACGGATACTATAATTGATTTAGGTTATATTTATTTCATGGACTAAGATGTATCAAATGAAATGATAACAATAAATTGTAGTTCATCAAAAAAGTTATATACCATCAGTATATGACCAGCAAACCAATGTGTTTTTCAACTCTTGTTTTACTCTCGCTTTCTCACTCATTTGTATGAATGTCTATATATCCCCTCAATGTAAAAGGTCAGTATGTTCTTTTTCGATGTAAAATTGAGAACTTATTGCCAGTAATTCACCGTCTTTGAATTTAGCCGCCGTTATTTTTATTGGTTAACTTTCAAAAAGGGGGAGTGGAGAAGTTTGTTGAAAGAGCGCTTATTGACCTGGGCGGCAAAAATTAAATAAATGAAGGTGGCGAAAATTGAGAGACTTTGATGAAAAAGGTATATAACCAATAGAACTTACTTTCAAGAGATAAAATACATAGGTATATTATGGGATATTTCTGATTTTTTTTGCTAAATATACATCAAAAAAATATACAGAGATATATATATATAATCATGAATAAATTAAATAAACTCATTGCAACTAATTTTGATAAATATATCGAGACTGCAAACGTTTCAATAAACGACTACAAAGAAATAATCAATCTATTATATAGATTGGAATCTCAATATAAATTTAATAGTTTATTATCCCTAGGAAGATTTATTTCTTCAGGTATCCATTTTATTGAGATAAATATGATTGATTCAATAAAATTTTGGAAAATTTTAAATGTTCGTACAATTTAATAAACACCCATCTTTTGATATTGCTTGTTTGATGTTGTTTTTTACTAACTATTTATGAGGGTTTCTATGATGTTTTTTTTTCTTTAAGAAATCCTTTTACTATTCAGAAATGTTTCGTGGATCCAATTTCAATCAAAAATGAACTCTTGAATGATTCAAAATTCAATGATACTTTATCTTCATTAATTAATGTAACATTTGAAATTCCATGTAAAGGTGAAAATTGGAAACTGTGTATTTTATTCATTAAAATTATTAACCAAATACCTTCAATAAGTGATTTTTTTTTACAAAATATTATTAATAAAATTGATTCATACAAAATTTCATTTCAATTATTCTGTGAAAATTGTTCAAATTTACAGCAATTGATTTTTATAATGCTTCTCTTGTCAAAAATTAATTTATCCAAAAGAAAAAACTATTTTGGTAATAAATTATATCAAATATTAAATCCAAAATTTAATAATGATTGGCATTCACAAGAAAAAATACTATTATATGTTTTAAAAATTCAACAAAAATCTGGATCCATTAATCCAATTTTTAAACCAACTAATGTATATTATAAATATTCTGAGACTGGTTTAAACAATGATTTAGAAATAAATAATAATAATTGGTTCAGTTTTATTCAGTTTGTTAGGGATAAGATGTATTTATGGAGTAATTTTGGACTATGTGTTGAATTTTATAGACCATCTATTTATACGTTTAAAAATTTGAAAGAAGAAATTATATTCCAATTACAAAATGAAACTTCAATTAATTTAATTAATAATAGTAATAATTCAGATCAATTTCAAAAAGATTTAAAAAAGATTAAATATTTACAAATAATATTTGATAATAATTCATTTCGTGATGAATTTTTCACATTTTGCAAGAAAAGGCAAAAGATTAGTCAATCTATTGGAATTATTTCACTAAATTATCTGGATATTGAAGAAGAACATGATCCTAATGTACCTGAAGGAAGTAATGGCGATAATAGTGAAATTATTACAAGTTTACCAGAAGTAATTAATAAAATGATTGATGATGGGAAAGAGTTAAATGTTCCTAAAATAAACCAAGTATTTTCAAAACCTTCAACACAGCTTGCTACTCCAGATGATTCAGATCAAAGAGATAATTTAGATGAATGGAAAATTGATGAAACACCGGTAGAGGTTCAATCAATGATTATACCAAAACAACGAAATGCTGAAGATGTCACAGTTTCTAAAGTCAAATCCACAAGGATAGAGGTTGAAAATACTACAGATATCTCAAAGAAAATTGAAGAAGATAAGAACCCTGAAGATTTGCCTCTAATTCCTAATAATTCTTCACTTGAAATAACTAAATTTGAAACAAATATAACTAATCATAAAATTCAAAAAGCTGAAAAGAGGGTTGCCGCAGTAAACAAAAAAACAGAAGTGATAAATAATAATAAGAAGAATATTTCTATCCTTAATAATATCTTTAAAGTAGATGCTAAGAAACCTAATAAAAGACTTAAGAATAAGGTTATCAAGAAACGTATAAAAGCTCCTAGACAAGCAAAATTATCAAATGTTCAACAAATTATAACTATACCTTCTCAGGACATAAATTCCAAAGATGCAAAATCAATTCCATCGAACATAGACAAGAAATATGATGGTCCTGTATTAAGAACAAGAGCGCTCAAGAAGGTAAATGCGGTTTCCTGTGCAAAAGAAACAAAACCTATCAAGACTTCCATAAATGTGCCTATAACGAAACAGAAAGATAACAATTCCATCCATATATCTCCAGTGATTACATCAGATTCAAAAGAGGATTTAGTCTTCGAAACTGGTAACAACAACGTCCTTAATGTTAATGATGTCTCCGAACAGAACCATTCAAAGGATGATAAAGATAAGATGAATATCCTACAGGAATCAACAACTATTATTAACACGACACCTTCTAATTTATTAACGGCTCAAATTTGCAATACATCACTATTTGACACACAGAACTTCACTAATGAATTACAAGCACAAATTAATCGTTCTGTACTTACATTTTCAAATGAGCTTACTAGAAAATTAGACATAATAAATGATGAGATGAATAATAGAATTCTTAAAGATTTATCAACAAAATATCAAGGACTAATTGAGGAATTCCAAACAAAATTTCAGAATGACACCGAGAAGATCTTTCAATTCATATCTAACTTTCAACATTTATTATTACTCCCAGAGGATGAACTGAAGAATGAGATAAGAAAGAGTTGTAATTCTTCAACAAATAAATGAATTTATATGAAATTCAACCTTAATTTTTTAAACCCTGTCTTTCTGTTTGTTACTTTGGTTTTGCTTTAGATCCGTGCGATTTACCCGACCTCGTTTCGTATGACATGATAGACGCACAAATTGAACTGAAAAAATTTTTTTTTTCAGGCTCCTCTTGACAGGTCCATGCAATTTGTTTGATTGTGAGAAACATTCTACTTTTCTTTCTGAACGATGATAGTCTCTTCTAACCTAACTAATTCTCATCGACCTCACTCAATTAACTTATTGATGTTATGTTATTCTTATTTAATAAGCATTTATAATAGTAATATTGCTTTTCTTTGATTTCAAACATAAGAAAAGTACAGCAAAAATGGATACCAAAACCCCAATTACTCTAGCTAAGGTCATCAAGGTTCTAGGTCGTACCGGTTCTCGTGGTGGTGTCACCCAAGTCCGTGTCGAATTTCTAGAAGATACTACCAGAACCATTGTCAGAAATGTCAAGGGTCCAGTTAGAGAAAACGACATCCTAGTCCTAATGGAATCTGAACGTGAAGCTCGTCGTCTACGTTAAGAAACAAATTACTATATTAAATGTGGAATTGAATGTATGCAGAAGGTTGTTATCTATTGGAATTCGATCTTATCAATGAATGCTATTATCTTATTTCTTTAGGAAGCTGAATAGACTGCCTATTTTTTCATATACCATCTGATTTTTTATATATGTCATAAACTCTATCATATTTCTATATGCTTACATAGTTTGTAATTTAATTTAATTTGTTCTCCATCTAGAAAACTACAAGAATGATACCATTGAAATTGTACATAATTACATAACTTATATAGATGTTTTACAACGAGAAGTACTTAACTTAAGATGGTTTACCTGTTTTAACTCTGCCAAATTTTCGCTTCTTATTGGTTTTAATAATAGGTCCTATTACCTTCGCTGAATTCGAATTTTCGTCACAATTTGATACAACAAGATGCTTACCAATTGATGCTAGATTATCGGATTGATCATCACTATTAATAGAATGTTTGAAGTGTCCCTGAAGTTTACTATCCTGATAATGTCGCAGGGTACTACCTATACCTGGTATTACAATATCAGACTCTTTTGGAAGAACTTGATTATCAAGTTGGTCATGGATTGGAGTCCTATTAGCATTTATATATGTTTTTCCAACCTCAAATATGTCTTTGGTATGGAACCCCTGGTTGTCGTTTGGCATATCAGCAACAATTTGGTCTCTAAGATGTACCTCATCAAATGGCTTAAGTACAGCGTGATTCACAGAACCGACAGGAGCATGCTTCTCTAAAATCTGTCCTCCACCGAGATCCTTCACCAGAACTTTGAGGTACTCAATATTTTTATCTTTTTCTTTGATAATACAAATAACCTTTCGTGTTTCCTCCATACACCTTTGAGCAGTAGTTGAGACATATTTGACTAATGATCCCATGATAATAGATACTAGTTGACAGTCCTTTACTTTGATACAAGGAATAGTAAAGAAAACTTTCAAAATATCAGTTACTGTAACAGATATTTTGAATTGAGATTCTGAAACATCGAAAGAATCCAACGTCTCTTGCAAAACGCAATTCTTGACCCTTTTCCATATTTGTATTACACTGGCATTCGATGCAATACCTTGTTCTTCACATTGCTTTGCAATACTTGGAAATGTTATCGTCCCAACGAATGGGTTATTGGTTAATCCTTCCTCTATGGCCAACACATATACAGTATCGGTTTGAACATCTTGAAAGGCAACCTGGTAGCATCCCTTATATGATGACCAGTACGTTAAGTCCACTGCGGTTGCTTTATCTGTGTCTTGTAGTAAAGTCTTCAAACTATCCTCGATACCCATACTGCATGGATTAGATGTAATTCGAGATCATAAGCATAACAGTTCTACTTCTTGGGTTTTACTTTATTTAAAAATACTACACATTTTCACTATATATTTCAAGGTCATCGGTAAGGGCTGAAATAGGTTCTCTTAAAAAAATAAGAAATTATAAAGAACCTACACGGAAGAATATATAGTTATGAACTTGAATATTACATTCTAATACTCGATGAATGGGTAATAGAATATTCATTGGCAATTTAGGTTAAAACAATGGCCATAAAGTTAAAAAGGCCATGGGTGGGTATCGCTATTCCTTGTTCCATTATATCATTTATTGGGTATAATGCTCATTACTTCATACTGGCAAACTTTCTTTCAAAGAAGAGACAAATTATATTCCAATGCTTTCTGTGCATGATTTGGTTGTCATATTATTTAGCTATTTACACTAATCCAGGAAAGCCAACACATTTTAAACCTCAGGATACTAGTACATTAAAATTTTGCAAGAAGTGTGAGAGTTGGAAACCCGAAAGATCTCATCATTGCAAAACATGCAACCAGTGCGTACTAATGATGGATCATCATTGTCCTTGGACAATGAATTGCGTCGGATATTATAATTATCCGCATTTTTTAAGGTTTTTACTTTGGGTTCTTATTACTACAGGTTTTTTATTCCTTCAACTTTGCACTAGAATTAAATTCGTCTGGGATCATAGAAACTTCAGAAATGTATCTACTCAAGTCATAACCAGAAGTGAACTGATTTTCTTAACTATATTGACCCCTTTTGATGCATTTATCTTTCTTACGATTTTCATTTTATTTGTTAGGTGCGTTAGAAATCAGATCTTCAATGGTATGACACAAATTGAGAATTGGGAGTTAGAGAGACTAGAGAGTTCATATTATAGACGAAATTCAAAACTTTTGTCAATTTTGATCAATAAGCTGTACGAACTATATCCTGAAGAAAAGACGGCTGAACATGAGGGTGAAGCTATAGATTTAATAGAGAGAAAATCCAAACATAGACTAAGGTTCATGACTGTAGTAAACTTCCCGTTTGATAATGGAATAGTAAAGAACATATCAACTGTTTTAGGATCATCTCCTTTACTATGGCTATGGCCCTGGACTATACCTAGTGGTAATGGTCTATCATACGAACATAACGAATTTTCTACATATGAGAAAGGTTCTTCTTTGCAAGATATTGTATTGTCCTTACCTTGGCCACCTGATGGTGGTAGACTGGCCGCCAATGTGGATCATAAACCACAAGTGGAGGTACTCCAAGATGATGGTGAGTTCATGATAAGAAACAACGAAGGTCTAACCGAAAGGAGAAATACATGGAAGAATGAATGGGGTGAAGAATTAGAAGATTTTGGTGTTGATCCAGAAGAAGACTAGTAAATTCATGCAGATATATATTTTATACAATCTCTATCATATAAATATTTAACTTTTTTTTTTGCAATTAAGATACATTCTCTTAAATATATATATATATATATAATACATTCTAACTATTACAATTAGGTAGAGGGGTAAGTGACCGAAGGAATAACAGTTGACACCTCGTTTGGTTTTATTTTGCCATTCTCAAGTTGCTTATCCTCTTCATTATTTTCGTTTTCTTTTTCATTATGTGAGACTTCGTTAACTACACCAGGTTGCGAGGTAGTTGTTGAACTTTCGGTGGGATTTGTGGTATTTGCATCAACAACAGCTAACACAGTAGAACTTCCAGTTGGATTAGTAACCGGTTGATTTTCATCACTTTCTATGATGTCTGTTGGTTCAGGACTCTGTGGCTTCACAGAGACAACTTTCCTGTCCAAGAACTTGTTCGCCAACAACTCTGATCTTCCATATTGTTTCTTGAAATCCTTTACTGGGAATGCGTTCATAGATTTCCTTGAGAAGATATCGATGGAACCAGCTTCAATATTCAAAGAGTAAGTAGCAGGGGAAATATTAATTTTCAAAGTTGAGCTGGATACACCGTTTGGTGCATATTTACCCAAAGATGAAGAAGTTTCTGATTTTTCGGCTTCCCCATCTTCATTAGCAAATTCATTTTGTTCAAATTCCAGAATTCTTTCTAAAAATGGAACCTTTAGTTGATCTTGATCAATACCTTCCGTTGGATGGGGTAAGGAATATGAGGTAATATAATATTTCCATTTGGCATCATCGCTTGCGGAATCCTTTAGCGTTAAATCATCTAAAGCAATGTATTGAATACAAATATGTTTTGCCTCTTTATCATATTGAATACGGAACATATTCTCTGTATTAGTCATGTGGGAACGTGTCTGTAGGCGATACAATATTTGATCCTTGGTACTGGTAGATGAAGCAACTCTATCTCTCTCAAATAATTTGAGTATCTCGCTTGTCTTATTATCCGACATCAATGTGTGTGCGTGTTTTACAATGGCTTGCGTAACTTTATCAATGGTGTATAACTTGAATGCTTTGTTATTGAAAGCTTGACGCAAACTTTCTTCGAACCATTGGTGCTCGATATCACCAAGGATTAATCTTTCACCTAGGTGAAGGATTTCTTGATAACTATCTTTTCCGGCAAAATCAAGACCCATATCCTTTAGTTGTGTCGATATTAGACATAGATCCTTTGCAAATTGGACAGTTTTCCTGTTGCTAATTTCTTTTGTAACAGCCTCATTCATGTTCTTAACTTCTAACAATCTATCATAAAGGGTAACCAAGTTACGAATGAAAATGTAAACGTATGTATTACCAAACAAATTAAATTTGACTCTATTAGAGATAACACCATTTGCATTAGCTTTATCGACAATGTCTCCCAATAGCCATGGTTTTCTGGCATCCTTTCTGATAAGTTCTGCCTCTTGTTCTAATCTGGAGTCTTCAGCAGCCATCTCCGAGTCTTGTTCATTGGAGTCACCATCACTAATAGGGTGTTTTAATTTTTGATATTTGTCTCTACGTAAAATATCATTTAGAGTAAATTCAATATCGGCAGGGCTCTTTCTCTTCTTAGATCCATTATTTTCTTCTGTATCTTTTCCAGAAGTAGTTCCTTCATCTTGAGTATCCCCTAAATCTAAACCTCTCTTTCTCAAGGCTTCAGCAATTTTATCTGATGGAATAGAGAAAAAAACGCTTATTAAAACACGTAAGAAGTCCTTTAATCTTTCTTTGTCAGGGTTAGAATAGTTTGAAACGTTATCAATCGAGACAAAGGAGAGTTTCATAATGTCAAATATAATCTCGAAATCTGTTATGTTGAAATCTAGCTGACTCTTTGGTTTAGGCGTAAGCCAGTGCATTCTCTTGCTATTTTGATCAACCTTGATACTACTAATCTCTGAAATTAATTGTTTGGTTGTGAGTAATTTTTTATCGGCTTGCTTAAATGTCAGGCCTAAATGATCCAAAGATTTGAAATAGACTTTTTGTTCAAGTTCTCTCCATACTTTATTCCATTCACGTTGAGCTCTTCTCCATTCTTCATCCTTTTGTTTTAATCTTTTCAAGATCACTGGAACCGCTATAGCCGGGTGTTCATGTAGTGCATCAATTACTTCAAACCCTCTCTCCTTATCATATACTTTGCGAATAACCTTCTTGTAGATAGTCAATGAAGTGTGACCTAAACCAGGTGGTAACTTAAAGACTTGTTTCTCATCTTCAGTCATATTCGAAATTTTATTTGCGATGGTTTCTAAGGTTTGGATTGTTCTTAAATTTGATTCGATATAGAAGTCATACTCGTGTCTTTCTTCTTCGGCTTTAAATAACGTTTCTTCGTATTGATTCTTACGATGAGCAATAAAACCAGAATCCTCTGAAGCCCATACTGGGTGACCTACCCATTCATCGTTAAGGACTTCCCAGCACATGTCATCTCTACCAGAACAAGGCATAAATGTGTCACTTTTAGGTAATTTCTTATAACTTGGACCACATGCTTCACAGACATCTAAATCAAGACGATGTTTCTCGTGGACAATATTCTCAATAATTTTTGGTTGATCCTTGTAACCAACAAAATTCTTGAACCAATCCATCAAGTCCTTATGTGAACCAATATAAAAGTCGACCTTCTCAACCAATTCATTAACCTCTAATAAATCCTGTGAGAAGAGATTTAAAATTTTTAGGAATTCTGTATATATTTGTTTGTTTCCTACTACCTTCTTGACCTTATCAAAGAAACTTGTTTCTTCAACGAGAGTCAAATTGTTTTCGATTGGTTCAGTAGGTTCGGGAACTACAGGAACTATACTTGGATCCAAATCAATCTCCGGTCTAACTGGAACCTCACCGTACTGTTCTTCAGCCATTGGTTGGCCCATTCCTTGAGGCATTTGTTGCATCACTACAACTTCATTTGGGGGATATTGTTCCATAACGGCACCTGATCTCATGTTCGAGATTGGAATATTTTCGTTCGAGATTGGTGGAGGTGCGCCATGTGGAGGTTGTTTTTGTTGTTGCTGACCTTGTGTCATATCAATGGTCTGCTCATGTTGAATCATCGATGGGAGACCGACCATTTGAGGTCTTGTTGGTTCATTATAATCTTCATGGAACGGAACACCGTTATTTGGTGGAGAAAAACTACCGATTGGAGGTAGATTCTGTTGAGAGTTAGCAATATTAGATCCTACTTGATAAAAACCATTAGCACCATTATACACATATCCTTGCTGCTGTTGCTGCTGTTGCTGTAGTTGATTCAGTTGATCTTGTTGTTGTTGCTGCTGCTGCTGCTGTTGCTGCTGTTCTGACATAGATGAATCCGGCAAGAATTTCTTAAAATCGTCTAATAAATCTGGTGCATTTTGAAACAGAACAGTTACTTGTGCATATACTTCATTTATAGGTTTTTGGTCTCTCTGGTAAGTCTGAAGAATCTCTAGGAAGTTCTTATAGATATCTGGTTGGTCGGCAAACCTATCTTTGATTTTATTGACATAACTGATAGCTTGCGTTAGTTCAACATCTGCTGGTTTCTTATTTTGAGCTTCGACAGAAGGAATTTCAGAGGTTAGAATCCCTTGTTGAGGTAGTTGATTTTGTAGTTCATTCACTTGCGGATATTGTGAAATTTGAGGTGGTGCCTGTTGTTGTACTTGTTGCTCTACCTGTGTCTCTGTTTGCATATTCATTGGTTGTTGTTGTTGTTGCTCGTTGTATGAATTAGTATTAAATTCTAGTTTTGAACCAGATATGTCGTGTAATGTGGATGTACCTGTAGGAGTAGTAACTCTAATTGGTTCATCTGGATTATCTGAACATTCAATTCGAAATCCATCAGGTAAAAATGTATTAAATCCTTGAATCAAAGTTGGGAAACCTTTAAATAATGTAGAAACTCTTTCGATCACACCTGGAGTATCAATATCTTGAGATTTAAAATCTTTCATTATATCTAAGAAGTGATTGTATACGTCCGGTCTTGAAATAAATTGGCCTTTAACTTGTTCCAGATAAGATAGTGCATCCTTTACATTTAATGGTCTATAAGTTGAACCCTGAGGTTGGGATGCTACAGAGGATGCTGTGGCAGCAGAAACAGCTGCAGCTGCAGCCACAGCTGCTGTACCAGAAGGCTCAGCGTTAGTTGATTCTGATGCAACTGGAGCTGAAGGTGCCGTTGGAGCACTTACTGCCGCTGGAGCAACTACAGGAGTCGATATAGCAGGTTGACTGTTTGTAATATTGGTAGAGGTGGTGACTGTACCAGCTATCTTTGGAGATGCACTAGAGGCAGCCATGTTTGGTGTAGTAACACTTGCAATTGAATGTCTCTTTTCTTCTGCAGGTGGTAATGGATTATCAAAACTAGCCAAAGAAAACCCAGAATGTTGTCTTTCGGACCTACCTCTTGGAGCATTTACATTTGGTTGAGTCACAGAAGAAGAAGAGCTACCATAACTAGTACTATTAGTTGGATTCATAATCGATACAGGATTCATTTGATCGTGGGTAGATGCAACCGAATGAGCTAAAGGTGGACTGGTATTGGTTTTATTCTGAATTTCATGACTCGCTAGTGGAACGGGGTTACTTCCAGTAACAGAATCATTATTATTCAAATTTGCTAATGAAGGTAATGTTACATGACTTGGTTTATCCATATTTGGAATAGTAGTATTTGTTGACCCTTCACCAGTAGTACCATTGTTCATGGTACTTGAGGTATCCTGAACCATTTTATTAGTCTCAGTAGGAGGTCCTTGTTGTTGAGGAAATTTTTGTTCGTTCCAATTGTATGACATGGCTTATATTTCAGTTACGATGAATAGACCAAAACAAAATACACTTTAGGAAATTCTGTGTTATTACCTAGGAATAGATATATCTATATATTAATACCTTGAAATCTATCCCACAAAAAAAAGAAAATTACGCAAAAGAGAGGAAATAATTCACAACGGTTAGAAATGAAAGTTCGTACCTTGACGTAGTTGTAGTTATCGTAGATGGGAGTAAACAGAACTATTTACAACTTAGTTGTCTCCTTATCTATATTTATATAATAACTAAACGAAGTAATAATAGCAGCAACATTTAATTGAAAGGTCAAAATTAAGATAAAAGTTGTTCTTTCCTTTTACCCACTTTTGAGTAGTATAATAGATAAATTATGATCCTGGATAAAAATTATGCAATTCCCAACCCTGTTTACTTTCCCTTTCTCGCAGTAAAACAACGAAATTTTAAATTGAAAAGAGAAGGCAGTTAATTTCCGAAGAGGAAAAAAGCCCTAACTTCGACTGTTATCATGCTGTACGGAAATACATGAAAATACCCTTAATTTATATCACTTGGTACGACCGTACGAATTATCATGTTACACGAATATTACGGCAACAAGAAAAAGTGAAATTTCCAGTATTTTATTCAATTTCAATGTAGAATACAATAACAAATGACCAACCAACACAACTTCAACACCTTGCTTAAAGGGAACAAGAAGAGTGAAACATATACGTATTAAGTTAGTCGAATATTTAATATTTGGCAGTAGAAGGGTGGGACGTGTAATTTGTGTTAAGAGGTTAAATAGTAAGCCGTTATGAACGCTCCAGATAGATTTGAACTTTTTTTACTAGGTGAAGGTGAATCTAAGTTAACTATTGACCCAGATACCAAATCGCCAAATGCTATTGTAGTATTGTTTGAGAAGGAAGATCATACATTAGGTAATTTGATTAGATCAGAATTATTATTAGATTCTAAAGTTTTATTTGCTGCGTACAAAGTTGAACATCCTTTCTTTGCTAGATTTAAATTAAGAATACAAACTACCGAAGGTTATGATCCAAAGGATGCTTTAAAGAATGCATGTAATAATATCATTAATAAACTAGGTGTATTAAAGACAAATTTTGAAACTGAATGGAACCTACAAACATTAGCATCTGATGATAATTTCGGTATATAATATAAACGAACAAACTTCACCCCGCCACATATCTGTATAATAATACCAAATAATAATAATAGCAAATGATTAAAAGTGTAATAATGACATAATTTCTTTTTTTATGAATTGAAGAGACTACGTTGGAGGTATCTTTTGATGAAAAGGATCATACTAACCATCTGTATATGTTAAAATTAAATATTTGTGACAATATAAATTCATTTATTCAACTCTATATAAATATCTTTTCTTTACCTAAGTGATGTAATTAGAGACATATTTCTCTCTTTTAAACATTTCTTTATAACTATTAATTTATCCCTAATATGTGAGCTACTTTTATCACATTCAAATCTTTGTATAAAATCAAGTATTTTTAACGTTTTGATACCTTCAACTTTAGATAAAAGAGTTATACTTTCACCGTAGTTTCTTATTGATAATGTTAATGGGATAGAAAATTCATCACCATCATCAAAGTCAAATTGAATACTTCCATCACTCAACTCAATCATTGTTATTTGATTATTTTCATATGTGGTAACATTTCGAACAAATACATCTTCTACACCTGGTTCTTTTGTAAGTAGACCATTCATATTCATCCCATTATTATTTGTATTTAACAAGTTGGATGCTATGTTGGCATCATTTAACTTTTCTTGTAATTCAATTGATAAGTTGTTACAATCAAAACACTTAGATATCCAACCATATTCGTGATCAGGAACCAAATACCAGATTGCATTAGAATCAGAAAGTTTTAATAAAGTGTGTCCATTGGGGAATAGTGTACCAATATCACCATTTGATAATTGATACACAAATAATCCTTGATTAGCTCCGCTTATATCGATATTCTTGGTGGTGACATATGTAAAAGTAGTCTGCGTACCATTACTTTGATTATCGGGACACAGTTGTCCAGATGACAGCAATATTTGTTCACTTTCTAAAATTCTTTCAAGTGTCAGTTGATAATGACTAATTAAAATATTTTTTGGAGTCTCCAATTCAACTGGATTACTGAATACTACAGTAGGAGGTTGATATTGTTTAATCTTTTGTATCCTCTCTAATTTCGCAGCATTTGAATGCTCTTCTAAATAAGTTAGGAATAATCTGATCTTTCGAAAGTCAACAGATTTATTATTATTAATAAAACTTTCTGTAAGTGAATTGCTTCCTTTCCGTGGTGAGGTTAGTTCTGATTTAAATATATCTATTTTAGTTGATCGTCTTTCATTATAGTCGTAACCATTGTTACTGTTGTCATTATTGTTGTCATTATCGTCATTATCGTGTATTGGTTTCATTAGTTTAGAGAAACCGGAATCCGTTAAACATTTTTTAAAATTTAAAGTTGATTGTAAATTCATTGAAGAATTTTCATAGCTATCTAAGCTTAAATTGTCGTATATATTAAATGATTCTGGAAAATAAGATTGAAACCATTTATTTGCTATTATTTCAGGTATTGTTAGTCTCTCTAATGGATTCCTTTTAAGTATATTTCTAATCAGAAACACTACATCATTTGATATATTAAAATTGTTTCTATTCGTCTCAGGAAAATCAATAGAACAATTCATTATTTTATCGCACATCATGTCTAGTGTATCATCCAAAAATGGTAATGCTCCAACTACCAAGACATAGAGGATAACCCCAATTGCCCATACGTCTACCTCAAATGATATAAGGTTATCATTGGTATTTTGTTTAATGATTCTTTCAATAATTTCAGGCGCAAGATAATTAGGAGTACCAATTATCTTATTATGATTTGAAATAAATGTGGTTGAATTAATAAAATTTCTTGTATATATTTCATTGTTACAATTATTAAAAGAATGACCAAAATCACATATTTTCAAATTGAAATGTTCATCCAATAAGAGATTCCCTAACTTCAAATCACCATGTACAATATCATTCTCATGAATCCAAAATACACCTCCAAGTAATTGAGTCATAAGTTTACGGACTTCCCATTCCCGTAGTTGAATTCCATTACTAAAATGTGTCTCTATTGAATTGTTAGGGTAATAGTTCATCACTATTGCAACATACTCATGTTGTACTTGAAATTCTTCTATAAAAGTTGCAATATTGTTGTGAGTAGAAAGTAATTTATGGATTTCAATTTCATTTATAATTCGAGACATATGATTACTTTTAAATTTATGATCACGAATAGGTAAAGTTTTCATAGCATATGTATCTCCATTAGGGTGAATGATTTCATAACATATGGAATGCTTTCCCTGACCAATCTTTTTTATTCGTCTATAAGGTTGAACTAAATGTTTTGCATATATTGGAACTTGAGAATTTATTCTTTTACCATTAGAAACATGCTGAGATTGTGAAAACGAGTGCGTGGCCGGCACACCTGGAGAGGTCTCTATATCTAACTTTCTCTTCAATTGTGCCATGATTACTATATGTTGTAATGTTACAATATAGATATGTATATTCTATTGTTGTTATTATTATGGCTGTCCTGTGAGAAACGGTTTGGTCTGCAATTTGTTGTGGTCTTGCTAATAGTTCAGAATGATAATCTTACGCAGTAAAATAGCGGAAAACAACAACGACTAAATATAATTAAATCAAATTGTTATAACTTTCCATAAATGTATTACTTATAAAGGATTGGTATAGTAAGCTTATCATACCTTTAACAACTGATTAATAATAGTGACAACTACTAACTGTTTAAACCTATTTCAAGGCAAAAAGTGAAAAATTAAATGAGAAAACACCTCTGCGTGTTGTCTCTTCTAATAAAAAAAAGCAAATAATAGTCTACGCGTCGCTCCTGTGGGAGACAAACGACAACATTCAATAAAGTAAACCAATTTTATGTCATCTAACTCATCGAGAAGGCAAGGAAAATATCATGAAGACAATTCCCCGTTATTTCTTAGATCCTACGTCACTAATTGTAATAAACTACATAAAATACTTGCATTATGATTATTATTTTTTATGGAGTTATACTAATTTTCATCTTCCTTAAGAGATATATAGATATACATACCTATTTATATATATACAGATATATTTGCTTATTACATAAGGCATGATAGTTAGTTAAATGAGATAAAGAAAGGGGAAAAAACAGTTGGCTAATATACAATTCACAATAGTGTGATGTTCGTGGTGCTAATATTGGCTTATCCTCTTTCTTATCATGAATGAGGGATTTCATTTCTATCGATCAGGTACGATAGATTATGGTTGCGTATGGTGAGTAAAAAAAAATGAACGAAAAGTTTCATGATTTTCTCCTTAAATACAGTAGTATCTGTCACCAAAGTCACCTAGACCTGGGACTAAGTACTTTTGTTCGTTTAGACCCTTGTCAAGAGCACCAGTGACAATTCTAACCTCTGGGAAAGCAGCATGGTAGTTGTCAATACCTTCTTTACTACAGATCAAGTTCAAAAAGAAGATTCTTTCTGGCTTAACACCTCTCTTGATCAGGACATCAGTGGCCATGATAGCACTACCACCAGTAGCTAACATTGGGTCCAACAAAAACACGTATCTGTCAGCAATATCTTCAGGTAATTTTTCATAGAAAAGTTTTGGTAAAGCGGTTTCTTCATCTCTTTGGATCAAAATTTTACCGATTCTAACAGATCTACAACAGTCTCTTAGACCTTGTTCCATAGATTCACCAGCTCTAACAATAGAGACACCACAGATCTTACCTAAGAAACCAACACCGTCGAAATTTTCACCGGTGTGGGTCAAAACATCCTTCTTTTCAACAGGTAAGTGGTTCAAACCTTCTTCGACTAACAATCTGATGATTCTATCGGAGTAGAAAATAAAATCAGGTCTTGCTGTACCCTTATCTCTAATGATAGAATATAGACCAACTAGTTGATTAGTTTGTGGTAGTAAAGAAACGTTTTTGTATGGTTCGGTAGACATCGTTTTACTGGTTTATACAATTTATGTAATGTTAAGACAATTACTTAAGAGAAAACAAATTTAGAATTAAAAAGGAAGTAAAATTAAAAGAAAATGTATAATAAATTAAGAAACCGATAGCAACAATGTAATAGATCTCTTTATATTGTAAAGAAGACGAAAGGAAGAGGAAGAAAAATTTTCTTTCATTCTTGCAGTAGTTCCTATCTATCAGTAAAATTAAGTAATCGGTGATGCCCTCATCACTGAAAAATTCATTGAAATTTTAATGGCCGAATGAAAATTTTCATTTTTTTTCGCTCCCTGTTGTTATGTAAATCCGACGGTTTTATGTGCCAATTTACCGACGGACTTAGCAAATATGGGGATAATTAGGTCAAAATCGAACTACAATCTAGTCATATATAGGGTATTTCTTGTCCGACGAATACGACTGATACCCCCTACCTCTAGATTGTATAATTATTTGGTATTTAATGAGTGTCATGTAGTCTACCTAGTTAAGTTACCTATGTAGCGTTGTAGATTATATGTTGTAGAAATACCAACATTATACTTAAAAATAAGTTATTTATAATAATTACACACGTTTATTATGGAGGTAAATAAAAAAGTATTTACATCCGTTGGCATGACTCTATGATACATAGTTGATGCATGAAGGTGATGATGGATGATAATAGTAATAATAATAAAAAAAGTAGTATAGAAGTTTTCAGTTATTATTGTTGTTTTTTTCATAATTAAAATGGTAATGGTAACATTAATATAATTAATTTATCTTGATAGTTTATTAAGAAGTCTGGACATATATAACTTCTGAGCCATCGACAGGGCTTATAGAGACCAATATAGTACCTCTGATGACAGTAAACCCTAGTTCTCTAGTTTTATCCTTAGAGACCTCATCGTTTGAATTTTTCATGTACTCAACAGTTTCATCTAGAACCAAATTCATCAATTGATCATGACCCTTTAGAACACCAACTACTAAACGGCCACCCATTAATTTAACACGGACTTGTGTATCCTTATATTTGGTTAGGTCAACAATAGCCTCCCTCTTAGGGCTCTCAAACTTCTTCCTCTGGGGGTTGTTATGGCTGGATTGTTGTTGCGATTGAGGTTGTGAATGTGGACGAGGTTGTTGATTTTGTTCAGAATTCTAATATTAAAATTTGACAGAGATTAGTAGTCCTTCCAGTATGCGAAGTAAAAAATAATATGAAATTTCTTATTATTCTAAACTGGATTGGATTTTATAAGTCAAAGCAAAATGAAATGGATCTTGTTAGTAAATGTGAAACAAATTTAAAAAGCGAAATTCTTTCAGAGACAAATTAGAAACGATTAATAAGTTTCTCAAATATATGTATATACATTGTCGTCTGGAGCTACCGTATTCAGATGCGGCAAAACATACTTTATCACTCATTGTTCGGATTTGTTAGGGTCCTGTTTGTTCTTGTTTTCGATATACTATGGTTGGTGGGTAAGTATCTTCTCCCTTATAAGTACTTTATCCTCTCTTACCCAACATTTTTACTTCAACTTGTCTTCCCAACATTATGTTCATTATTGTTATTCACACACGACATTCGGTATTTGGATGCTTGAAAAAAAAAATATAAAAAAAAGAGACGGCGCCTGAGAGAGCCATTGCGAAGGTTGGAAAAGGTTTCACACTTTAGACAGTATTTACTATTACATAAATGTACAGTCATATATTTCAGCGATAAGGAAAGAGTGTATTTCTTTGGGATTTTCAGTATATAGAAGCTATAATCATTTTAAATATATAGTTGTTTGTTTTTGGTTACAATTGCAAGATGGTTGAGGTACTTATTACGTCTGATTTGGTGTCCGTTCAAAAATCTCTCAGTACAGATATAACATTGACAGAATTATGTTCAAAATTAAATACTATTACAGGTGTTGAGCCAAACGATATGAAGTTGAGACTTTCGTACACAAATTCTCGTGAGGATACTATAATTGTTCCATGTCGAACTCATGGTGTAAACCAACCTTTATTACCTAATGATTCAGCGCAAGTTACGGCTATTTCAGTAGAAGATACAAACGCGACCTCTGTCACTAATCAACTAAAGAGAGATTCATCGAGTCCTGACAGTAATGTTGCATTCAAATTATCCGAGGAAGAATATGAGTCGAGAGAATCAAGTGTCCTGAGATGGAAGAAAGATAATCAATTGGGACGTTTTGATCCAAAATATTTAGTCAAGAGAAATGAGGAACTAAGATTACATAAAGATAAAATGAATAATTTAGATGTAGGACAGAGATGTACAGTGAAGACAGAAGATCAACCAGAAAGAAGAGGTTGGTTACGATACTTGGGAAAAGTTCCTGAGATCAACGTAGAAGATATATGGTGTGGTGTTGAATTCGACGAACCTTTAGGTAAAAATGATGGTTCTTATAAAGGTGTTCAATATTTCGGCCCAGTTGGAAATAAATATGGTGCATTTGTAAAACCTAGATTTGTCGAGACAGGAGAGCAATACGAGCCCTTTGATATTGATTTCTCTGATAGTGAGGATGATGAGATATGAACAAAACCGATATCGTCGTTCAAAGTATGTCATATGTTGTTGATATATTCGGTCACATCAACCACAATAATAAAAACTTCCTAAGATCTATCGTATAAACAAATCATTGAGTACGATGCAAAGGTAGTTATTCTCCAACATTCTATAATTGGGTTTTCAACACAGCAAACATTGTATGTTCGGAAACATAAACATATATTGGAAACCTACCTATGGAATTAGTGTACCATTTTATACAATCTGTCAATTCTGAATGACAAAAATAGTGTTAATTGGAAATTTATCAATATTTACTAAGGGTAACTACCATTATTCGGTCATTACTGCTTCCCTGTGGTTATGAAGGAGTGAATAGTTCGTTACCCTGTTAAAACTTTTTCTTCTGTAAATAAAACCCAATAGAATATATGATACAAATAAGGGGCCTCTCATATATTAATATCATACAGGAGTGAGGGTTAAAAATAAAGTCGTGTATCGAATTGTCTCAAAACTAAAAGAAAAAAGAATAGAATAGAGTACGTAGGATTTTATATATGGATATACGCACTCAATATTCGTAGAAGAAAAATTTAATGCTCATTTATTTCATTATATTTCTTGGAAAGGAATAGATATATCAAAATATTATCCCGTTTGGGATAATAACTATTTTGCAAATGGACAAAACGGGTGTGTTCGAAAGAAACTACGTAGCTACACCAATGTTTCTTTTGGGTAAAGAAATAATTATATATAATCAACTGTACAGGGGTTAAATTAAAAATATTTGATAGTAAGGCTTATCGGTCATAAGTATATTTTCGCAAAACTGAATATATATTTTATTCTCGTTAGTTACATGGACAATCAAGACTTCTTTACTGAAAAAACTGGCAGTAACTGTTCAAAAGTTACACTTATATAAAATAGACTATGTAGTAATCTACCGCAAAGTCTAGATGTAAGAACATATACAGAGAGGGAGGTACGGTGCATTTAGTGTTAAGCATACCTAAAAAATATTTTTTTAAAATAGAAACTGAGTGTAAAGAGAGTACGTTCGCAGGGAGAATCTAAGACAAACAGTGAATAATATTGCATGTACAAGACATTAGAATTATAATTAAATATGCATTCTTATGGTTGCGTTATGAAATTAATGGTCAAGTAGCGATAGAATATATGGATATATATTCCTTACTGTCACCCCAATCTCCTAACAAGATCCGCGCGACAGGAGAAGTCCGTAGTTCGAAGTGTAAATAATCGTGTTTCAGATTTCTGTTCGCGTTATTGTCTCCGCTAACAAAGAAGAAAATAAAAATAGATAGCGTCAGCATATTTCAGTCTGAAATAATCAAGTTTGCTAGTTGATATTCCAATAAAGTTTTGGCAGAAGACCATGTGGTGTAAACAATTAACCGCGACAGCGTGTCTTTTCCCTCAGATGAAAAGGAGAGGGAGAGTAAAATATTACCTCTTAATTGTTACGAAACAGTTGTAAGTGGTTAGTTAACTCTTAATAGTGTTAATATGTACAGGATTTAAATTTTTGATTTACGGCAATAAGCATACTATAAGTGATAGAATAGTAAAAGATGTAACTCCGAAAAGCTTTACTTTACAACTTTTTATATTTAAAATGCATCTAAAGTAAGAGTTCAAATAATGAAAAGGTCATAGTTTTAAATGCCACTGGACAAGAAGATGCTATTCAGTATAGCTTTTTGTGTAATTTCTTACATTTTATTCCTTTGGATTGAGATGAAAGGATGAATAGTCCCTTAAATAATTATTAAAAATGTTACCCATTAAGGAAAATTGTTATTGTTTTTCAAGAAGAATAGAAAGATATCTTGGTAAATATTAATAGTAATAAAACAGTAGCATTTATATACCATTCACAAATGGGAACTAGGAACTGTAACACTGTTCGACATTTTCGAAAATGTCGATGTGATATAAAACACAGTTCAGATCTTAAGAGTCTTTGCAAGAGGTTTCAGTATCGTTAAGGATGATGCGGTTTTCCATTTAAGAGATGGCGATACCGATTACGAATTGAATATTACATCAGCGTTTATTACGAAACACGAACAATTCCTAATCTTAATTATCGTCCTCTCTCTCCCTTCTTCTTAGCGCCTGTTTAATTGATTGGCACGCTTTCTACGAAACAATGATATTTAGGTTCTTGCGAAGGGTACTCTCAGTTCTTTATGTTGTTTTTTATTCATTTTAGGTCATAATTAATCTTGTTATAACAATAATAAACAAACAATTAAACAAGCATAAACATGTACTTCTAATACGAATAAACATAAACATACGATAGTGTCAGTAAATAACGACAATAAATGCATCGTTTTTTTTAACTAAAATTCATTTGTTAGACCGATACTCGATTTGGAAAGAGAGAAACATTGCCCGACTCACGATATTCACAAGAGAACTCCACCCATTGCAGCTCTTTCTCCTCACCAAACAATATTAATAATAATACTAATAATAATAATAATAGCAATAATAACAATAGCGCATAAGATACATGTAGGGAATAGTGGCAATAGGACGACCTATCTTACAAACAAATAAATTAAAGACCTCTTAGGGCCCAGAAACAACTCTCAAAGGAAACCCACTAATGAATCGTGTCATTTTTTTTGCTACCTTGTACGTCGCACCGCGTAAATCCGTTCTCCTTGTAACAGAATCTCTCTGACGAAATAAACATAATCTGTAAATATTTTGAGATCTCAAACAAGAATAGCTGCAGGATATTGTACTATTTTACAGTTACTGCCTCAGAACTGTATCTCATCCTTTGGTATTATTTTTTTTTCTCAGATCCACAAGATGTATTTTGTTCATTAACTACTTCTTTGTCTGTAGCGCAGGAAAAAAGAGTTCTTAACTCGGTTCAATTTTTCAAGTTTCTCTTAAGACAAATACTCGGACAGTTGAAAGACGAAAAGAAAGAAAAAAAATATTCTCAATTTTTTTTAAGCGAAAAGGAAGAGGAACTGTCGCGTCCGTAAAGGGGAATGACTCAAAGATTCACGAACTTGACGACAAATTAGTTAATTAGTCGCCCCTCCCCCCGTTAAACAGATAAAATAATATTAAGTAAAGAGTTGAAATGAAGAAAAAATTTTCTCTTTCTCTATGGGTGTAAGTAAGAGAGGTGAAGGTTACTGATGAAAAAAAAATGTGATTAAGATAAGTTTACACACAGAGAAGGTAGTGTATCTTGTTATTATCATGTCTTATTTTGGATAATAAACATGATTCTTCTTACTCAACTACTGAACAGTTTGTCCTTTCCCTTGTCAACAACATAGAGAGGTAATGTTTATATCCAAAGAAAAATTTTAATATGTATAATTTCCCTTGTTTCAATTGAGGGTGGGAAAAGAAAAAATTATATATAAACAAGAATATTTCTTTAAGCTTAAAACAGTTTTAATTAATCTTTTTCCTCTCTTTCTCTTCTATCTAATTTTTCTCTATCAATAAATAAGACAATCAACCAAAATAGTTAAATATTTTAGTCAATTTCATTACAAGAACACATATAATATAACAATGCAATTCTTCAAGTTATCCGCTCTACTAGCTATTGTCTCCGTTGCTGCTGCTCAAGCTAACGTTACAACCATCTCTGGTTCTATCATCTCCGGTGCTTTCTCCGATCTACCAACCTTCTCTCCATCTTACTTCCCATCTGATGCTTTAACTGACTTGATTGGTGGTACTGCTTCCGATTAATTGGCTTCTTTATAATAAAAAATTTTTATCATTATTATTATTCAGACAGTCTCTTTTTAATGCCAATATAGGCTATGCTTTCATTTTTATGAAGCGTATGGACCGGTTTTAAAAAAAGTAATATACATTCCAAACCTTTTTTTATTGATATAGACTTTTTTCGATGAAAGAATCTTTTTAATTTCTATATATAACATTATAATTTTTTCGATACCTCCTAATTTTTTAAAGGTGTATATAATTTTCTATATATCATGAAATATATGTACTTTTAACACTAATTTTAATTAAAAAGAAAAAATACTATTGATATTAGTTAGCTTAGACCAACTACTTTTTTTAATAAATAAGAACTTTTAATATTATTTAAAGAACTTTGTTTATTGTTTCCAAGTTACAATAAACAAACTTATTCATCTTTGAAGGATTTTTTTCTTACATATTTTGAATTGAATAACAAAGGACTTTTCTTTTCCTGAGGTCACCAGGAATAGCTTCTTAAGATAAAAGAAAAAAAAAAGAAAAAGGCTCAACCCTTGCCAAATAACCCTTCGACTCCCCTTTTGTCTCATATGTTGTTTATAAATATATATCAGTCACCTAAATAGGAAATGGATAGCTTAGAATTCAAAACAACTATCCATTTTGGGTAATTGGTATACATGGTTCCATCCTCCTTGAAAATAACCAACTTAATGCCAAATTGCCAATGTTTTTATCTTTAAAAATAAAAAAGTTTGTTGCAAATCTATTGAAATGATCATTTAGTATGCAAGAGAATAAAACAGCTTGAAACCATGGTGATACTTGTTACAGAAATATTGAAAATCTGAAGTCCGAGTTCTCACCTTTTAGTTATGTACCGGTGACAGCATGCAGCTTTACACAAACTTTATAAAATGTTCCCTAATAAATATATGTCACAAGTTTAGTACTAGTGTACTGCTTCTTATAAGTTTCTTTACCTTAGTGTCTAAGATTTAGTTCAAAAATTGAACCAGAAGTTCGTTCAACTTTTGACATTGGGTGCACAATTTTACATACTAATATGTGTATAAAATAAAGAAAAATAACTAAACCAAATCCTTGATAACTTATAAATGAAGTCCAGTGATACTCAGAAAAATAATTCTTGAATAAAACACCACTCTTGTGTATATAATTTTTGATATAGGATGCAATAGAGTGTTCTCTTTAGAATTTCAGTTACTTAATATTTTATATTTCATTCTCAAGTGTGTAATTATAGTAATTACCTTTAAAATCCTGGTGGAATTAAGAATTTGTATTAGGAATAATTTATGAATTATCTTATTATCAAATAGTACTTTTTGCAGTTCTACAAGTAAAAGAATTACTGATTTTTTTATATGTGTCGTATATTATTAAAGTAATATTTTTAATGCAAGATACATGTCTATAAGTGTGAGTATAAACATATAGACCTATTGATCATGAATAAGTCTTTCTTCTAATCAAGAATAGTTTTTTGTAGTTTAAGAAAAAATAGTTATGATAAATATATTACGGTAATCAAAATGGTTAACTTGTATTCCTAGAATCTTCTATACAGTATGATATTCTTTTTGAGGCACTGTATCCTTGCGTTGACTGTCAAATTTTTACTACTCATGTTTCCAAGAATTTAAAAAAAAATCACTGGGTTAGAGTACAACGTAACTATGATGGTTTTCCAATACATAAGTTAACATCCCCATATATACATATATATAGTTTTTAGTTTATTTACCTTACCTTTCTCTATGGCAATGAAAATAGAGGCTAGCACTTTTATTTCAACAAGGCTTCCTATAATATTCTTTTGCAGTAAGTTAAAGAAATAAATTTTCCTGTCTTATAGCGTAAAGGACTTTCACAACATTAGTTTTTAGTAGAATGGGTATTAAGTGTGTCTTTATGTTAGAATTCACTTTAAGTTCTTACAAATTTTTATCACTATTGTTTTTTTGTTTACTGAACCTAGTACTTTAGTACATTTCCGAATAAACTCTAAAGCCAACAAAATATAAAATTAAAAAAAAATGGTATGTATATTTTCATCACCTATCCTTCAAAATTAAAAATTGGCGACTGAAGGTTTAAAAGACAAAGAGAATGTATCCAATATCCTAGCCATAATTTGTTAACATGAATACATGAATTTATAATACTGTTACTGAATTTATAGGCGTTTCAATTTGGCTCAATTTGTAAACAAAATTTAACTACATGCTAAATGCTACACACAGAACAGTAAACCTGTCTGTTTATATATTATTACAGTTATATACCCCTATTTAAAATTAGAACCTAAAGGTTTAATTTTAATTTTATCTTTTTATTCTTTTTCTTTATTATTTTATTACTTACCATATCATTTTGAATACTAGTAGTTTTACTTTTTAGACTATCGTCCCCCTCCTGGTTACTATTTACTTTCTTTTCAATCTTTCTTCTTTTCTTATCGAATGATTCTGTCTTTTGATCTAGGTATCTTTTGAGCTCATTTTCCTTTTTTTGTTCTTTATCCTTTATATCCTTGAAGAAATTAAGTTCTTCTCTACTAAGTCTATTGAACTTCTCTCTCTTTCTAACTTCGTTCTTGAATGCTTTCTGTTTACTTGCAGCATTCGAACGTAGTTGATCACTTAATGACTTTCTTGTCCTTCGTAACTTTTCAGTTTCATATTTTTCCTGAGCTCGTTCTTCTGAGTTTTTTTGCACTTCGATATTAGCTGAACCCTCTGAGATAAACGTAAGCTTCTTCTTTCTACTATTATTTGTCGGTATTGTTTCTGAAACCATCTTTGAGTCTATCCAGTTAGCTTTAATGTAGATAATTTACTTTGTTTTATGACTCTTATTCTGCAGCAAACTTTAATATTGTAAAAAGTTGAAATTGTTTACCTCATCGATTTTTTTAAATTCCTTTTTTCTATACAATAGCCCGAACTGGAGTTATATATTGAAACATGAAATTCGTACATGCTAAAACCTTTTAAGCATCTCCTTGTAGCGACCAGTAGCTATACCTAGCCCACGATGATTGAGGTTGCTATTTGTGGATTATATCTGAGTTCGTTTCTTTAGTAATGTATCAAAATAATTTTGTATCCCTTTCATCTAAATATATGACCACACACCATTAATATACGGTGCCGTTAATAATAATCTGATAATATTACCTATTCATACAACATTACTAATAATGATTCATTGTTTGAAAAATGTACTCATTAGAACCCAACAATATAAAAATATATTGAATAATCGAAATCTTTAAACTTTACCTTTTTAGAAACTCAGTGTTTGGTTATGTTTTGACTACAAGCAGGAAATGAAATCTTGAAACTTTTAGTTAGCTTTAATAATTGATTATCTTCTTTATTCGATACTAATAGAAAAAATTTGTTGGTCGAGAACGTTTGTAAATAATGTAGATATTATTGTGTCGGATGTGTAGTAGAAAGTTAAGAAGAACTTATCTTAGATTCTGTAACGCCTATTGAAACACTGTCGAATCCCATAAAGTAGCTACTTCACAACCAATTACATTAATATTAACGTCTTGAAAATAGAGTTAGTTTCATAATTATGCCTACATGAATCCAATATCTATTAAGAGGAAAATATTCCTCGTAAGATATTATTTGGTTTTCAATTTTCAATCTATAATTTTATATTTTTTACAACAAAAAGAAGCAACGATATATATGATGAATACAAAAATAATAATGTATTTTTGTACAGCATTATCTATAATATTTTTCTTTGATTCTTTTGTTAGGTAATATTTGTGATAGTGAACTGTACTCTGCAGACCTTTGCATAATAGACCTCCGTTTTAACCAATTACTGATCACAATTCGAAGAAAAAATAACAACAAAACACACACAATATATATCATATTATAAAATAAAATTCACTTTTCATTATTCTAGCACAAGACATCCAAAGAGAGTTTCTCCCGTAAACGACTTATGGATAATTGGCATTAAAAATTCAACATCCTTTAAAAATATAATTGTATAAACAACCGTAAAAGGAATTCATTTTAAGAATCTAAGTTCAGAAAACGCTCTTAGTAAGAGTGTGTTATTTACTCATTCATTATCGAACTTATGGGTAAAATTTGAAGGAATTTGAGGCATAAGGTATGTTTACTAACTTCTAATTTTAAACAGAATGTCTTCCCTTACATGCCTTATGATTTGATATTATATTGCAATAAATCCGACGTGGATTATGAATACCATTCATTTCTTTCGATATATTACAGACAAGTATCGAGCCTCTAATTTTTTGTTAATTCAAGTTCTAAATAATTAATTATGATTGTAAAATACGATATTTCAGATATAAGACTGAATTTTGTATAAATATTACGTTTTACTTGAATTTATGTCTATATTGAAGCTCTTTATATTTTTATTATTTGAAGATTTACCACGATATAGTGGAAATAATACGAATTTTGTGATAAATAAGTTGTAAGATAAATGGTTACCCGAACATTCAATTAGTGACTTAAAGAACGGTTATTTTCTACTTTTCAGAAATGCGGATTTAGCTCAGTTGGGAGAGCGCCAGACTGAAGAATAACTTCGGTCAAAAAAGAAATCTGGAGGTCCTGTGTTCGATCCACAGAATTCGCATTCTTTTTTTTTACAGATATTTTGGTCGTTTGTTCACTTAATAGTGAGATACAACTACCAACATCTGGTTCTCATGTTATTTTTTTTGTTTTATGTCACAGAAAATTTTAATATTTTCCTAGTTATTAAATTAAATACAGGAATGTGGCCAATTCAAGGAGATATGGCCATTTAATTTAAAGGAAGGTATTGTGGTAAGTTAATTATTTGTAATTCGATTCTATAATGTACAGATAACTAATCGAACGTGATAAATTAAGGATGGTTATAACGTGATAGATCTAGTGTGCTAGATTATACTAATTGATAATGTCACAAAGTTACCGTGTTTAAGTTAACGTTTATGATATTATGTTCTGAAATTAAACTGCCCATGTCTTAGTCTCTTCTTATTGAATCTCTCAAATACATTTAATTAATCGAAAACTTCTTAACTTCTCATGTATACCATATTTATGGAATGTCGATGCCCATCGGCATCGACAAATATCATATTCTGAGTCGGTAACATTTTTGTCTTCGCGTACAACACCTGAAAATGCGATTATCATCGAACATGTAGCATATTTAGAATCTCTCTGTGAGATTTTATTATTATTATTATTATTATTATTATTATTCCATTCTTATAATCAGCTCTACGATTATATTTTTCAATCTTTTTTAGTAGGAATAGTTTAGGTGCTGAGTTTCCACTTCCACGAAAATCAATATTTATGAAAACGAAATATTTTGAAATAAAACTTTTCAGAGATTAATAAGTACAAAATATATGCAAATAGATAATTAAATAAATGATAATATATGCAACAGTAAACTTTTTGTAAGAGATTATCTATTAATTATGCGAAACTAGTTTCATCAAATTTCATTGAGGTATCACTAAGTTCTACAGGTATCATATCCACTGGGGCCCAACCGTTTCCCTGAAAAATACTGCCTCTTGCTGATGATGATGCTGTACTTCGAAGTGAGGTCACTCCCATACTCCTTGGGATTGCTCTCGATACATTACCTGCATCAGCACAGTCAAATGATCCGTCATGATTAAATTTATAATTAGACGTAGTGATGTTATAAATATATGATATTTCTCCAGAAGATAAACCTCCTTTTGACTTAACTCTGTAATTTTTCCAATCTTCATATGCATCTGGAAACTTTGTAAGATCATCATCGGTGGTACTTATATCCAACAAATCATATTCCCTCTTATGGGAGCTTGAACTGATATTAGAAGTTCCACCTGTTGGTAAATTTAATGCAAGTGACCCAATAGCACACATTTCATCCTTTAGTGACGAATGTGACGGTTTTAATTCAATATCCTTTAAATCAACTGATAATTTTCGAGATGATGTCGGCACGACCTTGAAGACCTTATGTTCACGAGGTGGGAAGGATGAGATGTCTCCTTGAGAATCTCTTAAGGATGCAAGTTTATCACATAATGGTAACTGAGAAGACATTATTTTTTCTATCTCATCAATTGTCTGAACCCTCTTGCAGTTTCTGGGAATTATTTGGCTACCAAAGTTATCGTGCGAAGAATAATTCTCAGTCAGAAACGTAGATACACATTCCTTATTTGTGTCATCCTTTAAAACTTCTAAAACTTTTGACTTTCTTTTTGCAGGCCTTCCTACTTTCTGTTTCTTAACTGGCTGTTTACCATTTGGTAAATCGTTCACGCTTGGTTTTCTTACCGCATCCGTATAATTCGTATTTATAATATCCTGACTACTTGATTCAGCAACTGAGGGAGTCATTGAATTAGTCCTCAATGTTACTCTTTGTGAACTAGTGTAATTTGAAGGTGATCTACCTCTAATTATTAAAGGCGGTGTATTCATTTCTTGTAAATATACAAATAAGCCCTTTTCTCCATTACCAAGTGCGACTTCATCACAGTGTGTTGTTTTAAAATTGCCTTCGAGATCCTTTGTCTCTATTACTGCTCCTAATACAACATAGAGACGAAAATGTTTATTTTGTTGACTAGGTTTCTTAACATTTATTGAGGACGCAAATTGCACTCTTTCATACCTTGCAACCTTTTGTATACAATCCTCAGGATAGGAATGAAGTATGCCATCCATATCATATTTATTGTCCTCTTGATCCCTATGAAAAAAAAAGGTTGAATCATATTTTTTCATTTTATTTGTGTTTCTAACATTTGATGCTTCCCTGATAATTTGGTGTTTTGGTAAAGATGATGGTATTAACGGACATAATTCTGGGGCAAATTGTGGACCTTTATCTCTCTTTGCAGTATGTTGTACTAAATTAATTTCTGAATACTCATTATCAGTTCTTGCCTTTATTTTAACAGCAAAATATTTAATATTTGCAGTCTGCCTATAGAAATTTTCTACAAATGTCACTTGGTATGAGGAATCCAAAAATTTCTCAAGTGAATAATTACGAACTTGAAAAGAAGTGACTAATGTGAAATAATTTCTCTTATAACCTACCCACTCATTATCGATATTATCGAACCCTCTATCAATACGAGGAATAATTTTGAGATTAACACTTTGACCTGTCTTATTATCAAGAACGTTTCCAAATTTATTGGATAATTGAAATGGTGGACCAACTTTAAACTGTAAAGTAGACCTTGGTGCTATTTTCACCTTTCGCTTATCAAAGTAATTTGAAGTAGTTCCATCCTCGTTAACTTTCGTCAATATCATTGATTCACCATCTGCTTCATTTTCAATCAATTGAGGTGACTGGTTCTCATTATTTAATTCTTGCATAGTAATAAAAAAAAGGAAAACTTGAGAAACAATAAGAATTAGTATCGTGGTTGTTGTGGACAAATAAGTAGAGAATAATACTCAACAAATTACGAACAGAATTATTTTGAAGGGTAAAACTTTTCTAAAATTAATTGGTTTAACAATTTCTCGGAATATTTAAATCCAAATGAAGGTCGAATTACCTAATTTTGAAAACTAAAAAATCATCCGAATAGGGAACAGTTTTCAATAGTCAATTGAAACGAACGAAGACATTCTAATCAACATTGTAAAAAAGATGGGAACATTCTTTATGTTTAAATTATTATTTTGTGTCATGTTGTGTCGTGTTTCCCTAAAAGATTTCCCTTTTCCACCACTTTGCCGCTGCCGCACAATTTTGATCTGACAGTAATAACAATAATTACAAATATATTATTGAACCAAATAGAAAAAATAAGAAGGTGATCCTAAAGAAAAAAGCAAATCAACACATATACTGCTGTTACTAATATTATTATAGAGTAGTTTGAAACTTTATCAGTCTGAAGCTTAATAAATAAGTTTACATATTTGAGATTATTTGAATGACATGTCGTATTCTTATATCACAAGTTGATTTAAATAAATTTAGGATGTTTTATGGTCAATGCATAAACATCCAGGTAGTTTGTAAATTCATATATGATCTCATTTAAAAATAGAGCATATATACCAAGTGATAAACCACAGCCTAACCAAGACAAAGCTTCAATAATGCTATCGGTTGAGTGTTCGGCAGTGAAATTAATTGCAATTAAATATGAAATTAGTTGCGAAAGGGGGATGAACATGGAAATGTTGAACATTGGATAACTTTGTTTGGTTAAATGGCTTACAATAATTCTACCAACGAAAAATGCTACTGTGGATCCAATTGAAAGTACAAATGAGAAACCGATGAACCTTTTCTCTACAGTAACTATAATAATAACTGATATCACATACAATATATATGGTAACAGACCCTTCATTGCTTCTTTAATGGCAATATCCATATTCGAACTTGATTTTTCTTTTCTATAATGATCTGTAACATTTCTTCTTGCGAAATAACAATTCAGAATTAAACCAAGTGTGAATGTAACTAAAAGGAAATCAGTAGTCTTAAAAATATATTGTTGACCATTTATTTTAAAAGTTGTTAAAGTTGTACGCCATATAATGTCTGGTCCAAATATAGCTGTAGCCAGGTACGCTAAACAAATAGCAAGGATACCTTCCACAGGACCTGATATTTCTGATAAGAATAACACATGGGTGTGATACTCTTCCCAAGTGCTCAAATAAAAATTTGTCAATACTGCAAATTGTGAATATATCATCTTGTAACCATACCCTGTACCAATTGCAGAACAAAATATGTATGCAGAAAGTGTAGTATTGATCGCATCTATACTATGATCAAATAATTCACCTAGAGGACCTGATTGTCCAGTACGACGAGCATGAACACCATCACAACCGTCAAATGTTTGATAAAGAAATAAACCAATTGCATTGAATAAGTACACCCAACGTGGCATTTCCGATTTTAACTGTGGATCATAATATAATGTAACAATGAGGTTAATTAAGATAAATCCTAATCCACTTAGTGTGACAAGGTTTGGCGCCATCCATTTGGGGAAAACTTGTACGAACGTGTTCCAAAAGGGTTTAAGAAATATTTTGGTAATAATGGATCTGTCCTCACTCTGATACTTGTAGTGTCTCAAGTTTTCAATTGAGTGACCTGGAACAAAAAAACCCATTTTTTTCCTTTGGGATCACTAATAAAATCTCTTGTCTTAATCGGTGTGGCTGTCAACAAGAATAGCAAGAATATCTTTGATGATTGAAAAACAACAAAGTACTCTAAACTTCTAACGATTTGGTTTATCCTTTTTAGTATTGCCAACACATTTCTACCGCAATATTTCCAGGAAATAATAGAGTTGTACTTTTTAGTTAAAGTGATTTGAATAGGTTTGTTTATTCATTGTTAATTTCCGTCTATTATGGAAACAACGATGACCTTTCTCGATAGCGTGAAAATTTCACAACTCTTAGCGAGATTTTTCAGCGAACTTTCACATGCAACAATGCAACCGTTTGGATAACAAATTAAACACGAATACGTATACATACATACATACTTACTTACATACGTACATCCATACATATATACATAATATAATGTATTTAACGAGAAGGGAGGATATTTCTCTACCATTCACATCTGAAAACCATAAAAAAATTAGAAAACCACGCATATTAACTTTTATCTATTTACAAGTTTGCAACATCTTGGATACAACACCTAATAATTGCTCGTTCTCACAAGCAGCCGCAACTCTCTCTTTATCGTTTAGTTGCTTATTTACTTGTTGCTCACTATTATGGGTTCCTTTCTTTAATAAGATTGTTATTCTGAATCTAGGTGGAAGGGCTCTTTCCAAACGGACACGGATACCAAGTCCTATCAAAGTAGCTAAAGAACAATGTGTAATAGTTGGAGTAATTCTTATAACAACCTCTGCAAGATGGTCAGGATTACCGTCATCATGGACTTCAATATCTGGCAGATTTACAATAGAAAGCTGTCCTAAAGTTAAAGGATGTTCAGGATCACAGATATGTGCTGTAAGATCATATATTTCCTGTACATCAACAGGGTCTGCAGGCTCGCCTAAATATTCTTCGCATATATTTTCATTTCCAGCTCCAAGTATACTCTCATCATTTAAATCTGAATCACTTTCTGTAAGTAAATTCTCAGTGTCACTTATTAAATCTGGTGTATTGTTTAGCAGAAGTAACTTATCTAGTAACTCAATATTATGTAAAACTTGAGATGTAGGTGAGTGGTCTATCTTTAATAATAACTTTTTTCTTTCTAAAGCCTCTTTAGAACCAAAATTTTCAAATAACTGTTCGTTATCCTCCTTTCTGGATGGAAGTTCATCGACTTCTAACACGTCTGGGTTATCATTCAAATACTCGGACATATTTTCGTTGAAATTATACGTAAAATTTCCGTTTCTGGCCTCTTTTGAGTTTGCAGTTAAAACTAGGTTCACTCTTATTATGTAAAATATGCTCTTTCTTGGAAGATATTAAGAGTATTATCTTCTATCTAGTATGTTCCTGTGCTATTTAAGTAATTACTAATCATTTATTTGCAAAAATTATTTATTAGTCAAAGAGAGCATCGCATAACTAATTACGCATATATTTTTTCCCCATTTTATAGGTAGCTCCCTCACTGAAAAAAAAATTAGTACGTAAGCTCCCACTATGAAGAGAACTTTGCGTCAATGGAAAAGCTACATCCATTCCTTAAATGATTATAGTTCGAATGATAGGCGAGATGTTGCTCACTCTCTACCATTCTATATGCATTAGTTGACCCAAAAATGACTATTATGTACACAATAACTATCTAGATGTCACGGCTTTAATTACCGTCCTTCCCTGCTGTTAGGATTTGTTCGGCCTCTTCAAGTACACTCTCAGGAAAACCTGCCGATCTTGCAACTCTAATGGCGTCTGATTTCGTACAGATTCCTGGAACCATTCTATAATCGTAGTAAAACTTAATTCTATCTATTTCAATCATCTTACTTTGGAAAAATTTCACTTTTTTACTTAGGGTCGTACCAGGTCTTTTTTGTATTAAATTATTTAACTCCTCGCCAAAGTGAGTTGCAAACAAAGTTCGACATTGGTTCTGCTCTGCCATGAAATTCATTGCAGCATAAGCGATACTGATACCTTCCTTTCCACTCGTTCCTCTTCCTATCTCATCTAATATGGCCAATGATCTGTTTGTGGCACCATGAAGAATAAATGATGTTTCAATCATCTCTACCATAAATGTACTCAATTCATTATAAAGGTCATCTGCAGAACCAACACGGCTAAAGATTTTATCTACTAGTCCAATATGTGCACTATCACAAGGAACATAAGATCCAATTTGTGCTAAAATGACAATTATTGCGTTTTGCCTTAAAAATGTTGATTTACCACCCATGTTAGGTCCGGTTATTACCCATATATCCCCTTGATCCAAATTACAATCATTTGAAACAAATCTTTGTAACGATTTGCTTGTTATACCTTCTTCAACCATCAAATGCCTTCCTTTATTAATTTTTAACTCTAAACTGTTATCAACTTTTGGACAAATTAAATTTTTTTCTTCTGCCAATTTAGCAAAGGAAGATAATGTATCTATATAAGCCAATGTCGAATTAATTATTCTAATTTCATTACATCTTTCTAATAATTGAGTCTTGAATGAATTTAATACATTATCCTCCTCCTTCTTTATTTTCAATAACGATAACTCTATTCTAGAAGCCCTATCCGTTAATTCAGAATGTGATAACCAACGAGTTTGATTCGATTTTTGTAGCGTATGAAACGTAGCATCCATAAATTCGTTATTTTCATTTACCCAATTATCCAGTTTAACTAGAGAGGTTGGAGATCCATTAACTAATAAAGCAAAACTATTATTTTGCCTTTGTTTCAGTGTTGCTTTTCTAATTCCAAATGTATTGATAAGGAATTCAGAACAGATGTTCTCAAAAGTGTCCTTCTTTTTAAGGTTCAAAAAATACTCATCATGATACCTCTGTAATAGCGGAGAATATCCTGAAGGAATAATTGTATCTAATATATCACGCTTTGATTCACTGTTTGATATACTTTTGTCTGTATTCTGTGACTCCACATCTTCACCAGTATCAGGCGATTTTTCTTGAGAAATTACTTTATCCTCATTAATAGATTCCAAAATGTTATCTATAAGTGTGGTATCGAATGTGAGTTGATCAATTAATTTTTGAAGTAGTATTTGTTCTTTCTTTCTTAATGTTGGCATAAGAGCTATCATCATTTTTGATATCCCAAAGGCAGTTTTTAAGGACTTTGATATTTGGATCAAATCAATAGCAGTCCCTTTACCAAAGCTGAATTTTTGTAGTATTCGGGATAAATCATTTACTTCCCTGAGTTGGCTTATTAGCGTATTGTTAAAAGAAAAATTTCGTTTGAACAGTCCTACAAAAGTTTGCCTTTCTGTAATTTCAGACAAATCTAAAGAAGGTGCAGATAACCAGTTTGTCAACAACCTTGTACCAGATGGTGTTACAGTTCTCCTAATAGTGGATAGTAAAGAGCCTCTTTTACCGTTGTTCATTATTGTAGAGTGCAACTCGAGTGCCGAATTGGTCCTCGAATCAATTTGCATTATACGTGTTGTGGATTGTCTTTCAGGGAGTTGAAAATTAACAGAACAATCTGGAAGATGATCCTGAACGTATTCGAGGATGTTTCTTAAAGAGGCTATCTCTTTTTGGGTGAATGATCTTAGTTTATGATCCAATTGGCGCCTTATAAAATCATTATTTCCACTAAAGAATAAATTATAGAAAGTATCAACAGTATGATATTGAGCTGGAAGAGTTTGGAACTTCACAAAATATTTTTTTAATTCAACAAGTTCAGGATACCATTCGCCATTTTCAATATTAAATTCAAGTAATTTACTATTTAGGATAATCTCCTTTGGTTTTATCCTAGTAATCGCAGATATCAAATCCTTTAATTGCACTTCTTGAACGAAAATTTCACCAGTGGACAGATCACACCAACAAAGACCAATTTTTGTATTTGAATCAGCTAATTTATTCATACAATTAGATGGGAACTCAATATTTAAAAGGTATGAATTTTCCCTAAAATTTTCGAAAGCCTCATCAATAAATGTACCTGGAGTAACTATCCTCGAAACCTTTCTGAAAAACTTATTTGGATCGTTATCTATAGGTGTATGATTCTGGAATTGATCCACTATAGTAACACTATACCCGAGCTGGTTCACCAACACCTTTAAATGTCTATTCAATTGGCTCAAAGGAAAGCCAGCAAAAGGAACCTTCCCAGAACTGTATTTCTTACTTGTCAAAGAAATATTTAATTTAGGGGCATACTGTGTTGCATGCTCAAAGTATAACTCGTAGAAGGATCCCATCTGGGTGAGAACTACATTATTCTTGTGAACATCCATGATTGTTCTCACCTGCCTTAATGAAGGTGGTAACAGAGTCTTGTCATTATCTTCCTTTTGCAAAAATTTTGTTACCTCATCGTTGTTAGAAGATATGAGATTATCAGAAATACTTTTTTTCAAATTATTTAAGTCTATTCGAATTGTTGTTATTTGAGGTGCTTTGGTTTTATCGAGAACCGTACTATATAGCCTGACTCTGGTTGATTGCTTTAAAATTTTGTGACAAAATAATGAACGACATATCATCCTCAAATAATCCCACAGAGTGAGAAGAGAACACCTTTATAATACAATGAACTAATTCAAATAACTAGACCTTTCTACTTTTTTCATCAGTTCAAGATGATCCCATCACATAAACTAAATTTTCACTTGGTTTACCACATTCATATATAAAAACAAAAAGTAGTTCCTAACCGCGCGTTGAAGACGCGTTACAGTAACAAGTTCGGAACGTTCTCATTGTGAGAGTAACGAGTAGACCAAACAGGATGAAATAGCTCTGCAACATTTTTTAAATCACTCTTGATTTGAGAATCCAATTTACCGTAAATGACTAAATTTTCTACATATTTACATATTTAAAGAACATATTGTGAATGAAGTTTTCGCATAAAGCTGACTCAAAAATACCCATATCGTAGATCAAAGGTCTAGTTCAAATATCCCTTACAGTTTGGTGCACCACATAGACATATTAACCGCTCCTCGTCATCTGTTTCTCTTTCAAATTTGTAATCATAGGTAAGTTCCTCATTTTTCCCAATATCTCTAAGGGCGTATATAACAATTCTTCTCTTACCTCCAACTTTAATGATCTTGGCTGTACAACTAGGATCACAACAATGGTTAATAAATCTTGCAATACCACCTCTTTTTGTCGCATCAATGACATTATTTTCATCTACTCTAAACAAGTAACTGGAACCTATACCACTCTTCAAATATCTTTTCTCTCTCATTTCTGCTACAGGTTGCCTAATACGTTCACCGACATATTCAATAATCATTTCTTTAGCAGCAATAGGCTCTAAGGCATATAGACCCCAGTTATGAATTGCAGATCTGGCAAATGTTACCGGCTTCTGCCTCTTATTCAGTTGGTTTAAGGATAATAAATCCGATTCTGTACCAATTGCAGCCTTTTGTGCGTCAATATCTTGTTGGAATCTTCTGTTGGAGGCTCTATTTTCTCTAGAGGAAGATACTTCAATTCCTAATGAAGCTACATCTTGTTTTTCTTTCTTCAGTACCTCTTCACAAGTACCAATTAGCTCTGGTGATTCGTCATGATCCTCCATTTTGTCTGTGTTCATGTCATCATGGGTATAGACAGTATTCAATGGTTTATGAGCTCTGCGACGATGTGGTAAATATGTTGATTTTAGAGCATCTGGTACTGATACATAACCATTCGCTTTGAAGGATGTGCCAGGATGTTGCAACTCAGAACTCATTTTGATATTATCGTTTAGTTTGAGTTGTGATTCTTCAACAAGCCTTTCATTGGTGTCCTCTTTTTTCATTTTCCAAATCTCATAATTAACTAATGAACTTTCCAATGATGTTGGCTCTTCAATTTTTGATTGAACATCCATAACTTTCATTAGTAGTTGGATATCCTCATCGTCCTTGATAATTTCTTGGATGATGAATGGAGTTACGTGCGATATATCAGTAATTGTGTCTTTAAACACCGGCACAGGAGTTTCTGTCATACTTGGTTGATAAATTTCATTAACAACATCATATGCAGATTCAATAATGTTCTCATTTGTATCAGAAAGTGATTTGGGAGTAATTTCGCCTTCCTCCAATTTGGATTTCTTAAGTTTTGGTTTAATACTCTCTTCTTCCTCTTCTTCTTCCTCCTCCTCCTCTTCTTCTTCTTCTGATGATTCTGACAAAGATGTTTCGGAAGTGTGGGAAGGAATATTCTCATCGGTTGATAGAGGTGTTCCCTCTTTAGATGTACTATCTTCATTCAATAAATGAGCCATCGGAGTGATATCCATTGTAACTTGCTTCCTTTTTGGAATTCTGACAAAATCGCTTCCATACGAATTACGTCTAATTCTATTTTTGTTAGAATGAGCACCATATAAGTTGAAAATATCGAGTTCTTTGCTGCTATCTTTACGGCTCTCTTCTTCTTTTGCACGTTTATCAGCAATGGCTTTTCTTTTCTCCTCATCTTTAAGCTTTTTACGTTCCAATAAATCAGGAAAGTTCTCAGCATTAAGTGAATCAAAAATGGTTGGGCCAATTAATCTTCTTTTGATATCCAAATGAAGTGCCTTTTCTAAATCAGTCATAATAATTTTCATGGCGGCGTCTATTAATTGATCCTTAGTTTGATATGATACTTTGGATTCAGTAGTACGTTTCCCGCCTGAAGATGGATTAAACCTTTTCCCTATTGAATTTGGTACAACTTTTATCAATACAAATTTTACTGCAACCGACTTCCTCTGAGTCAAAGAAGGTAATATGAGCTTTTCAGATTCGTTATCGAAACACCTTTTGGCCTCTTTTAAATCATTGAACACAATATATATCCCTGTACTATGATCAATGAATCTTGAATATTTGTAATTTCTCATCTTGTATCTATAATTTTCTGTACGAAAACCATTGACTACATTAAACCTCTTCGGAATATACAAACAGGGTCTTTGATTTACAAGTTGTAAAATGTCGTAAGGTATTCTTTTATCTTGTGTATTATAATACTTTCTGTAAATCGTGTCATCGATATCTAGCACAACGCTTTCTGTTACGGTATCCTTCCCGTTCACCAAAGAAGAAGAAGAAGAAGTAGAAGGTTTTGAAGGTGCAGTAATGGTTTTAATAGCATTGATCTTTTCCTTTCTTTCCTGTTCTTGTTTTGCTTTATCTAGCCTTTTTTTATTCTCAGCTATAAATCTTATCTTTGTCGATTCCAAAATACCATTTTTATTTAATACAACTTTGAAATTGGAACCTATTATCGAACAATTTTCATTTTCATATCTCTTCGAAGCCATATAAGCCGCTCTAGCAGCATCATTTATCTTACCTTCGGGACTAGAATATTTTATTAAATAAATATGTAATGGCAATGCATTATTTGGATCATTAAAACTTTCAAAATGCGAAATTTCTCCAAATTTTCTAAAATGATTCTTGATTAGGATTTCTTGAATGGAATTAACTGAAGATACAGGGTATACAATTATCTCACAGGTAGGTGGTGGCCCAACAGAATATTTGTCATATGATATACGACCAATTTTTAATAGTGATGTTCTCACTTTCCTCATGGAGGGTTTCGTTTGACCAAAATGTGAGCTACGTGGATCTTCACCTAATACATCGGGACGTCTCGTTACCTTAATCTGTTTGATCTGTTTATTATCAGAGACAGTTATGTTGTCTCGTTGTAAAGTAAAACCATCCTTAGGATATTCTCCTTTAGGGTTCCAGGAATGAAAATCCTTCTTATGAGTTAATATCTGTGATATGGGATCAAAATAATGGTATTTAGGTTTGAAAAACTCATCCTGATACTTAAGAATAGGTGCTGGTCTATTATAACTCTCCTCATTAGTTTGGTTAACTGAAACACTAGCGTTAGCAGGTCGTACTGGTATATTTGAGTATCTAGATGAAGGTACACTCGAATAACGAGATGCTCCATGGGTTGACCTGTTATTATATCTATTGGTACCTTGGCCTTGGTGTGATGAATTTGGATCATATGTATTTCTGCCATATGGCCTATTTTGATAATATCGGTCATGCGTATAACCATTCCTGTTAGATGAAGGTGCTTGATATGGTCTTCTATGATAGCCAGACATTATTCAGAGTATCTTTTGAAATTAGAAATGACTTATATTAGAGAAAGCACAGCGATGCAGCAAACAATTCAGTGGGAATAAACAGGAAATAAAAAAAAATAACGAAAAGAAATACTATACTTATGGAAGCTGACTTAAAAGTAGTCGAAAAGTATATAAATAAATGTTTAATTAAGTACTGCAGTTATCGTTCCTCTTGTTTCCGTTTGTCTGTCGATAATAACGACTGTGAATAAGCTTGTGAATGAAATAAATATAGAGGAAACGCGTCTACCACTACTCCTAAACAATGTGTCTTGCACCAATAAAATCAATCAGAAAGTTGAGGATTACCACTGCTATATTGATTCAAATAGTTAATAGTCTCTTAATGCTAACTTTGGTTCAAAAGTAATGCAAACTCTGACTGTAATATTTCTATTTGTTTATCATTAGAAAATGTGTAATTGTAGCCATATGAAAGAGATGAAAAGTGAAAGAGAGGGACCTTTTACATGCGAAAATCCGGTTGCGTCAAAAAAAACAAAAGTGAAATTTCAAGAAGTTTTTCTGCCAAATCAAAACAAAAACAAACCAAAACAATACAAAAAGAGGGAACCATTGGTGATTTCTATCAACTGATATAAGTGATATAAGAATTTATTACATTTACTTTATTCTGGATTCTTTTTTAATTGTTTTAAAGGTATATTTTTCGGTTCAATAAGGGGGAGAAAGTAATGTCAACTAGCCAGCAGATTCAAAAGACAATCCTGGATGTCATATACATTGATGATCCAGATACTATAGACTGGTCCAATGGTTACCTGAAAAGATTACAGTCTGCTACATCTACTCTATACAATGCCTCTTTTAACAAAGTGATGTTGAGACCGAATGAAGAAGCTGCAAGGTGTCACATATGTGCCTACATGGCTTGTCAGAAATTACAAGAGAAAAATATTCCTGATTTACAATTTTTTATGGATAATATTCCATTGGAACCTAAGAAAATACGCCATCTTCTTGACATATTCAAACAACAATTATATCAAATGTCACCTGTCAAAGGGATACAATGGTCCCCAAGTCCCAAGAAGAAAAGTCGAAGAAATTCGCCATTGAAGAATAATGATAGATTTACCGCGACTGATCCTAAAGAATTACGAGAACAATTATTTGGTACACCATCGAAACGGAAGGATCAATCAAAAGAAAATTTATTGCCACCTTCTGCACCAATGTTTGCCGATAGTCTTCCAGATGAACCACCTTCAGGTAGTGCGCCTACACCAAGAAGAAAACTAGCCTTTGAAGAAGATGATAGTGATGACGAACAAACTAAAGAACCCTCGAAAAGAAGAAGAACCACTGGTAAAGTAACTGGCTTGAAGAATAAAACAAACGGGGAATCTATATTTGGTGGTAAAAATAGCTCTATAGAAGAAAAAATCGTTGATGATAGTGACAGTGATGATAACTATAATCCAACCAATGAAAATTCAAATGATGTTACAAATGATTCTGATGTTGACGCCGAACTTGATGCTGATGATAACGTTGATGACCCTAAGAACGAATCAGATAAAAAAGAGGGGCTTAATACGGCGTCACAAAAGAGAGCCCAACTTTCGAAAACTCAACGTATGGGTGCGGTGAAATTTAATAAGACGCACTCTGCTATTGATAAGGCCAATTTATTAACAAGACGTTACGCAAAACCAACATTAGATGAAGTTATTCAAGTATGTAACCAATTTGAACTTCCTAGAGCAATTGCATTACATGTCATAGATTCATTCTTAATGAATGCCAACTATTTAATGTGTCCTTGGCAGTTTGTATGTGGACTGGTGATGAACTGTGTCTATGTTGTATTTCATGAAAGAAGACTAAAGGATCCACGAGTAGATCACTTGATTATGGAAAAAATGATGCATTTGATGCATTGTCCCGGAGCTGAAGAGGTAGTTGAATGTATCAAAATTGTAAAGGAATCATTAACTGGTGAAAAATGGTTTAGAGATATGCAGATTAATAATAATTATTTTGATGGACAAGGTTATGAAGAAGTAATTATTGGGAAATTAGGTTCTATGCTACAAAAGAAAAATTATTTAGTAACAGATGATCAATATGCTGTTTGGAGACGAAGAATTGAACAGGATTTATCTATGAGACAAACATAGTGAAAAATATAGAATATATAAATGTATATGTAGGTTATCTATTAATAATTAATACATAAATAAATACACATGTAATTATATTTATATATTTCTTACAAACATTTCAATTAGAATTGTTATTATTTACAAAAGACAAAAAAATAATCACGAGCAAACACACACACACACACATATATACGTACACAGAAATGATCAAGCGGGTTATGCATGGGAAGGAAAGAAAGAAATAAAGAGAGAAGTAAAAGATCAGCTTAAAAGTAAATACTTAAAAGAGATCACATATGTCCTTGTGCACGGTATTGAGCCAATGCTTCTTCAACTTTAGCTCTAACGACTGGATCTGCTCTAATTCTCTTTTGAACTTTAGCGGCTTCAGCAAAAGTTGTAGCTTGTAATTTTTCCTCAATGGTTCTTGCCAAATCTGCGGCTTCTTCAAATAGAGTAATAGCATTATCAACATCTTCTTCTTGTAATTTCAATTGAGCTAAACCAACTTTAGCTTGTTCAGATCTTGGATCAAGTTCACAAGCTTCTTCAAATAATTTAGAGGCTTCTTTGAAGTTTTCAATACTTGGTTGTCTTGAGATTACTGTAGCCTTACCTACTAAAGGAGCAATACCAACACGAATTGTTGGTTGTTGGGTCTCTAATTTTCTAGCAATTTCATATTGTTTACGAGCTTCATCAAAATCACCTTTATCAGCTAAAATTTCAGCAAAAAAAGTTGGAACTTCTGGAGCAATTGGGAACTTCTTTCTTGCTAAATCAAATTGTTGTTTACAACCTTCGAAATTAGATTCACGATACTCTAAACAAGCTAATTGAATGTAAGGGAAGATATTATTTTCATCAACTTCCTTAGATTTAATAAAATCAGCTCTAGCTAAATCGTATTTTTGAGTAATAAAATATAATTGTCCTCTATGATAATAAGTAGCGGAACAATTTGGATCTAATTCAAGAGCTTTATCGAAATAAGTGAAATAATCTTGAGTATCACCTTTATCAGCCATAGTTAATGCCATATAGATATAAGAATTAACACGAGGATGTAATTCAATTGCTCTCTTAATATTTTCTTGAGCACCAGCCAAATCATTTTTTAAGAATTTAAAGATACCAACATATTCTAAAGAGATAGCTAATTTTCTCTTAATAACATCATTAGTCTTATCAGTTTCATATTGTTCTAAGAATCCCTTTGCAGCAGAATCGAAATTCTTTTCAGCATTTAAATAACCAACATTAGTTGCTGAATATAATTCAGTTAAACCATTTTTCAATGATTTATCATTTTCATTAGTTTCATCATAATTATCAAAATTTACTTCTGGTTTAAAGATACCAAAGAAAGATGCCAAAGCAGTATCTGAAGGTAATTGTTGAGCGATCCCCGAGGTGACAGTAACAGTCTCATCATCTTCATTATCAGGAATATTTAATTTTTCCTTTAATACTCTCATAGCTTGTTTGTTTAAGTTACGTTCTAACATTGGTTCAATAGAGGCACCACTATAATCATTATTTAAGGATAACACAGATAAATCAAACATGGCATCAGAAAAACGTTCCAAAGTTTCATATGCAGAGGCTCTTCTCAATAAAGCCTTTGAATAATCAGGTCTTAGTTCTAAGGCCTTTGTAGTGAATTCAATAACTTTTTCTTGATCATTCAATGATACATAACAAGCAGAGATGTTTGAATAATAGACAGGATCCTGTTTCATTTTCAAAGCATAATTATAATAATTTAATGCTTCTTGCATATTTTGAGCTTTAAAAAATTCATTACCTTTATCCTTTAATGCTGTAGCAATAGAATCCTTTTTCTCTGAAGTAAAAGTTTCAATTTGTTCAAAATCTGGCTCACCATTAGTCAAAATAGGATATTCATGAGTCTTCGTCTTCTTCTTATTTTTTTTCTTATTTTTTTTACTAGATTTACTCTTTGAAGAAGAAGTACCTGTAATAGATTCAGATTCTGGCGAACTTGATTTTGCTGCGACTTCGTCTTGCAGTTGTTTGTAATAATAATATGCACCGACAGCAACAGAACCTGCAGTAATAGTAGCAATTGCTGCTACTATAGCAGTTCTGTTTCTCTTAACAAAACCGTCCATTATAATTATCTTGTTTTATTTTTTAATTCTTTTCTACTTATTTTATGAGGGTCCTCTCTACCTGATATATCAAAATATGGTAAAAACAAACAAACAAACAAACAGACTAGATGGCTTCACAGTGTCCTTCTCTATATATATGTACAAAGAGGCTCAAAAAGAAAACAAAGTATTAATAGAATAACTTATATATTTTAAATTGGAAAACTAATTACAAGAACCATTTATATCAATGAAGTGTGTTGAAAGAAAAAGTGTCGAGGATTTATTTTCGCCCTTCAAATTTCGCATTTTTGTGCTGCGAAAGTGAGAAATATGCACACTGAACGTCACGTCGTACCGAGTGATGGTGGACACACCTTTCTCCGATTACTTTCGTATCGATTTCTACATCAGAATGCAAGAACCGTCGCTGTTGTCACTTGCAGCCGTGGAATCTCCACTGTCTCTATCCCATTCCCATTGGGATTTATCCCGCCTTCGCGATTGCAACCATTGTTTCTTGCATTCCCTATAAGCATCGAAATACTCTTTACATAGTTGTCGATCGTAATTGTTCAATTCAAGACACTTCATAGATAGCTTACTGGACTCCTCACATGGGTCAAAGTACTGCGAGTCTCCCTTTGCTTGAAACCGAAACCTATTCCATGTAGATTCTGGATCATCAGGATAATATTTGTAACTCCCGGTATCCTCGGAATCCGGGGTATAATTCACTTGTGTCTTGTCTGTCTCCGCCAACAACTTCCCTTCTTCTGGCTTCTCATTCCCTTTATCATCTGCAGATACACCACTCATCTCGTTGACCCCATCGTGGAACCCCCCAGCAACAACCAACAGCCCTCCACACTCATCACCTCTCTTATATTACTCAAAGCATGAGAAAAACCCTTTCCTTGTTACAACTTTGAATAAAAAAACTCATTCGCTCGCTTTGTTTGTTCTCCGCCAAAAGGCAAAACAAAGCAAAAACAATTTTTGATTTGGATTTTAACTAATGTTTTTTTTTATCTCACTTTATCTGGCTCTTCTTGGATAGATAAAACCAGTAAAGGAAAACCTTAAATCACAGTTTCAAATATTCGATATTTATTTTTGAGATCAACTAGGTATTGAAAACGTAAGAATAAGTGGTTAGGAACCTATAACTATCGGCTGTATTTTTACATTTTCTTTTTTTATTTTAAGGTATAACGAGATTTTCAGTGGCACGTTCAAAAACACATACACAAACATCTGTTGGCTGTTATTTTCCTTATTCATTTCAACCACCGTTTATTCATTTTTACTATATCAACAAAATTTAAAAGAGATATGTACCATTTTAATCCGACTAACCAGTCTTCTACATCAGGTTCTCAACGTGCTGGGAATGCATTTTCTGCATTTGGAATATCTCAAACTTCAGGCGCCGCAACTACTACTCATGATAGTGGTGATGAAACACCTCACGATCAAGGTCCTTTACCTATTGCACTGTCGTTAACAGGTAATAATAGTAATAGCGCAAGTTCTAATAATGTAGCTGGTGTTTTACATAGTAGTGTGGCTGCAATGACCACTTCAAATAATCAGAGTACTAATAGTACGACAGCCGCAACTAATCATTTGTTAAATGTGAATAATGCTCCACATGGAACTGCAGCAACAGCGGCAGCAGCAGCGGCAGCTGCATCTGCATCAGTGGCGGCAACGGGTACTACCTCATTTACGGGTACCGCTGCTGCTGCCGATTTAGCAATAGGGAATAGCAATAGTGATTCTAGTGCTAATTCTAAGAATGTTCGTCATTATGTTTATTCTGCAGATCAACCAAATGCAGATTCTTTACTACATTTGGATTTACCAGAAAGTACAACCTTACCGCCGAAGTTAGAATCAAAGGAATTAAGAAAATTGAAAGATAAAAATGGATTATTCAGTCTTAGATTAACACCTTTTATTGATAATGTTTCTACAACAAATCAAGGCCTTTATTTTGATCCTATTGTAAGAACTGCAGGACCAGGGTCACAACTAGTTATTGGAAGATATACAGAACGAGTTCGTGAAGCAATATCAAAATTACCTGAAAATTATCATCCGGTAGTATTCAAATCAAAAGTTATCTCAAGAACTCATGGTTGTTTTAAAGTCGATTCTCAAGGTAATTGGTTCATTAAAGATGTTAAATCGTCCTCAGGTACTTTTTTAAATCATCAACGTCTTTCACCTGCATCTACATTATCAAAGGATATTCCATTACACGATGGTGATGTATTACAACTCGGAATGGATTTCAGAGGTGGAACAGAAGAAATATATAGATGTGTTAAAATGAGGGTCGAACTTAATAAATCATGGAAAAGAAAGGCTAATGCATTTAATAAAGAAGCTTTAAATAAGATTAAAGAATTACAAAAATTAACAAACGGTGGAATAGATGAAGAAGACTGTTCCATTTGTTTAAGTAAAATTAAACCATGCCAAGCAATATTCATCTCACCTTGTTCACATAGTTGGCATTTTCATTGTGTAAGAAGATTAGTTATGTCTTCTTATCCTCAATTTGTATGTCCAAATTGTAGAGCTGCTTGTGATTTAGAGGCTACAATTGAATCTAGTGATTCAGAAGATGCTCTTTCCGATTCAGAAGAAGAACAAATACAAGAAAATATTAACAACAATAGTAATAGCATACATGAGAGTAATAACGATGGTATTAATAATCCAAAACGTGCAGGCCAGTTAGATCCATCTTTTCGTTTGGCAAACAACAGTATTCATCATGATAATAATAACAATATTATACAGAATAGTCAATTGGATCTAAATGTACTTGACAGTCTTGGGGTTCAGTTAGACGATCCAAAGAACGATGTCGATATGGAAAGCCGAGAATAAATATTTTTATTTTTATTTATTTATTCGAACGGTATTCATTCCCCATAACTAGCAGATTTTTAGTATTTATGGGTCATTGATACATACACATCTTCATTCTCGAATAGTCATACGCAACTCTCAACCTTCCATCTTTCATTTATTTTGATTATTGTTATCATCATTCACAGTTAAAATATATACATATTTAAAATTTATTTTGCTTTTCTTAATCTTTTCATTCATAACATTCTTTTTAAACATAATAATATTTTTACTATATCATTTCATAAAATAAACGAACGAAAACACCACTACAAATTTTTAATAGAAGGTGAATCCGTTCATTAAATATATATATACATATACATATCTGGGCAAGCAAGTCTCTCATCATTTACAATAACTTGTAGGCACCAAACCCTTTTCACCATTAACCTCACCATATGTCCAACCACTTCCATCGTCACCTTTAATCACAGTGATAACATCACCTGCGGACAAACTTAATTCATCAGAGTCCTGAGCTTCATATGCAAATGTTGCTGTTAAAGTCCTTGTCGGAACAGCTGAACGTCTAGGAGGTGGCACACTAGGTGGAGATGCCGCCTTTCTATTTTCTGAACTTATATGTACATAAGATGTTGGAACAAGACCGCTATCACCGGTAGATAAATTCTTGATCTTAGTCCATCCAGACCCAGAATCTACAGCTATCAATTCTATTTGATCACCTACAGACATGGATATTTCATCACTATCTTGTCCTTCATACGCATACAGTACTTTATTACCGTTCCCACCAGCATTGCTAGAGCTTTTTTTCTTACTTTTTGTTGTAGTATGAGTGTGAGTAGTTTCACTACTGAACATGGACTCATTATCTGGCTTATCGTTACCGTCATGACTATTATTAGAGGTACTGGACTTCTTATTGTGGGAACCACCAAATAATGATATCCCGTTCGAATGCCCTCCACCTGATGAGCGAGAACTACCACCGTTGTTAACGTCACTTAAAATGTTAAGACCTTTAAATTTAGAGAACAAACCACCACTAGATTTTCTCTTTGATTTGTTTAGATCAATGTTTTCTGTTGATAAATCATATTCCTCAGGGACATTATTTTGAATACTTTCCACTGTGACTTCTGCTTGTAATTTGGTGGTTTCATGCAATACAAAACTTGAAATAACGGAAAGATAGCTCTTTAGATTTTCATAAAACTTTTGACCGTTGTTGCCATTATTGCCATTGGCTTCAATATCCTCTTTCAAAGTTTGTTTAATTTTATTAAAACTTGATAATTTACTTAATTCAGATTTAGTTAGATCGTCCAGTCTATTATAGTCATTCTCTGCCTGTTTCAATTTGATCCGTAAATCCTGAACTTCGTTCTCAGATGGAACTGTGAAAGTTTCGTCCTCATGCCATATTGGAGATGGTACATATTGAAAATCCTTAGGCTCTTTCCAACCTTTTAAGTTATGTTTGATAAACATAGCTGTACTTAATGATGGCTTATTGTGAGAAATAACGTCATTAGATTTAATAAGACGATCGTTTATATTTTTACCGAATTGAAGTTCACTGTCATTAGCAGCTTTCCAAATATCATTTAACAATAGGATCTTAGATTCATTCAAATCTTGTAACAAATCAACAACTTCTGGAACATCCTGGAAATAATATTTATCCTTAATTCTGTTGGCTTGATTAATCTTGATCAAATAATCATTCTTTGCAACATTCATATCAACTTGTTTATCTTCTAACTTCCTCTTATTTCTTTCATTATTACTTTTAGTTAACTTATTTCTTGCTACTTCAACATTTTCACAAGAATCATCGTAAGCTTTCTTAGCTTTATCCAAATCATTTTTAGCACCCTTTTTTTTGTCTTCAAGATCGTTATTGAATCCATTTATCTTTGTCAATGTAAAATCTAATTTTACATTTAATCCATTTGCTTGGGCGGCAACAGTCTTCTCAAAGTCATTGCTTAATTTAGCATGATCCTTTGAAATAGATTCTGTTTGAGCAAGAATATCATTCCATGTAACGACACTTGCAATTTCAACAGAACCAGGTGTAACGGTGGGAGTTTCACCGACTGAGAGCAAAACAGTTGACGAACTTGTCTTATTAAGGTATTCTGATGTTAAGGCATTCAATTTCTCACTATACTCTTTCTCTATTCTTGCTCTTTGTAAATAGAATTGTTCGATCTCCTTTAACCATTTAATGTTAGCTGAGACCCACCCATACGTTGTTTTGTACGAGTCCTTTAACTCGTTCCCGATTGACAATTGAGCACTCATTGTGTTGATTGGTTAGTCAGATATCCTAGAAAGGTTATATATATCAGTAAAAGACTCCTTTTTTGAATAACGAATTTTTTAAGTAATCTGACTGCGATATTGACAGAGGACGTCTGAAAGTTTACTGAGCTCTCCTGTCTCACCGAATTTTTCGTTGATCTAACAATCCAAGGAAATATAAAGAAAACGGAAACATTCAAAAGGTGGTTTACCATGAAGACATAGATATAAAATATTGACCAAATAAGCAAAAAGAGAGAGAGAGCAACTCATTCGCAGGTTTATTCATTTGGATCAATTATTTGCAGACATATATATACTTCAATATAAATTAAAATAAACTAATAACTCGCTAAAATGAATGGATATACGACTGGTGAGAATGGAACTATCCCTGGAATGACAGAACAACATCAGTTCCAATTGTTCGAAGAATCTCTGAGGAAAGTCAATAAACTTGTGTTCCAAATGTTAATTAATGAAATAGTACCGCTCTCAATGAACGTTCAAAGAAAATTGGAGAAATCTAGTGACGACGAGTTTAATAGCGAGATGTCCAAATTGGATGTCAATGAAAATTCAAATACTACAAATTTATTAAAGGAGATTGTTCCATCTGATCAACTCATACATGAACTAGCAGAAACAAAAGATGAAGACAAATACAATAAAGTGATAGATCGAGTAAGGAATATCGGATTCCAGGTGGGGAACAAACTTTCTGAATTATTAATATTTACAAATAATCCGAATTTACAATTTAAAGAAATGGATCTTTTGTTAATAATGAAATTTGTATGTCGTGATGTATGGAAACAGTTATATGGGAAACAGATTGATAATTTAAAGACAAATCATCGCGGCACATTTTACTTATTCGACTATGATTATCCACCTATTCGTGAATTTTGTATCGAAGAAAATGCATTGAAGAAAGAGTTGAAACTAGTTGAACCTTTCCTAGAGTTTCCAGTCGGAATAATAAAAGGTGTCTTAGCTTCGTTAGGGTACCCACCTGAGCAGGTGATTTGTCTCGCAACATTTGTTGACAGACCTAATAATGATATACCAGACACTAGTTTTGCCAAAGGAATAAGTTTCCACGTTCAAATCACAACACAAAACAATCCATAGAAAAACAAACAAACCCACTTATGCATAACTTAAACAACAACAACAAATTAAGGAACTACCACTAAGGTTTTTGAATAATATCATATTCATGAATAATGTAAACGTTACAAAGTAAGATATATAAATTTTATATATATAAATATATATGTTTCAATAATTATTAATTATTAAATTTGTCAATTGTATTGTACTGTTTCAATTTGGTCCTTCATCAAGTTGAAATTTGGAATCTTGATTAGACAATAATGATGCCGTATTGATAGAATTTGGAATATTATCAGAAGTTGTACCACTTGTAGATTTTGTAGGGTAAGCCATTTGATAGTTATTAATGATATTTGGATTAGGAATATTTGAAGGCACAGTTTGAGGATTGTTAACACTATTACCTGTTAACTGTAAGATATTACCCACAATGGCATCTGGTGGAACATATGACTGGGCTTGTTGAGGCTTTGGTGTTGTATTCTGATTAAGTTGGGTTTGTTTATTACCTTGTGATGATGGCATGGGTGGTACCATTGGATTTGAACTAATAATTGATGGACCAGAAGTTGTCATAGGAGGAACACCTTGAATTGTATGTGGTGCAGTAGTATAATTTCTATTTTCTACCATTTGTTGGGTATCAATATTATTTCCTGACATTACATTTGGATTATGTTGATCAGATGTAACAGACATTGGACTTGTTAAAAAATCATTATTTGGAACAATTTTAGTAGATCCTTTACCACGGCCTTTAATACCTTTATTTGAATTTTTATAAATGGATGCAAAATAATTAAGTAAATCCTTTTCATCTTCAGGAACTGCATTAATATCAGTTTCCATTGTGGCTAATTTATTTGTTAAATCAAGTAAAGTTTGAAGATGAAATCTATTTTGATGTGCCTTCATATTTCCTAATTGGGTAAAACCTTTATTACAATTATCCAATCTACAAATAAATGGTTTAATATTTTGATGTGTAAGTAAATGTGCAGCTAAATTACCTTTACGTGAAAATTTTTTAAAACAAACATCACAAGAATATGGCTTTTCACCAGTATGTAATTTTTGATGAGTACGTAAATTTCCACCTTGAGTAAAATGTCTTCCACAAAACTTACATTTAAATGGTTTATGACCAACATGTGAACGAATATGAACTTCTAAATGAGTTGGTTGTGAAAAATATTTGTGACAATATTGACATTGATATCTTTTATCCTTTGGATATATTGTATTTGAAATAGGTTTAATTGAAACCATATTATTTCCTGAAACTAAAGAAGAAACAGTACCATTTGAGTCTTTTATTAAAGGCCTTGAACTTTGAAGATCTATTTTTGGTTTTTCGATACCTCCAACTAATTCATCCTTTGGTGGCATAATACCTGAATTTTCTTCAAGAATTAATTCTCCATTAGGTTTAGTTTTAACTTTATCAGTGATCCCCTTTTGACGTGCTTGAATCATTAACATTAATTGATCCACTTTTGTAGATCCAACTAATTTCAATTTATCTTCGTCATCTTCATCTTCGTCATTATCGGTCGAAATTCCTTTACCTTTATTATTCTTTTTATTTTTAGTATTTTTTTTCTTTGTCTTCTTCTTTTGTTGTTTCTTTTCATTAATATTTCTTCCTTTATGTAAAGGATCAATAGGTGTATCAATATCATTTTCAATATTATTAAAATTATTATTTCTAGTGATTCCGGATGGATTAATTTCTTCAACATCTTCTTCAGTAGGATCTAACATTTGAATACTTCTCTTTCTTAATGGGTCAATAGATACTTGAGGACCAACCTGGGAAAACCTTCCGGAGGTTCCTGACGCACCTGAAGTTCCAGAGGTTCCGGAATCTAATGAATCTCTCATTGAAGATTTTCTTGAACGAAATTGAAAATTAAAGTCATCATTAAACCTTAAATTTCTTGGATTATAAATCAAACCTGGCTGTGATTGAGCCAACTGTTGTTGCTGCTGTGGTTGTTGTTGCAAAAAAGTCTCAAATTCTGTACTTGAATTTGAAAATCTATTCCCAGTATTATTTGGTTGTTGTTGTTGTTGTGATACTTGTGGGATAAGCATTGGTGGTTTCATTGAATCTTTTCTAAAGATATCAAATTCATTTGTATTTGGATCGTTAGGAATAAAAAAAGTTGACATTGAAGAATTTCTTTTACCATAAGAAGGTTGTCTTAATACTTGTTGCGGTTGCTGCTGCTGCTGCGGTTGCTGCTGCTGCTGCTGCGGATTACTACCACTAGCACTACTAATAGAATTTCCATTAACGATAGAATAACCTCTACCAAATGGATTCATTAACATAAGATTACCATCCTGAGAAAAACTATACCTCTGTTGATTATTTGGTAAATCTAAAAACGGTACAATACCATTATTGCTTGTATTTGCATAAATCCATTCACCTTGCTGTTGTGGCAACTGTATTTGACTTGGACGTTGATTTCCACCTTGATATGATGTACTACCAGTACCAGCACTATTAATGTACCTCTGATACTGATTCTGATTCTGATTCTGATTACTGTTATTTTGATTATTCATAACTGTCTTTCTTGATAAATCAGTATACTTGAACTATTATCAAAATTCCACACTCTAAGAAGTGTTTTATTAAAATGTTTTCTTCTTATAAAAAGAACTATGATTGTTTCTTTCTTTTCAAATAAATGAAAAAAACAAACACACACTATTATACTTTAATTCCAACAGTAATTTTCATTACCAGAGTATAATATCTCTCTAGTTACTTTCCCTTTATCTCTCTCTCTCCCTTTCTCTCTTTTATCGTTGTCCCTTATTTTTCCCTCTCTCTCTCTCTCTCTTTCCAGCTTCTTATTTCTTTCTTTCTTTATTTCTTTCTTTCTCTGTCTTCCTTATATATTACTATGTCACTATGTATAACAAATTGTATGTATTGGCTTGGGATGTGTAAGGGACGTTTCCACACATCCCAAGCTTTCTCTCGCTGTTTTACTCCGACACCACCACAGCGGATGGAACAATCAGCTCGCATCTCACGCAAACCGCGCACACCGCGGATTCTCTGTCTCCGTCTCCGCCGATTCGTCTCCGCCAGTTTGTGTGCTCTTGCAAATTGATTTTTTCGTTCTTTCTCCGTTTTTCTGCAGTCGCCCGGTAACCCGAGCAACGTTTTCTGGTGGGCGTGGAGTTAGGGCGTGGAGTTAGGGTACATGTCTACGTTTCTATCATAATTTGGTTATCCATATATATATATATATATATATATATATTGGTATAGATCTATTAGTTTACCAGTCAGCTGCATCCCAACCGTCATCATCATCATCGTCGTCGCCGACGCCGTTGTCTGCTGGTGTACTCGCGGTGGTGGTGGTGGTGGTGGTGGTCGGTGGTTCAATTTTATCGTCATCACTTGCAATCTCATCAAAATCATCCCAACCATTATCGTCATCGTTCCAAGTATCGGCCTTAGTATGATCGACAACAGTAGGTTTCTTTGAAGAAGTATGCGATATCATTGGCATTGAAAGTTTTGTTTCTCCAGTGGTCTTTTGAATCGGCGACATTTCTCTTAATGTTGGTCTTGAAATGTCCGAATTCAAATTCATATTTGAGATATTTAAACAGTTTAAAAATTCAATACACATATTGTCCATCTCTTTCACTTCAATAACTTTTGAACGATTGAATTTTTTCAAATTTGGTAATTCAATATCGTTATCAATTTTACCAAATTTTTCAATAGCTGCAATCTCTAAATTTTTTAAATATTTATCAAATAAATTTCTGGCCGTGATTCGAATACCAGAATCACTATCTAATAACCCAGGTGCAATGACACTCATTATCTTATTGGCAATTACATCACTACCAAATAATGATAAACATTGTTCCAATCCATATAATGCAGCTAATCTTGTCTCTGTCTCAGGATCCTTTAAAGATTTGGTAAAAATTGTGGCAAGTACACCATCACGATTACTTAATGCAGTTAGTTGTGGTGCAATACGTGATACAACAAGTAATGTCTCCGTACGAACTTTGACACTTGGATCAACTTGAGTCTTTGCAATACTACGTAGCAATTCATTGTTTAATTGACGTTCTGTTAACAATTCAACAATATATGGTATATTACGTAAGGTTAACAATCTTAAAGATTCCTCAGAATCAATTAAACCTTGTAAAAAAAATGGGAAAATTTTATCACTAAATTGAAAATCATTTTTATTATCATTTGTTGAATCATTTAATAATCCATGACAATGCATTAATAATAAACATCTAATTTCCCTATCGGCTAATTTCCACATCCCCCATAATAATGTATTTATTTGTAAAGAATGACATTTCATGGCAACAATATATTCTAATAATAATGCTAAGGATATTACAATATTACCTTGGTATATGGCTTGTTGAGTTGACATCCATGTTATACTTGAACATAATTCAGGAATTATTAAATTATTAAGAAAACCTGGTGTAAAATTTTGTAACCATTGACGACTATCTTGAACTTTATTGATAATATGATCACGTATAGCTATATTAAATTGAATTAATGTTTCCATTTTTTCTTTATCATTAGCTATATGCAATTCTTTTAAATGTGCATAATTTTCTACAATTGTCTTTGATTCTTTCCAAATTTTAGTATTTTGCAAAGATTTTAAAAAAGTTGTTGCATCAAGGGAACCACTTGTACTTTGTTTTTGAATTAAAGGTTTCAAATCTTTTGGAATTCCACCGGATTTTGGTAATAAATCCATTAAAGTTTGACCAAGACACATCATATCCCATTTCTCTAACGTTCCCTTTAAACGATTACCAGTAAATCTTTCAACCTCAAAAATATATTGATCTGTTTGTTGATTTGCATCCTCAGCTAGCATACAACATTCTAAACCAAAAAGAACCCACTCACCTGATTCATTATAAAAGACACTACGATGTGACAGATTACCAATAAGAAATTTACTCTCTAGCAATCCCACCGCTTGACATAAATCCCAAATACCCATACATATCGCCTCTGGACTTAAAGTCAATTTAGAATCTACAGGTTGAACATATTCTGTCACAATAAGAAGGGAATCTAACGAAACTGTATTTTCATCGATGGTGGTACCATTGCCGCCATTAATAACATCTAAAACGTTACACAGACCAGGGAATCTGATTCTCTTAGCACATCTTAGATCATTAAATATAAAACGACGATCTGCTCCTTCTATAGGTCTAAATACAGTGACATGCTTATCTAATGTTTCTGGTTTCTTTGAACGAGCTTCGAAGAGTTGCCATTGTGCTGTTTTATGATAAGGTTCATTTTCAATACTGTAAGGCAACTGGAAGTTGCTCAGTCCTCTGAACAAACTACTAAAATTCATAGTTGCAAACAGATGGTACGAATGTATTTATAGACACACAGCTCAAACTCTGTTCCTTCAACTCTTAATCAATTTCAGATCGTTTTGTTCTTCTGGTTGTTTTGCAATGTTTCAATTTGTTTTATGTTTCGATTTGTTTTTAAATATATAGATATACGGTTTATAACGTGTCGCGACTGAAAATTTTTTTAGGTTTTTTCATAGTAAACAAACAATGGTAGTCGTTTGTATCTATGTAAATACGGTTTAATATATACTAATTCTTATCTGTTATACATATGACAATAACTCTTTGAAAGTACGATTCAATGGTAGACCAACAATATTATAATAATCTCCTTCAATTCGATTAATTAGGATACCTGAATAACCTTGAACTTTAAATCCACCTGCTACTTGTAGTCCATCCTCACTATTAACATAATCTTGAATGACTTGTTCAGATATTTTTGAATCGAAATAAACGTTTGATATTTCATGGAATTGGCGTATTTGTTGGTTGGCTAATTTATTATTAGTATCATTATCACCATGATCGACCCCATTAGGGTCCCATTCAATTATTGTCACCGCAGTGACCACTTTTAATGGTTTCTCGGATTCATAACAGAAACGTTTCAAATTTTCTAATTGTCTTTCAGCGGTACCTGGTTTCTCATATATGATATTATCCCAATCAAGGACAATAGTATCGGCACATACAACCAATCTTTTTTCTTTCACATTCTGCAAGTCAACCAAGATACTTTGAGCTTTACCATAAGAAGTATCCACGACATACTGAATTGGATTATTTATGTATAGTGATTTATCCAAATCCTCCTCAAATGTAGGCTTCATGATAAGAAGATCATTGAAGCCCATATTGTCATGCATAATCTCATATCGTCTTGGTGAGGAGCTAGCGAGCACCACTTTATACTCAGAACATATCTTATCCACACACTGCATATTAAAACTATTTTACCGTTTGTCTTGTACTTTTCAAGTAGGGATCCCCCCGATTGGCCATATCACTCAAATTCCCCCCTTTAGGTCATCTCTTTCTGTTACTTATATACATAAATATAATTTTTCTTGCTTAATCGAAAACAAAAACAAATTGTCCGAAGTGAAATGAACGCTACCTTATCTATCATCATAAATGGTTTTATTTATATGGTTACATAGGTTCAACACCACGTAGTGTTAATCTGTCGGTGATTCTATAAATTTTCTCAGTATGCTTTTGGTCATGACGGTTGCTCTTTTTAAGGTCCGTTGACGTTGTATCGACATCTGCTTCTGTACCGACTGTTTCAGAACCTGTTGCTCCTTCACGTCTATTGATAGAAGCAGAATCTGGGAACGCCAATTCAGTACCTAATAATTTTTGCCACGTACCTTCATACAGTTTATCACCTATTCTAATTAAAGGATGGTCTCTGTCGAGCCCTGAATGTTGAAAAATTGCATTTTTATCAATATCCAGCTTCTCTTTATAACTGCCACTATTCAAATCAACACTTATATATACAGTCTCAGTCTCCTGCTCTTCTGTTCCATTTGCTTTGTTTACATCCGAAGTACCTTCTTGCTGAATTCCCTCTGATGTTGTATTTTTAAAGCTCCAAATCTTTTCTTCACCATCCCTTAAAAATTCCGTATTATTATTCATTGTCATAATCCATTTTATTGATTCTACATTACTATTACTATCTTGTCTCTCTTCTTTATCCTCTTCATCTTCTTCATCTTCTTCATCAAGTTTATTCCATTGATATTTATCCAGCGAACATACACTAGCTTGTAATACATTACCGTCTTCATCTAATGGAGTGTCCCAACTTTTCAGTTTCAATATATTCATTCCAATAGCTATCTTGACAGGTGCATGTGTCATTAATAATACAGTCTCTACATCTGGATGTTCTTTATTAAGTTTTTCTAACATATTTGTTATAAAGCTGGCACTTCTGGAATATAGTTCTACTTTAGTCTCGCCATCCTTTAGTGGCTCTACCGTTGATCCATTACCCCAGTCATTCTTTAATACACCTGGAAACAAACTATTTAATGTATTGAAATCCGTTGGAGTAGTCCCTTTCTCATTCTCAGTATTGAACCAATTTCCTAATCCTTTATCCAAATATACAGGGATATCCAATAAGTTAGCAATATATTTCGAAGTTTCTACACAGGAATAGAAGGGTGACGCAATTATTATATCCGGTTGCGTATCCACCGACAGAATGTAATGAGCCAACTCCATAGACTGATTAACACCATGTTCAGTTAGTGGGAGATCATTCGGTATCCCAGTTCTACTTAATGGTTGTTGATCTTCTGGTAACCATGCACTTGAATGTGCATGTCTTGAAATGTATATGTTCTTAACTACCATTATACACTCAATAAATAAAGTTATAATTCGATCCAATTATTTTTTAGCCTCTGAAGAAAGTAGAATCTGTTGTGTTGCTTTATATTCTATGTCGTCTTACGTTAAAATATTTTCTCTAAAACACGTAATTTGAAACATTTGATTATTGTTTATTAATTTACTTGTTTTGTTTCCATCGCACGTCCTTTAACATCGCATTTGAAAAATTAAATGAAAATAAACAATTAAGATATAAAATAGTGAGAGTTGAATATCAAGACAAGGAACACAACTGGAAGAGAAGGCCTGAGAAAAACAAAGAAGCTTATCAATATAACAATTATTACACATTAAACATGGCTGGTCCTTCGAGTAAGAGGATAAAGACTATATCTGTAAGCAGGCCCATCATTTATGGTAATACAGCCAGAAAGATGGGTGAAACGAGGCCACCAAATGCACCTGCAGAACATACACACATATGGACAATTTTCCTTAGAGGCCCACAGAATGAAGATATATCGTATTATATCAAACAGGTAGTATTTAAACTTCATGACACATATCCGAACTCTACTAGAATTATTAATGCACCACCGTTTGAGCTGACAGAGACTGGCTGGGGTGAATTTGACATAAACGTTAAAATACATTTTATTGAGGAAGCTAATGAAAAAGTACTAAGTTTCTACCATAGACTGCGATTACACCCATATGATATGACACAACCGAGCCAAGAAGAGATTAAATCGATATTTTATGACGAGTTAGTGTTCAATGAACCAAATGAACAATTTTTCCAAACATTGATGACCAAACCTGGCAACTTACTGCCATCAAATAAGACAGATCAATGTCCATTCTCGAAACAATTAGAAATCGAAGAGATAGATAGAATTAATGATGGTATCAAAGAGGTTGATAAACAGATAGAAGAATTAAAGGGAAAAGTTGCAGAAAAATTAGAAGAAAAGCCATAGGAATATTAAAATTAGAACTTGTGTCGATTCAAACAGGTTATTTATATGCGTTTATGCAATAGATGTATATATTCTTATTATATAAAAGAACGATATTCAAATATATATTTACTTTTTTTTTTAATTATTTTGGAGTTAACGGTTCCCACGCTGACATAGATTTGTTAACATGTGGTGTTACTGTACTAGATGGAACTCTCTCCGTGACAGTAGTACTACCACTCGATGGTTCTGGCGATTGTGGAGAGGAGGCTGGCTTTGATAAACTTCTAGTTGGCGATGTTTCCTTTTTAATTGCAGGTGCTGGTGAGGCACTGCTGTTCCTTGGTGTAAGGACACTACTTGAGAAACCAGGAGGCGGAGATGCTTCCTTACGAGGTTCCGCAGGCATAGAAGGAACAGGTGTGGTATCGTTTGCTACTTCTTTTTGAACCTGTTCAACGGGAGCTACTGGTCTAACTGGCAATACTGGTTTCACGTATGCTGGAGGTGGAGGTGGACGTAACACTGGTTTTAAACTTGTCGTACTAGTTACTCTCGATGAATTATTGGAACCAGATTGCATAATGGTGTTAGATGCTGCACGCTTAGGTTGCAAAGGTGCAGATATTTGAGAATTAGATCTTGATAATGAGCCTGTTGGAGAAGAAACACCAGAGGTGGACGTCGATGATGACCGACTTGGTTCATTCTTCATAGCCATATCAAGTAAACTAACATCACTTGGTACCGTTGGAGGTTTTGTCCTTTCCATGAATTCTTCACCTTCTAGACCCAAGTTAACCAATTGTGCATTTAACGAACTGACTTCATTTGGATGAGAGGTTTTGTAAGCGTTATATAATTTTTTGGTCAACTCAATTTTTTTTGGTTCATCGATGGTCAACACTCCAGCACGATATGCAGCAAATACAGGTCTATGATCACTTAATAGCAATGGCGCATCAGAATATGCTAACGGTTGAAGATTCGAACCGTTATAAATAATTCTATCAGTCCAAGATGGCGTTCTAGCTTTCTCCGATGAATCATAAGTATCAGTACCATTATCATATTTATAGGTTGGGCGAAACTTCAATGAAGGCTCACGGAATCCTTTAAATACAGTACCTGCCTTCATCTCAAGGGTCAATTGATCGTAGTTCAATAATCTGTCAATATACCCATCATCCTTTAGGTTCAATTCTTTTCTAACTTCTTCGTTAGTTAAGTTAATTCTATAGTTAGTATCCCCTAACCAAAATATACTATCATGCTGAGGAATTGTTCGTGACCTAGAAAATATGATACCATTTTGAATACTTTCATAATCGCTTTTACGATCTTCTACATTCATGACACCTGCTGATAAGTGGGTATTGATAAAGCAGAAAGATGTAGAGTCATACTCAAATCTAATAGCCACTGCACCTTTGTTACCGGTCATACCACCGAAACCAGTCTTTTTAGTGGCACCTTCCACACGTTTTATATGAGATGCTTTGTCCGATTTAACGAAAAATAAAATTATCAAGGAAGACATCTGTTCTACTCTCAATAGGAGATATTTATCGCTATATTGGTTTAAACACTCACTAACCATATTTTCCCAAAATGAACCTTTAGAATAATCCGCATTTAATATCGAACCTGCTGTTAGTTCAATAACTTCTTGTAAACCCAAGATAACAACATCAGGTTTAAATTTATCACCAATGGGGAATAACCATTTTGATAGATCAACCTTTCTAGTTGCACCATTGACATTATAAGTACCTAATAAAACATTGATATTTGAACGACTTACATATGTTGCTTTTTGATTTTCCAACTCAGAGGTAACATATTCATTAATAGGATCGTGTAATTGAACAGCTTGTTGATTAGGCAACCTACCTAATAACATGTCAATGTTTTGTTGCTTACCTTTATCCATAAAGTTATTGATGTACATTCTACTAACCGATTTAGTTGCATCTGATAGTGCACCAGCAAAGGACATCTTACCTTTTCTAGAAAATGAAGATTTTAAGGCATTCGTCCCGGTATAAATTTGTGAAACCATATCACCATGATCAGCCCATAGAGCATTATGTTTCAAAGTGAAGTCACTTTCTTCAACAAAATCATTTTTACTAATAAAATGGAAATCTTCCAAAAATGTCTTAAATGCAGTATATGATATAACTTGTTGGACTAAGTTTGTTCTGTCCAAACAATCTAAACAGTTTGTTCTGAAAATACCATGTTGTTCAGACATAATTTTCTTTGCTTTGCAGTCATATGCAAAATAACCGGAAATTAACAATGAATCCAAGATTAGAGGGATAACCCTACTAACGGCAGAAAAACCTTCTTGGGCAGTCTCCTTATGAAAGTCAAACGCAGTGTATAAAATATCGGAATTCAGTTTTAATTTTTTAGATTGTTTAATTTGATCATAATAACGTCGAGATAATTCAATTTCTGAACTCTTTGTAGACAATAAGTTAACGACATGAACGGGACCATATCTCTTAATCAATTTTTCAAAATGATCATCAAAAATAGGTTGGGTAGCCTCCATAGATCTTGTAATTTGAACCTTTGGGTTGATTAGGGAGGTGTCTTGTTCCCAAAATACAGGTATACTACCTCTTATTTCGGTAAAAGCATAACAATAATTACTGCAATACATAATATACTCAGTTTCTACAAAGTTGGCAACATTGGCATCGTCATCAACACCACGAGCATTAAATCTAGTACCTGCTCTCTTCCAACTTTGTTTAGAGATAATAGTTGTGGCTACTTTAACACTCTTAACATGGGTGACAAATGTTTCTGCAAACCCACGAATAACAGTTGTTAAAAATCCTTCATCATCCAATATTTGTTTGGCCTCGTTATCTAATCTATCCTTATACGTAATGATTTCACCCATCATGAATGAATTCCACATATATTCTTGTTCAAAGTTATCAGTACTCAAAGAATGTGCACCAACACCTCTATTTTGTAAAGTAGAAGTTAAATCAAAATCAGAACTGTAGAAGAACGAACCGTTTGACAATAATTTTCGTATTTCTGCACATGGATGTTTTGGTAAAGTTGCTTGAATATCGTTTGTATCTCTATCAGGTAGAATAGGGTATCCATTAGAATCTATATCAAAGAAATCCCAGGTTGGGTCATTTAAACAAAAAAAATCTACTGATGAAATCTTTTTTACAGTTTCGCCAGGAATAGGGGCTGCTACTTTTGTCGATCCAGAAATAGTACCTATAAAGATCAATTTATCAATCTCAATCAAACCAATGAACCCACTAATTTCACTCGAAGTTAGACGAGTAAACCCTTGATTGGTCAACGATTCCTTTCTTACAAGTTCAATAGCACACGATGGTTTGGTGACGTTATGATCTATCTTAATTGGTTTAATAATCAATGCATATTGTTTAGATATAATAGCAATTCTTCTCTCTGGCTGTTCTGCCAAGTAGATATTCATGGCCAAATACTGATGTTTGTTTTCTTCTTATTTCTCTGTTGCAAGTAGATTGTCCTCAATAAAAACCAAAGTTATAGATCATTTACATATGTCCACGATTAGCGTAAGTAACCGTATTAAAGTACTCAAATGTGGTCCTATTGTTTGTTCCATAATTCTCTCTATCTCTGGAATCTCTCTGGTTGCCTCTCGCCTCCACGAAATGTTGCCCTGTTCGTTGTCTGCATTATCGCGCTTCCTCACTTTCATGATATTTTTTTGTTAGCTCGTGAAGTTCCATTTTGAGTTCTGTAATAGTAAAAAAACAAATAAACGTTAACTGTATATATATAGATAACTTTATATCTGGATTGTCAAGAGCTTAATCGGTAATTAAATAGTGGTCAAGTCTAAAAGAGAAATAGTTATGTTAGTTGTAATAAATATTTAATTGTGTGTATGTGAATGAAAGTTATTTATAATAATCGCTATATAATCGGAATATAACTAAGCAGATGCCTTAGCCTTCTTAGCAACGTTTGGAACTGGAATTTCACCACTTTCGATTACATTATTTAAAGTAGCTAGAATAGCTTGGACAGAAGAATCACCAACATCATCAGCTAGACCAACACCCCACTTGAAAGCAGCACCATTATCCTCATCACGTAGGTAACGTAATTGAACGAATGAAGCAGCCTTTGTAGAGGTACCAGAACCAATAGCGTGTTCAGAATAATGTTCGACAGATAATTTGAAACCAACCAAGTTCGATAAAGCATCGACGATGGAAGACACTGGACCATTACCTACACCGTTAATTGGGACAACAACATCATTGATTTCAACTTGACCAGTTAGAACTCTACGTTCGTTATCCTTTCTTTCGACGTTATAATTTAGTAAAGTAATGTATCTATGAGATTCGTTGTTGTAGTTGTACGTTTCTTTGAATAAGTTTGTAATTTCTTCTGCTCTCAATTCTCTACCTAGACCATCGGCACTATTTTGAACAGCTGAAGAGAAATCGATTTGCATATTTCTAGGGACATCTAGACCTAGAGATCTTAAGATGATCCAAGCGGCACCACCCTTACCAGATTGAGAGTTAACTCTAATGACGGCTTCATAATCTCTACCAATATCCTTTGGATCCAATGGTAAATATGGAATTCTCCATTGATGATCACCATTCTTTCTCTTTTTCTCCTGTAAGGCGAAACCTTTCTTGATAGCATCTTGATGAGAACCAGAGAATGCACAGACGACTAAATCACCACCATATGGAGCTCTTGGGGATACAGGGATCTTATTACAACGTTCAGAGACTTCGACAATTGAAGTAATATCGGAGAAATCCAAATTTGGAGTTACACCTTGAGTGTACATATTTAATGCAACTGTAACTAAATCAACATTACCTGTACGTTCACCATTACCAAAGACACAACCTTCAACACGATCGGCACCAGCTAGGATACCTAATTCTGTTGCGGCTACAGCACTACCTCTGTCATTATGACAATGCGTTGAGATACAAACTTTTTCACGTTCGGAGATATGTGTAGCGAAATATTCAATTTGATCAGCATAAATGTTAGGAGTAGCTTGTTCTACAGTAGCTGGTAAATTAAAGATAATTGGATTCTCAACAGTTGGTTCCCATGCGGCTTTAACAGCTTCACAAATCTTAACAGCAAATTCAGTTGGCGTATCACTAAAACATTCTGGAGAAAATTCATAAGACCAATGTGTAGCTTGTTGTGATGGATCATCTTTAGTTAATTTCCTTACTAATTTTGTTGCCTCCACAGCTTTAGAGATAGCTTCCTCCTGAGACATATTAAAGACAATCTCACGGAACATATCACTAGTGGCAAGATATGTATGTATAGTGGCTCTCTTTGCACCTTGTAGAGATTCTACAGTTCTCTTAATTAAATGTTCACGAGATTGTACTAGGGCTTGGATTGTTACATCTTCAGGAGCATTCTCTACAGCATATCGTGTAAAATCAAAATCTGTCTGAGAAGCAGAAGGGAAAGCAACTTCAATTTCTTTAAAACCAATTTCTACTAATTTATGAAAGTATTCTTTCTTTTGTTCGACTGTCATTGGATCAGGTAGAGATTGATTACCATCTCTTAAATCTGTTGATAACCAACGTGGGGCTTTTGTAATAGTATTATTTGGCCATTTTCTTTCAGTCATCTTTGGAGCAGGAAATGCTCTATATTTTACAGATGGATCCTTTAACATATTTTTATAACCTAGTTTAAAAGGTGGAATAGTCTTAGAGATTCTACCTGTTTGTTCAGCAAGTGCAACAATAGTTCTTTTCACCATGATGTATGTATATATCTAAATATATGATTTTACTAATCGATATCGTTATTATTCTAGTACTTAAGAGAAGGATAAGAGAGATAAAGTTTCTATAACGAAATAAATATAAATTTCAATAGGATCATTCTTCTTTATATCTGACTCCCTTATATATACTCTTTACTGAGAACTGCAAGAAAAAAAAAAGGAATTTTAAAAAGAAAACCGTGTAGAATTAAGGAAGACTGCATATAATAAAAGCGAAGATCTACTGTTTAGTGAGAGTGAAAAAAAAAAAGTAAATTGTGTTAATAAGAGAAAGTATGAATCATACTTTTTGCTTTCTTGTTTTTTTAACAGCGTGGAAGAGAGACTGTGAATGATAGATATTTCTCCAACCTTGTAAGTAGTTATTGTTCTTTTGCGATATTCATAATGAATGTGAACTTCACAGAGGGATACGATCTATATGACAGATGGGGAGGGATTTAATAACCGATCCGCTAAAGGACTTATTAATAACAACTCTATTAAAACTATTTCAAATATTTATAGTAATGACGAGTAAAAACGTATACTGTATATATCTATTTCGCAAGTATATATCAATTCTATTATAATTGGTACAATACAGACTGGCTGTTTTGAACCGTTTGACTATGGTTAAAAAACTGTGTGCCCAAGTGCTCATGTGGAAGGACCGTTACCGCTGTGTGTGGGCAAGGCTAGATATATTCGTAGTCAACAGTAAAAATAACAAACAAATAATAAATAATGGCTGTACAGTTTTTACTGTTTTTTTCACTCGCGGAGTGGCGGGCCGGTTACCGCACATACAGCAAAAGGACACACAGAAGAAGATATCTTGAATGACTCTTTTTCTTGCTTTTAGATTAGTTGAGCGGTAAAGGTGTTAGTTAGCTGAAGAACCACATGGGGATTTGTGATATTACTAGAACTTCATCATGGGGTAAAGGATGTGTCATGGAACAACCTCTGTTCGAGGTTAAAGCATTGTGTCTTTTATTTCGCTCTTTTGGTTTTTGCGATGAGGCTCGAAAAAAATAATGGGTCTTAATGAAATAATTATACGTAAGTAAGTGTTCGCATAATTGACACTTTTATCTAATTTCTATGCTTATTTATATACGTAGCATTTGAGAATTGTTAATGTTAATGCAAAATGTTTATGTATTATTATTATTGTTATTATTATAATAATAATAATAAAGAAGTATAGTATATAGATATATTTATATGTATATATACATTGTTCGTGGTTTAATTATTAAAATGTGTAATGTGTAAGTCTATCAAAAAATGTTGTGAGATGAGGTTGTTAGCAAAAAGTTAAGTATGTGTATGCGCTTTTGAATGCAAAAGAAATGGCAGTTAGATAAGAATCTAACTACTGAGGGTAAGTTTTTTTTTTTTCAATCCTCTTGTCAATGCTAACAGTGTTATGTGTATATATATACATGTCTGGGGAAAAAAAATAGTAATGCGGGTATGTTTATGCAAAATAATAAAAGCGATGGAATAATGTTGGGTGATTATTAGTCTATAAAAAAATAAATGGTAATGGAAAATGCTAAATTTGATTTGTAGTCTTAGGAAGTGCTAGCAGGGATAGTTGGTCTATCCATGGTTAATGATGTCGCTGCACTTTTAGAATGAACGGTACTACTACGTGTATGCTTATGACTATGGGTATTACTTCTTGTCTTCTTTAAACCCTTTGGAGATGTATTTCTACCATTTTTTTTCTTCATTGTATTACTACTTGTAGTAAGCATGGTATTATTTTTATTTTTATTTGTCTTATCAGTTTGATTACGATATGGATGTCTCTTTTGTAATTTATGTAAGAATAATTTGCCTTTTGTAATTAAACTTGGTCTAACATCATTATCAGTCTTCAATGATTGTTTTTGTCTTGTTTCTTCAGGCGTTGGCAATTTAACATTTAATGTCATTCTTGAAGGGGTATTTGTATTTGTATGCTTAATGGTATTGGTATTTGTAATAGTAGTGGCAGAAGACATAGAATTAGTAAGTGTCATATGTGCAATATCTTCATTTAATTTCTCCATATCTAAACCATATCTCGATATTGATTTATCTTCATAGTCTTGTGATGTTGTTGATTCATCTTGTCTAATAAGATCTTTTTCACTTTCTCCTACTTCTTCTTCATCACTAAACCGGTCATTAGTTTGAATATGATTTAAATAGCGTGAATATGCATCAAATAACATTCCCATTACAATTTCTATTGCATTAATTATATCCGTTTGAGTAGGTCTAACTCCTGCTAAATGACATGCATCAAAATTATCTCTAACGTATTGTGGGAAATTACATTGTGCTGGAGAATCAACCATAATAAATTTATTATAAACTTGATCATTCCAATATTTATTATCTGTCGAAAGACTACGTGATAAAGTATTTTCAGATACTAGGAATCTTCTTGTCTTATTAAAAAATTCTAAATTTTCATCACAATGACATTTTTTCAAATATTTATAGAATTCATGTAATGAATATGGATCTGATGTACTCGTTGATCCACTACTGCTTCGACGGCTACTTATTGCATCCTTTGTATAATCTGTTGACTCATTAAGTTCCGATAGGAGCTCGTAGAGATTTGGTACTGTTGGCATATGGGAGAATGCTAAAATAGTTGTATTATGGTAATATATGTATGATTGCAAAATGATTGGTTATTTTTATATCGAGTTCTTGTTCGTATATTATTTTAAATTAATAGGAATAAAATGTTTGTTTTTTATCATATGATTTTAATATAGTTAATAATCTAGTAATCAAAGAAATAAGCAAAGGAATTTTTTTTCTAATAATATCTAAAACTTCTTGTTGGTGTTATTTTTATTTATTTATTAACAGCAATAATAAAGAAATGCAAATGGTTGTTTTAATATATAGTATATTGGAAATGGCTGAATGTTGTTTTTTTTAATGAAGAAAAAAATTATTCAAGCACAAAAAGAAAGGAAAGAAATGATTTAATGTTAAAACCAAAAAAAGTTGCAATGCTTATAAAAGATTGAAAAATTAAAAAACACAAATCAATCAAAAAAAAACTGTAATAAAAAGACTTAAGAGAACCTGATGATCTGACTGAAATAATTTGACGTTATAAAAATAATACTATTCGGCGAAACTCTCTTGCCGTGTGCTTCTTTTGTTCTATATAGTCTAGCCTTCAAATGAGTTAAAATAAAATTATTATTCAAAAAAATGGGTGATAATGATGCAATTATATTTGACTCTACAGTATTCGTTTACTGTAGAAACTGAGATATGAAAGTACCAAACAGAAAAAAATATTTCTATCAAATTTATTAATATTGTTATTATTATTTAATCAGTTTTATTCATAAAACTAAAAAACCACAGCGTGGAAAAAGAAATATTTAGTGTTTTTTGATAGAGGTATCTCTTTAAAAATTAATATTGTTAGGTGCCTGGAATGATATACAGAGAGTCCACGTTTGCTTCTGCCTACCTCACTCTAACCGATGTAAATGAACAACGTTAAATCACTTGTTTTAAACTCAAGTCTTATTAATTATAGTAGTCAACTGTGAAAAGAAGAAAGAAAAATTTTCTGTTTCTTTTCCTTGTCCTCATTATCTTACCAGGAGAGATGGACGATCTTTTATCGATCAATAGTAGTTGAGTAGCCGCAAACAATGTAAATTTCTTTTTTCTTCCTCTACCAGTCTGTTTCACTGCTATCACACTTCTTCTCTGTGGCTTTCTAAAAGATATCAGTCCAATTTGCGTGAGGGAAAAAAAAGAAAAAGAGAAAAAGGAAAGAAAAGACAGCAAAAAAAGAAACGTTGCCATGCAAAAATGGATTGGAAAAGCGCATTCCTTGCTAGTATCAGTGACTCTTTCGTGCGAACGTTTCTCGGCAGGTCTGATTTTTTTAAAAAAGGGTTTTCAATTTTAATATTTTCTTTCGCTTTTTTTGGGCCCCGTTTCTCATTATACTAAGCGTCTCCGCTTTGTGCGTCGTTTTCTCCTTTTCAAAGACCATTAAATCTATCTCTCTTTTCTTTTTATTTGTAATTCCAGCAGAGGGTTGTGCTTGCGTTTCTAAGCTACACAAACAAGAAGGCATCCCTTTCATAAACTTCTTCTGCTTCGTTCCCTTTTGACCGAACATCTCAGAAATAGTACGTCCCTATTCACAGAAGCTATCATAGTAACATTTAGCCTCTAAACTTGAATTCTACCAGCCCACCGGAAGTACCGCAGTCAAAACCAATTTAATACTGCGATGAGTTACGAGATGAGAATAGTTGGACCCTAAGAGTTTCAGGGGAACTAAAAAAAGAAAGAGCGGCGCAGTTTTAAAGAGCACCTTTAAAGAATTTCACCTCTATTAGCATGTTATTAATGAACTATTTTTGAATCATCCATCTACGACGATACTCTTGATTGCTCCTCATCACTGATGCTTGGTATTTTTAAACTTATTAGTTTGGTCATGTTCAAAGGCTTTAATAATTACGCACAATTTCAAGTCAGCCAAAATTAAATCAGAGTTTTATTTTATCCCTCAGCAAAAGTATAAGAAATTTGTTGAAAGCCTGTTCCTCTATCTGAAAACATAATTTTGATAGAATATTCACAACAATTACATGACCAGTGTTATACCCCTAGAGAGAATTTTTCAGTGAAAATTCAAATTAAATAACTTGCGCGGTCTTCTGTATATTTCGCGCACTTTTTTCTTTTTCTAAGCTGCAGGGTTGCATGTTGCACACAAACAACCGTAGGAAAAATAAAAACGTTTTTTTTAACTGAGCGACATTTTTAATTTTTCTTTCCCCTCTCGTTGTAAATTGTTGTTGATGTTCTTCACGCTGTAAAAATTCCAGTACAAATGCTACACAACTAGGATTTAAGAAGTCAAAAAAGAATAACACTAGAATATGAATTGATTTTTGACAGTGACACAAAAATATACCACAATAGAAGAATGTTACAATTGCACGTGCAAGTTATCACGTGCCTTAACCAAGACCAATAATCAAACTTTCTTTTGTTCTTGTGCACGAGTCTTTTACTTGCGAAATAATCTTAATCATATTATCAGACTAAACTTTCAAGAGAAAATTATAATTTTACTCTATCTCAGTTGGAAAAACATGATCTGCGAATAATTGTTGTTTGGATAATCAATTGAATCCAGTGATGCTTTGTACTTCAATATAATGCAGTTAACGTATTAAAGTAAATAAGAAAAAGCGCAAGAACGAGCTTAAAATGCACTCATTATTTATGTGGGACTTGTTTTGGTATATTCCCTAAAGCTAGAATCTTTTTCATTTGGAAAGATAGGCATATCAAAAATGATAAGAGATAAGATAAACATTAGAATAACAAGAACAACCACAATAGTAACTTTATTATTACGTAATGCTTATCCAATACCTCTTTGTTTCAGATATGGAAAAGGAAAAGTTATTGAAAGCTGTGTTTAATGTGTCAATTTGTTTCCTACTTTCACGCTTTTTGTCTTTTACAGTGTGAAACAAGAATTAAATGACGTAAAAAAGGACATAGAAGCAAAATCCCTTATTAAATCTTGTTAAGGATGTTGAAAAGGAAATAGTGAGATGTTCCTTCTCTCTGTTGTTCGCCTTCTTTAGAGGACCTGAGGGATAAAAAAAAAGGGGGACTGCGATGACATCACGATTACAGCCACATAGAAAGAGAAGAAAAAGATGATTTTCAAATTGAAGGAAAAAAGCGGATTTACTATCTCATCAAACTAGCCACATTTTCCGTTTTTAAACAAGCGAGGGGTGTGGTTCTTCTCCTCTTTTCGTTTACAATTTTTAATTAGTGAATCAATACGGAAAAACAAAAATAGATCAAAGTTTTTCCGAAGTAAAGATATTACCGGTATTAAAAGTCAATTTTCTTTAAAATGATTATTTAGGTCACATCGTCTTTTGTGAATTTTGTGTTTTTTTTTCACAGTCAACGTCAACATGAAAAGAACTATGTAGAGGATAATGCTCAATTTTTAAGTGTAATATCTGGGTGATCTCTAAAAATGGTTGCAATAGACAGAAATAATCAGTATTTCTTTAATTTTTTTTGTTGGTAGAGGTGCTAATACCTTCAGGTCAGATTAAGTAAACCAAGTTTTGTTTAACATATGTGTTTCTTTTAGAAAGGAAACCTGAAGATATCTTGAATAGGAAGACATAAGAGTACTGTGTTAAAGAGATTATCATCAAACAAATGAGAACATTTCAAAAATTCGATATACAGTCTGAGTTATATCTTTACAGAATCTATTGGTTGAATTCCTTCCGTTATTATAATATTATATTATAATTCTATATATTATATATTGTCTTTAAGTTGTGTTAAAGAAGGATTTAACTTAACTTATGATTACCAAGATAATAGTCAAAAATACTACACATATGATAACCAAAGTGATCATCCCACATTTATTACGTTTTCTTTGATTTTCGTCAGCTTTTTTCAATTGTTCATTGGCTCTTTGAGTATTATCACCAAATTGATTAATATTTTCACTTATTGTATCTACTTGTTCACCTTGTTCTTGAATTAATGAACCCAATTGACGAAATATAGTATTCACTTCACTAACTGCGTCATGTATTCTGGATACTTGAGTATCTCGACCTTGATGTATTATAGTATGAAAGTCTAATTCTTCTTGATTAATGGCAACACTATTCTGTTGTTGCAATTGTTGCTGGGTTTGAACATATGACTGTCTGGCATTTCGTGATTCATCTAACAATGAAGTTTGCTCGTTTAATTTTATTGATACATAATTTGAAGAATCATCTACACCTGAAGAATTTTCAACTATCGTTATTTTTTTCATTGAATTAAACTTATTCTCCAATTTGTTTAATTGTACATTGATAGCTTGATAATCACTATCAAGTTTACTACCTGATGAAAGACGTAAACTAATAATCTGATCTCTAATTGCATGGCATAATGGAATTTGTTCATCCTTTATGCGTGTATGAACATCTATTGAACCATTGGTGGTCTCTAATTGGTGGCATAGTCTCGAAAGTATTTTTACTTGTGTGGCAAATTCACTTATTAAATTACTCGGACTTCCAGTATCGTTCATCATTTGTGAAGGCAGTCTTTGATTTTCTAAATCTAAGAAGGACATCGTTTTGTTATTCCAAAAAAATGGTGATGAGACGAGTTAAAAGAGAATATAAAAAAAAAGGGTCTTATTGACTTAAAATGAGATAATTTGTTGTACGATGCTGACAAATGTTATCTATACAACCATGTGTATAAACCTTGCTACACTATTCTTTTAAACCGTAATTATGTGTAGTCGTCTGTCTAGTATTTACTTTGTTCGACACAGCTGGACGACCTCTTTGTTTTTGTTTTCTCTCCCTTTTGGTTGGTCTGGAGATGTTCATTCGTCCTTTTGTATGTCGATATTCATTTTGATTTTGTTTCCCTTCTCTATTTTCCTCGCCGAAAATAAAAAAAAGTTGACAGTCAGAAAAAAGCACGCTAACAGAATTGTACATCTTTTTTCTTTTATAGTGGAGAGAAAGGAATTCTCATTCAACCAATACCAAATCCATATGTATACACAATATGTGAAAGAAAAGTACATATGACAGTATGTTATTAATAGTAATATCCCGCATTATGACCATTAGAATTATTGTTGCTATTATTGTACGGACTTGATTGGAAATAGGAGTCTTCAGGGTACGGTCTAGATTGACCAACATTGACATCGCTATTACTGTAATCATTATTATTTGATCTAATTGGACTATTATTCAAATGTGTTGCAGAAGTAGAGTAATTACCATTTAGATATGTATTAGATCCTGCATTATTGACGAAAGAATCTCTAACGGGATCCTCCGAATCCAAGTCATAAACTACATTCTTATTTTGTCTCTTAAGACTCTTCTTTCTCTGGTCCTCGAGATCGAAATCTTGTTCCATTTCAAACACTTCACTATCTTTCTTATTTTTACCATTAGGGTTACCTTCATCATAATATAAATCTTGATCATTATTTGTATTACCATAATAAGCAGATTCAGGATATCTAATAGGTTGATATACAATATCAGGTGCAGATTGATATCCATTATTATTTTGCATGCCTGCCGGAGCATATCCATTATTATTCATCATCATGTTTGAATTATTATTGTTTCTATTGTTATTACAATGACAACACCAACAACAAAACTCGGCAATACCGGTTACACCTTGTCTAAAACAAGTCAAAAGACCACCAATAAGCCATAATCCAACTATTACAGCAAGTACAATCCCAACAATGGCAATAATCTTACAGGCTTTATCATTCATACATGAATTCCAATTTTTAAAACTTTTACCTGTAGTCTTTAAGTCATCGGTGAAATCTCTTGGATATATAGCATGTGAGATTTTACAAAACGACATGGTGTAGCGGTTTAATGTAACTGTATAAATTGTATATACGTAAGTAACAACTGGATATATTAGACAATAGTAATAATTAAGTACCTACTACAAACAAAATTTATACATGTATTATTGTAACTATTTTTTTATTAATACATCGAAAAGTGTATCTATTATTTCCACACTATCAGATCAAAGATGGATAGAGAGAGGAAAAAAACCCGCTTAGTGAAAATAATACAAAAAAACACTACAAAGAAAAACAGTCCAGTGCAAAATAGTAGAGGGAATAAAATTACAAATAGAAATGTGACAAATTTAATAAATACACAATTTATTTAATATATATATTGTTTGGAATAGAGTATGTGGTAATTCATATGTTTTGGAAATATCTAACAAATGGTACAACATCCACCACCACTTGAACTTTTGTCAGTTGTATTGGTTTGACCCTGTGGGGTTGATTGATTCTCTCTTGCTGTTTTACTAGATCCATTAGGATGAGTCTTTGGCTTTGAAGAAGTATGTTTTTTATTAGTATGAGTGGTTTTTGGTTCACCAGAGACCTCTTCATTGATATTATTAGTAACGTCATTATTATTTTCATTTGGTATTATATCTGTATTATTATTTGTAATTTTATTATTAATACGAGACGGCGATGATACAGAAGATGAAGATAAAGATGATCTTTTAGGTATAGTATTATTAACCTCATTTTGAGGTATATTCAAATTATCTTCACCTTGCTGTGGTGCATAATCTTTTTCTTGTGTTGGTATATTCGAATTATCATTTTGTATATATCCATTTTCTACACCATGATACATTTCATTATCATATATATTTCCACCAGCTTCTTTTTGTTTATTTGTATTTCTTGCTGTTGTTGTATTTGTTGTTGTGTTATTAATTGGTTGATTAATAAATGAACTTTCTAAATTTTTGTTAAATGCACCACCATTATCTCTAACTAAACGAACTAAAGTATAAAATGCATCTTCAACATGAATTGCTTGTTTTGCAGAAGTTTCTAAAAATGGTGCATTCATTTGTTTTGCTAAATAAGAACCATCTTCATAAGAAACTTGTCTTTCGTCTTCCAAATCAGATTTATTACCAACAACAACAACGGGAATATAATCTGCATCTTTAACACGTTGAATTTGTTGATAATATGTCATTAATTCTTCAAAGGATGTTCTTGATGTAACTGAATAAACTAATAAGAACCCTTCACCTGTACGCATGTATTGTTCTCTCATTGCAGAATATTCTTCTTGACCTGCTGTATCTAAAATATCTAATATAGTAACTTTTTCATCAATAACAACTTGTTTTCTATACGAATCTTCAATAGTTGGATCATATTCATCGACAAAATGTGAATGAATTAATTGAATAGTTAAAGCAGATTTACCAACACCACCTCCACCAACTACAACCAATTTATACTCCCTAATATTACTTTTATTCATCGACATATTTGTATCTTTTTCTATATGTAACTCAATTACAATATAATTATTTGATCTCTCTATCCTTGCTATATTGATGTATTGAAATATATTAATGTTAATATTATATTAGATAATCTGTATGGTAATCACGACATTAAATAGATATATATATATATAGTATGTAAATAGTTTTTTTTCTTCCCTTTTACATTGCAAAAAAAGAATGAAAGAAAACAAACAAGAAAGACATATATTATAAGATATGTTGAAAATTACAACCGCATCATAGTGCAGAGCAACCTCAACGATCTAGGGGGGGCGAGAGAGAGAAAGAGTGGCGGATGCGTGTGAGAGGAAAAAAATGAAGGGGCAATAAGAATTTTTTAGTATGCCGTAAACAGTTACAACAAAGAAATGGCGTGCCCTCTCCTTGCAATTACAGTAGAGTGTGTATTGAGTATGTTTTGGGGAGCGAGACAGACTGTGTGGATAATGCGTTAGTTTGAGAGAGAGATGCATAAAATTAGGGAGAAAAATCGTACGTACATTATCTGAATTCAGAGAGGAGAGACAGAACAGAATCGACTGTTTTTTTTAATTCTGGGGGGGGGACTCTGCGCACATATTTTCTTCTCTTCCCGTTGTCTCAAATTGGTTTTTATTAATGTCCATTTATCACTGGACACGGTATCATCTTGGACGAGGCGGTGTTCCCCTCACGATTGTTTTTTTTTTTACTTGAGATTCCCCCGCCCGCCCCCTTTAGAATAATTCTCTCTCCAACTGATTTTAACATTATTTTTTATATAAAGAGACAAGAAAGAAAAAAAATAAATGACGCTGTCCGTTGTTCCGTTCCGAGTGATGGCGGTAGCGGTCATGACATATATACTGTAGTTTGTTTTATTTGTAGGCGATGGCGGGTCATTCCCACCGCGAGGCAGAGAGAGAGAGAGAGAGAGTCACACATATTTTTTCGATTTTGGTTTTAATGTAATTACAGTTGGAGGAAAATTTGATGATTAAATTGTTTTTCTTAAGGAAAACAAAAGATTGTGTGTAATCGAGATATACAAACATCTTTCAGCGCGTATTTTCTTGTTTGCTTGTGAGTGGTTTTCTCTCTCTTTGGGTGGATGGATCTCTATGTATACAGACGTGTTTGAAAGGAACGTATCTTTCTCCAAAATAGATAGATAATCGGTTATATACAATACAAAAAGCGGTGAATGAATGATGATGTTGATGACACTAACTTTTAATAATTGATTACTATCTTGTAATTATATATTTATATATATATATACACAGATATATATTTTAGTGTTTTTTGAAATTCCCTTTTAACCTCTTATATATTGTTGTAATTCGTAAAATACGACCAAAAAAAAATTCATAATAGTTCAATCATGTCGGACACATCATTGACAGAAACTACATTATTACATGAAGAAACTGATACACTTAAGACACCGGTAGCACCACCAAATGCATTAAAAGAAAACTTTAAATCATTAATTGCAGGTGGTGTAGGTGGTGTGTGTGCAGTATTAACAGGTCATCCATTTGACTTAATTAAAGTACGTTGTCAAAATGGTCAAGCGAAAGGTACAATGGATGCAATTTCAATAATCTTAAAAGAAGCAAGAAATATTAAAAAGGGTCCAATGGCAATTAATTATATCAAAAGTTTTTATAAAGGTGTTATTCCACCTTTATTAGGTGTCACTCCAATTTTTGCAGTTTCCTTTTGGGGTTACGATTTAGGTAAAAAAATTGTTTCGAAGACTGGGACTTCCGATATACCGGTGAACACATCCTTGACAATTACACAGATGGCCACCGCGGGGTTTATTAGTGCAATTCCAACAACTTTAGTTACAGCACCAACAGAACGTGTTAAAGTTGTATTACAAACATCAAAAGGTGGTTCTTTTGTCTCGGCGGCTAAGTCTATTGTACGTGAAGGTGGTATATCATCCCTTTTTAAAGGTTCTTTAGCCACATTAGCAAGAGATGGTCCAGGTAGTGCATTATATTTTGCATCCTATGAAGTAACTAAAAATTATTTAAATAATAGAAATTCTAATTCCGCAATTGATGATGGCCAAGTTAGTATTGGTAATGTTTGTTTAGCTGGTGGGATCGCAGGAATGTCAATGTGGTTAGTTGTATTCCCAATTGATACCATTAAGACAACATTGCAGGCTTCAAATAATGGGAAATCTCAATCAATGGTGAGTGCTACACGTGAAATTTATCTAAAACGTGGTGGTATTAAAGGATTTTTCCCAGGTTTAGGTCCTGCTTTAATTAGATCATTCCCTGCTAATGCTGCAACTTTCTTAGGTGTTGAAATGACACATTCATTATTTAAGAAATATAACGTTTTAAATTGAAAAATATATATATATATATAATTATAAAATTTTGTCTTTATTTATTTGATTCTCTAATGAGCATGTTCTTGCCATCCATCAGGTCTTGGTAATTTGTTTACAGAATAGAATTTTGAACCACATGAATAAGAATTCCATGTGAAATCCTTTGATGGATTACAATCACATCTATTGCTTAATCTAACATCATCATCGATTGGACATTGATGGAATGGTACATGGTAATAACCTAAATCACCAAAATGATGAATTTCATCACGTTCTAAAAATAATGATGCAGCAATTGAATGAACAGGAGCATCACCCCATCTTTCATAGAAGAAACCACCTGCTTTATCTAAATATTCAAAATAAGCACTATAAGCTTCACCTCTCCATAAATCTAATGAAGCAATTTCAAAATTTGACCAAAAATGACATAAATTATATGATTGTCCATTATCATCACTAACAAAATCCATCATATTATTTTCTGGTAAATATTCTGGATGTAATGCAATAAAATCACGTGTGGTTTTCCATAAAGTTGGAATTGTTGCTTCATATTCTTTAATTGAAATTGTGAAAGCATATTTTTTATTGTTATCTGCCATAAATTTAAAGACATCATAATTAATATCACAATGTAATTTGATATCTGGTTCAACTCTCCAATACCAATCATAATCATCTAATAAAGGATGTCTATAAAAGAAACCTGATTCAAAACGACACATATGTCTATAAGAAATGGAATCACCATAAATAATTTTCTTTTCACGCATTTCTTCTCTAACTTTAGCAGCTTTATCTTGATCAATCCATGATGGGAACGACCAATGTTCTTTTGGTACTAAACCATATTTTGTTGTACCACTAATAATTGCAGATGTAACATTTTTAAATTCTTCAGTAAATTCTTCATCATTTAAGAAAACCCAATCATATTGAAATTTTGAATTAAAACGATCTTCGACAGATTTAATTGATTCAATTAATGAGTATAAATCTCTATTACGTGCTAAAGTAACAAAAGTTGCTTTTTCCTTTGGACCAGTATATGGTTCATATGAAACTTTTCTATATTTATAACCATCTTTACCAGATAAAACATATTGTTCATGATGTCCAACATTTCTAACATCTGAAGAAATGTTACCATTTAATCCAGTGAAAATCCAATATAGAGCACCGATTGTAACGAAAAGTATCCCAATACGTTTGAGAAGAACATCTCTGTTCTTTGGAATAGAAATCTTAGCCATCGTTCTTTTGCTTTTATTCTTCTTCAGTTATATGTAAAACAATAATAAAAGGAAAAAAAAAAAGGTTAAAAAAGCAATAACTCTAAGTGTTTCTGTTGTAAACTTATCAAATGAAAGAAAACAATAACTTATCAGGAATTAAATTTTGTTTAATACAAAATATAAATATTGATATTTGAAAAAGACCAAAGAGAAAAAGATCCAAAATAATACTTTTTTCTCTTTAAATTATTATATAATATATTAAAAAATAACTAGCTAGTCAAAAGAAGCCACGAGTTGATTAATTTTAATTTTAATTTTTTTTCTCTTTCGTTTCACTTATTTCACCTATACGCAAAGTCGAAGTTAACGTATGTATCTTATCGAAGGTATGTTACGCGCCTCATAATCTGAGTATTGAATAACCTTACAACATAGAGAGAGAGAGAGAGAGAGAGTAAGAGATCTTAATTCTGTTGGAAAATATCAAAATTCTTCAAATTTCCAGTTCAATTTACAACTTTTTGCGTTTATTGTCTCGTTAACGAATGTCAGTTAATGGTTACTCTCTGCAATATTCTGATACAGAGAACGAAGCAAGCAAAAAACTGATTGCCGTGCAGTTCAAAATCATTTCTCTGCGGGAAAATTTAGAACATTATTTTTTCTGTTCTTTTCTTGCAACCATATCGCTAAAAAGTTTACGTGTGTTAGGTTAGACAAACCACCGTACAAACACAGTCGACAAAAGAAATTCTTCTTATTTTCTTCGTTTCGGTTTTTTTGGTGGTTTGCGACGCGTAAAAAAACTGCAAATTTCCTTTCTCTTTCTGTCGTTTTGTACGTCGCTAAGGGGAGGAGTAAACAGGGTTGCCTTGTTGTAATTTAGGGTTCGTGTATAATGATTTCTATAGATATTTTTCACTTTTCCACTTTTCAAGTCGTTTTTTTTTTCTTTCTTTCTCTTGCCTCTTCACATAGTTAGGCAGCGTAGGCCCCAAATAAATAAATGGAAACATCGAGATATTAAGTTAGAGAGATGAGATAAGTTAAATTTATTGAAAATTATGTAATATTTCTTTGTCGAGGTGTACCTTCTACATAGAACTATTGAATCAATATCTCACTTCTACAATTTGGACAGTATTTAAACCGTTTTTCCTTTTTGATATATATATATATAGATAGATATATATTAGCGCAATGTCTAGTATTACAGCATCTTCTCCATCAACAATGAGACAAAGGAAACGTGGATATCCAAGAGGTTTAAATATACATTCTAACAATGATAACGATATAAATGGCAATGAAGCACATCCAATATCGAAAAAAAGATCTATCTCTTCTACTTTAATGAGTTTGTTTAAGAAAGATCCACAAACAAAAAATAAAGATTCTGCAAATTTATTAGAACCAACTCAGACTCAGAATAAATACTTAAATAATGATATGGTTCCAGATTTACCTTCTTCATCATTCTTACAACAGGATAATGTTCAAAATTATAAAGTACCATTTAATAGTGAAAATACTATTATGAAAGGTAATGGAAATTCGATCTTACTATATGAATCAGAAGATAATTCAAGACCTCCTGTATTACCTTTGTTACCGATTCAAAGATTACGTTTGTTAAGACAAAAACAAGCAATGAGATTACAATCAGAAAATAAACAGTTGGAATCAATGAAAAATATTAAATCTAGATTAATTACAAATGGCGGAAGACAAGATCAATATGTTGATGATAGTATTTCAATGACTAATAATAATGATGATGATACTAATAATATTAATAATAATACTGTAATTTATCATAAATCATTTACACCTTCCCCTATAAAAAATATTCCGTCAAAAAATGGTAAAAATATAACAGGAATCGTATCACCTGGTGAATTACCACCAATTGCATTGAAAACCTTACAAAATAAGAATAAATATAAGAAAAGGCAAAATAAAAATAAAGGTTCCGTATGGGCAGCTGCATTTGAATATGATGTTTCTGAAAAACCTGAAGTGACTAATGAAATCATTCATAATACAGTAACTATTACTGACATTGATGATAAAAATAATAACACCAGTTCTTTGACTACTAAATTGAAACCAGATTCATTGTTCAATTATAACAACAAACCTGCGGATAATAAAAAGATCTCGTTAACATCGACTCAAAGAAATCTATTACAAAATGGTACCGAATTATCCAAGAACAAGACTGCTACAATTACATCCTCTTCAAAATCATTGTTGAATGGAAGTGTTTCTTTGAAAAAACTACCAATGAAAATTACTTCTAATGATGCGATGAACTCCAACATTGAAAAGAAAAATTCTACTGTTTTGTTGCCTACTGTAGGTTTTGATTTCATTAAGGATAATGATACTCCATCAAAGAAATCTCCAGTGGCAAAACCATTAGGTATTAACATTGATAATAACCTTGAAGATCAGAAAATAAAACCTTCATTTTCATTTAATACCAAATCTAATGCGTCCATAACGAAACCTAGCTCTAATGACACTCCTTTACCTAAACTATCCTTTAACTTACCTAAATCTACCACATCGACACAACCTTCTGTTAAGGCTCCATTTTCATTCGGCTTAAATAAACCTCTTTCAAGTTCAAATGAAAACGTTGATGAAGAAGAACCAAGAAGGAAAAAACGTGCTCAACCTGACATATCGATTGATCTAACTAAAGGCACTGATAAACCTATCTTCTCCTTTGGTAATTCTATTGGAAATGATATCACTACTAAAGAGACAACACCAGTTGACAAGATCACCCCTACACAACCATCCTTTTCGTTTGGTGCCTCGAAGGTAGCAGGCGGTAATAACACAAAAGTGGAATCCAGTTCCGCAACTGAACCTAGTTTCTCATTTGGTACTAAACCAGCCGTAGAAACAAATGTTAAGCCAAGTTTTTCCTTTGGTGCAAAACCGTCTCAAGACTCTACTACTAAACCATCATTTTCATTTGGCACATCAGTTACGAAACCAAATGAACAGGCTCCATCAATTGGAAAGACTGCACCAGCATTTTCGTTTGGTACTACTTCGAAGGTTGCCGAAACTGATAAGGTGACCGATAAACCAACTTTACCAAGTTTTACATTTGGCGCGGATAACAACAACAAAGACTCTGCAACCACTGAAAAACCGATTTTCCCAAATGTTGCGAATTCAGTTACCTCCTCTAAAGAAACAAGTACTACTCCTTCATTTAGTTTTGGGGCGAAGCCTGCTGTTACAGGAACAGTACCAGCTAGTGATACTTCGAAGCCATCTTTTTCCTTCACTGCACCTTCTGGCGGAGTCACTGCTGCAAAGGAAAGCACAGATACCACTCAGAAACCATCTTTTAGTTTTGGTAAGCCAGCTACTACTTTAGGAAACGTAGGTACATCTGATAAGCCAGCAGTGCCCGGTTTTAATTTTGGAACTAAAGGAGAAAATTCTGCTATCTCTGAACCAAAACCAACACCTCTATTTGGTGCTAGTAATACTACATCTGCGGGATCCAGTGCTACACCGGTTAACCCTTCGTTCACATTTGGTAAGAAACCCGAAGAGGCAAAGAGTACAACACCGTCTGTGCCCTCCACAACTGGGTTTACATTCCAGAGAGTACCACCTACCGTTGGTTCAACAACTACGAACCCATTGATGGGAACAAGTAATGTGGATACTGGTAACGCCCCATCTATGTTCACATCTCCACCAACTGGTTTCAATGTTAATCAAGATGCTAGTAATAATCCTCTACTAAATAACAAGACTATAGCGCCTAGTAATGGAACACCTGCATTCAATTTTGGTATGAATAACAATACTAATAACCAAAACAATGTTGGAGGTTCAGTTTTCCAAACTAATAGCATGGGAAACAATTCTTCATTTAATTTCGGTGCTCAAAACCAAATGTCCAATAACATATCTCAACCTCCATCTCAACCTGCATTCAATCCTTCCACCACAGCTAACTTCAACTTTGGTTCTGCCGGAGGTAACCCAGCAGCTATTTTCAGCTCATCTGGATCATCTATACAACCTCAACAAATATTTGGAGGTTCTTCTAACGGGAGCGCAATGGATAATAGTAATATTAACAGTAGCAGCAGTCCCGCCGTACCTGGCTTTAAAGGAAGAAGAGTATTAGCAAGAATGAGGGCACCAAGAAGATAATCCGGTGGAGTCTCTGCATATATAACAAGCTCTTTTTATTATTTAAATGGTACAATATGATATATATCATCTTATTGTTCTATATTGTAGTAAGTAACTAATTCATTAATTAAAGCGTTATGAATTTAAAAATCTTTTATATTTTTGATTTTTGTATTCTTCGGCCGATGAATACACTTTGACATAGTCAGAAAGATATGAGGTTGATTCGTTTAAAAGCACTCTCAACCTTTGGAAACAGAGTTCGATCCAGCTATATCTTAAACCCACAATTGCATATATTCTGATGTCAAGTCTGAATAAACCATAAAAATTATGAAGCACAAGATTGAGAATATTGGTGGAGTTCACATTCCTTCCTTTTTGCTAGGGTTACTAGGATCTATTCTCTTATACTTTTTAAGTCCCGGTATAATGTTGGTGCTCGGGGGTCTAGTAAGTTTCATAAGGTTCATTGTGATATGTGGTGGTATTGTAGGTGTTGCTTATTTCGTATATATAAATAGAGGTAAGCTTGGAGAAAATCCAAGTCGAGATAGGAAAGGCAATGATGAAGCATCAGGTAACAAGGCGCATGATGTAAACATTCAAGGGAACTCGAAGGTTGGCGGAGAATTTAAATACTTCAACATTCCAATTACCAAACTTGGTCAAGCACAAAAACCTGATTTACCTCCAAGAAGTAGATTTGTGGATGTCAGCAACATGGATAATGACGAAATAAATCGAATAGGGGCTCAACCTCAGCGTAAAGCTGTAAAGGGAATTATAGATGAACCTCCGCAACAATTGGATACTACTATGAATTTAGATATTATGCGTAGTAAAACACAAGTTATGAACAGAAATGCAAGATACGATAATTTTGTTAACATGGCCGGAGTTAAGCATAAATAACTCAGTAATTGCATTTGGGTATTGTTTTGCAATTTTATAATTGATACATATAATAATTTGTAATTTACAGAACACCAAGACATACATATTGAAGCATAGTTCTTTCAATCATTGATTACGTATTTGGAATTTGTTTTAAAAAATATTTAATTATATTATATGTGATGAAGAAAAATAATATCCACGTTCCTCAGGATATTTTTTTAAATTATTTAATGAGTTTCGGATGGGATTTCGAAAACAATTTGCTTACCAGTAAGCTTGGAGTAGACAGCTTGGAAAGATTCCAGTTTGTAGTCAATTTGTTGAACATCCTTAGAGTCCAATAGGATCTTTTGGATCTTGTTACCACCAACTAAATATCTAACTCTCTTACCGACGATTTCGGTTGGGTAAACCATGTCATCTAGGATCTTTTCATGGACGGCGGTCAAAGTTCTAGATCTTGGTCTCTTTTGAGCGTTCTTGACACCTCTGGCTGGCTTTGGAAGAATTCTTCTTTCAGCTAGGAAGATAACGTGTCTGTCAGCAAACTTCTTTTCTAGTTCTCTGGTTAACTTGGTTTGAACCTTGTGGAAACCAGCTAGGGAAGGAACTGGGACAAAGATAACTAGAGCTTTCTTACCACCGGTGACTTCGATCTGTAGGATAAATAATGAAATTGAAATAATGAGCATCTATATATTGTTAAAAAACAATAGTATGATATTCATAATTTCTTTTCAATATTCACGTTAGTAAATTTGCTTACTATTAGGTAAGAGAGATGATGATAAAGATGAAGCATACATTGTATGTTTCTTTGGCACATGTAACAATTCGTTCACAAATATAACTTAAAAATACAACATGTTGAGCAGAATTTAAACTACCTCCAACAGAGGTTATTAGTATTATAATACACTTAGTTCTACGAGTGACCAGTGTGTTATATTAAGTTTTTTCTTCATCTCTTTATCTTCTAATAATGTAATATTTTAAAAGGCATGCACAGTCTCTCGTCCACATGACATTATTAGAGTATAAAAAGAAAAAGGTGTGAAGTGAAGTGCCAAAGTATTAAAAGTAGGTTCACAAAAATATACTTGTACAAAATATGAAAACTAGCATATTTCCGAATACAGGTATATCATTGTTCAACAAACAAATAATAATATAACCATAACATAATTTAAATGATATGATTCATCCTTGGTTTCAACATCTGATTTAATTTTGTTGCTTCCTTTTATAGAAGACAAAACTTTGAAAATATATATATATTAACATACTTCTCTGATGGACTTGAATTGTAGAGGTCTTAGATCAGCCTTCATTTCAGCGGAGCTGCTTTCTAGTTCAATGAAAGCTTGAGCAACTTGTAGTTCTAATTCAGTTGGGGCTTGGGATAGGATCTTAGCTTGGGCAGACATTTTATATATCGATGGTATTATAGTTGTTATTCTCTGGGTCAATTGAATAAAGGGTGGCTGTTAAAACTATTAAGAAAGAGACACTCTTTTAAAAAAGGTTTAAATGCCAGCTCTTCTATATGTTCCACTCATTGGTAAACTACATAAACATCCTCAAGGTGAATATGAAACTGACAGCTTATTCCTGAACAGTGAAAGTAGTACTATGAACAGATTGATAGAGATAGTAAAGAGGTCGCTGTCTCTAACACCTTCGTAGTGGTGCTGGGCTCATTCAGTGAAATTGTTCAGCAAACTGTTTTGGAAGGCAAAAAGCGTGCACAGTGCAGTTGTGGAAAAATTTCCGAATTCTAATATTTTTCCTATTTTTCAGAAATTGTTTTAAGAAAATAAAAAATAACAAGTTCCTAAAACCCATACATAATTGCGGTGTACTGATGTTAACAGTCCGGACGAGTTTTTCAAAAATATAGAGTATCCATTGAGATATTATAATAAGAACATTCGATGGGCAATGATTAAAGCTCTTTGTTGAATAGCTATCGCGGCCTGAAGTAAGTATGTATTCAGTTTTTCCTACTCAATGAGATAGCTTATTCTTTTTAGTTTTTGACAATATCCTTTAGAATAATACAAGATCATTGCATGGCAATTGTAACACGATATGGCCTTACAATTGCCTAATTCAGCTAGAGTTCTAGTTGGTACTTCATCTTATCAACTTACATTTAAGAAAGCTCGTCAAAAATATGAGAAGTCGGAGGGACGTAATTGAATTTTGAAAATTGACTTGATACATAGTTGAAATAAAGTTAATCACCGGTCTACATTTTTTTAAAAGCCGTTTGAGTTTATCGTCGGCGATGGGGAGCGGTGCTATACTCTTGATGTCGTTTCTACTATAAATTTGCGCAGAGCATCTGAGATGAGAATACTTAAAAAGAGTTATTTATTTAATTTATGTAAGTCAGCAATAAATAACTGTAGAACTTATAATACACTTGATATAATATATATGCCTATTTCAACTATTTCCATATGTTAGTCATAGAACTCCGTTACAGATAATAAGGGTAGAACTGTTAATTTGTTGGTTCGCCATTCGAGTAAGAATATGAGAGAAAATACAATACAACAAAGTTTCCTCTCAAGGGATTAAGGGATCGAAAATATGTATATGTATATATATATACAATACATGTATATATATTTGGTGCGAAGAATTAAATTAAATTAAATCATTCGATGATAATCATTCTTAACATATAACAAAAAAAAAAGATCAACTCTGATTTGTCGAGTAGTCAAAAGAAAAGTAAAATATCTCCAGGAATCAAAGTTTTGTTAGAGTTTTTTTGAAAAATTTCAGTTTTTTTTTTTTAGCACGAAATCAGAAAAATTCCAGCTTTAAACCAAACTGGGCATCTCATCTATAATAAGACAAGCTCATCGCATAAATAATACAGATAATTAGCAAGTAATAACTAAGATTTAATTATTTCACAAAGTCACAGCAATAAACAAAAGAATTGAAACAATGGCTGTTCCCTCTATCACCTCTTTAGCTCCATTAGCTGACAAATTGGAATCTGCCAAAAGAGCTGCTGCATACAGAGCCGTCGATGAAAATGTTAACTTTCAACATGATAAAGTCATTGGTATTGGTAGTGGTAGTACTGTTGTCTACGTTGCTGAAAGATTAGGTCAATACTTGAAGGATCCTGAATACAATGGATTGGTATCTCAATTCATCTGTATCCCAACGGGTTTCCAATCAAGAAGATTGATTCTTGATAATGGTTTGAAATTAGGATCTATTGAAGAAAACTCTTCCATAGATGTTGATTTTGATGGTGCTGATGAAATTGACGATCAATTGAATCTAATTAAAGGTGGTGGTGCATGTCTATTCCAAGAAAAATTAGTTTCTACAAGTTCGAAGAAATTCATTGTAGTTGCCGATTACAGAAAGAAGGCTCCAAAATATCTAAGTACAAATTGGAAGAGTGGTATACCGATTGAGATTGTTCCATCTGCATATGTTCGTGTTGCTGATGATTTAAAGAAACTAGGTGCAAAACATGTCATAGTTAGACAAGGTGGTTCCGCAAAGGCTGGTCCAGTTGTCACTGATAACAATAACTTTTTAATTGATGCCGATTTTGGTATGTTAGAAAACCCAAGTCAATTACATGATAAGATAAAGGCTCTAGTCGGTGTTGTAGAAACTGGTTTATTCATTGATAATGCTTCAAGAGCATACATTGGTAATGCCGACGGTACTGTTGAAGTCTTCAACAAATAATTCGACATTTGTAATTTAACATTTGTGTAATATATATATATGTATATATATGAATGTATATATAGTAATTTTTATTATTTCATTACTTGTCTTCTCATTTTTTCGTAAATTATTTGTTTATTAGAAAGTGTGTTTAAGAGCATTTTTCTTTAACGCCTAAAGTTAAAGTTTTTTAACAAAACAAGAAATTAAAAAGAAAAATTAGGCGCTATAAAACAAGTAATTCTTTACAAAGACAATAATATAAAGTTTCTTTCCTTTTCATGATAAAAGTTCTTATTCTGGTTTACTTTATTTTTGTTACAAAATATGGAGTATAAATTAATATATTAGCATAAATACTTTTAAATATGATCATTATTATTTCTTGGACGTATTATTGGAAATCCAGGATAAACCTTCCAATAAACCTTGACCAGAAAGTGCATTACTACCAATAACACACCACAATTGGTTCTTCAAGTTTTCACTTAATTGTAAGAAATCTGAAATTTCTTGTGGTTTCATTGCATTTTTCAAATCTTGTTTATTAGCCCAAACTAAAAGTACTACATTCTCCATTTCTTTCTCACTAATAATACTATACAATTCCTCTTTAGCCTCATTCAATCTTTCGGTATCGCTGGAATCAATGACAAAGATTAATGCCGTAGTAGCTGGGAAATAATGTCTCCATAGAGGTCTTAATCTTTCTTGCCCTCCAACATCCCACATATTGAATTTAACATTCTTATAAGACACCGTCTCTACATTGAACCCAACTGTTGGAGTTGACGTCTTTATTTTATTCAATTTTAATTTGTATAATATAGTAGTCTTACCTGCATTGTCTAACCCTAACATAAGAATCTTCATTTCACGGGAGCCAAATAGCTTACCCAGCGTCTTCGATATAGAATTACCCATATTGTTTTCCTTTATTGCTTCAAGTATTGATATTCAAAGATAATCACTGATCAATTAGCGTCTAGTTACACTCTCTAACGCATATAAAAATATTTTTGTCACTACTTCTAGAGGTCCCAAACCTTTTGAATGTGTATGGAAAACCCTTTTTACAACCTCTCTCTCTTTATTTATGCTTAACAAAACCCATATTGCAATTCTCGCTCTAGCCCATACTATAAAAAATATAATTTATTATTACTCGGAAAAACCCTACATATATCAAGTGAGTGGGTAAAGGAATATCGGGGATACTAAACCTAAAAAGGATAAGAGAAACCAGGATCTGAAATGACAACAATCAACTTTACTACTTCAACAATATGCCATGCATTTTTCTGTTCATGTTGCCCCTGGTAGAAGTATCTGTTTATCATATTAGAGAGGCAACACAGTACAGATCATTTCCGATTTATACAGAAGCTTCCTTATAAATTCAAGATTTTTTGTCTCTTGTCTTTTGAATTATCTAACTAGTGCGCTAAAGTACCAAATACGTATTCAGTACATATACAGGGCATCAATATGTTTATAATCTCTTATTTTTGTAATCCTATGTTACTACTTGCCATATATATATACTGATATAAATAAGCTCATATTGACAAATTTAAGTGATGCGCTTACAGAAAATAAAGTTCAAAAGCATTAAGTGAAAATTTCACTTTCAATATTAAAACAATCTTTGACAGCCTGAAATTTCACAAGAATAACCATATTTAAAGAGTACTATACCTCTGTTACCATTTATTAGGAAGTACATTTATATAGGTTGCTATCAATTATTACTCGGTTTACACCTATATCAATATTTTAACACCATCTGCATTCAGGGTCTTTTATTTACACTTTCTAAATATAGTTTATTTTACTACATCGACCAGTGGCCAACCCCTCCCAAACGTATACACATATTACTGAGAGATTGACAATGGACTTTTCAATACCTCCACACTTACCTTCTGAGGTACAGGAAAGGCTGAATGAAATGATTAATGATTACAAAGAAGAAAATTTAACTAAGAAAGGTTATCAAATTAAAAGAAAAAGATTGTTGGAAAAATATAAATATTCTGGCACACCTAGTATCAATGAGAAGAAATCTGTCAGTAACATACGAAAGAATACTATACGTATTCCAGGGAGAAACCAAAGTTTATCATCTACAATGGATGTATCGAAGTATGCAGGAACAATTCCAGATAATGTTTCAATAATATCCTCTAGTCGATCGCATCGAGACACTGGTTCTGATCATGCCAGTTCGATATATAAAGTTACAACTGTAAATTCTACACCTAATAGGATTAGTCCATTAAAACGTCATGGTAGAAATTATTCTACTCAATTATCCTTGGCATCATTTGATCCATTAGCAGAGAATTCTGTATATAACCCAATGATCCCATTGTTACAAAGGGATGGTATAATTAAAACAGACTTAACCACAAAATACAAAGATTACAATATACGATCATTGTCATTACCACAAATTTTAAGAGGAAGATTCGAACTATTTGGTAAAGAAAATGCATTAATAACTGTGGACGCAAAGGGTAAAGAAAATTTCATTAGTTGGGATAAATTGTATCTTCGAGCTGAAAAGGTAGCTCATGAAATGACTAAAAAGAAATTATATAAGAACGAAAAAGTGATACTATGGTATAATAAAGATGAAATTATTGAATTCTCTGTTGCATTGCTAGGTTGTTTCATTGCCGGGATGGTAGCAATCCCTGCTTCATTTGAAGCATATACGTTAGGTGAAATCATGGAAATTATAAAATTAACGAGTTCAAAGTTTATCCTCATATCAAACGAATGCCATAAACAGGTCAATAATTTATATTCAACAAACAATAATACCAAGATAAAATTACTAAAGAATGATTTTTTCGAATCTGTGACTTTTTTAAAAACTGATGATCTTGGAACATATTCAAAGGCAAAGAAGGCTGCACCAACGTTCGATACACCATACATAGCGTACATTGAATTTACGAGGACACCATTGGGTAGATTATCTGGGGTCATGATTAAACACGAAACTTTATTAAGTCAATTTAAAGTGTTATCAGAAATACTAGATTCAAGAACGATGCCAGATTGGAAAAAAGTTGATATTATCAAACCTTATAATGTGAAACATAGACTAACATCGGTTAATATGAGATCCCTTTCAAGATTTACAGTTATGAACACACTAGATCCAACAAGGTCTACAGGTTTAATATTTGGGGTTTTGTTTAACATTTTTACCGGTAATCTATTAATATCTATCAATGATCAATTAATCAATAAACCTGGGGGATACGAAAATTTAATCAATAAATATAGGGCAGACATATTACTAAATGATCAGCTACAACTAAAACAAGTTGTGATTAACTATTTGGAAAATCCTGAAGTAATCATGGCTGAAAGGAAGAGAACCAAGATCGATTTCAGTTGCATAAAATGTTGTTTGACCTCATGTACAACGATAGACACCGATACAACTGAAATGGTTGTTCACAAATGGTTAAAGAATTTGGGATGTATTGACGCACCCTTAGTTTATTCACCGATACTGAGTTTATTAGATTTCGGCGGTATAATTATCTCAACGAAAGACCAACTAGGTGGACTAGAGAATTTTCCAATTCACGAGTCCAAATTAAGACTTCAGGATGAACTATTCGTCAACAGAGAAAAGCTAAAAGAAAATGTTGTTGAAGCTAGCATTACTGCAATGATCAATTCATCGAGTTCGTTCAAAGATTACCTTAAAGTGGAGACTTTTGGATTTCCGCTACCAAACACATTATTATGTGTTGTGAATCCTGATAATGCAACATTAGTTCCAGATCTTACTGTTGGTGAGATCTGGGTATCTTCAACAGATTTGGTAGGTGAGTTTTTCCAACTTGACAAGATTAATGCATTCGTTTTTGGTGCAAAATTAAACTACCCTAAAATGCAAAGTTATGTTTCAAAAAATCGCAGTACAAGTGAGTCACTCTTAAGAAATGTTGCGGAAGAGAAGTTAGAAACGATTATGAACTTATGTCCCGTAGAGACTCAATTTATGAGAACTAAATTAATGGGGTTTGTTTTTAATGGTAAAGTATACATTCTGTCTCTTATAGAAGATATGTTTCTACAGAATAAACTCGTCAGAATGTCAAATTGGGCACATACATCCGATATTACTAGATCTAAGAAAGACTCTGACCAAACCTTGAATAGAACACCTAGCATTGCAACGAACGTTTCAGATTCTGGAAACAAAAGTGTGGTTTCAAGTCCAAATCATCCTAAACCAAATTCGGATAATCGTGTTGTACAAACATATTATTTGCAACAAATATCAGAAACTCTGGTACGTACAGTCAATACAGTTTATGAGGTTGCTGCGTTTGAATTAAACCACCACAAAGAGGAACATTTTTTAGTTATGGTCATCGAAAGTTCTCTAGCAAAGAAGAAAAAGGAAAGTACAGAAATCGATCCGACAAGCGTTGTAACGGAATACAAACCTGATAAGGTTCTTGAAAAGAAAATGAATGATCTAATTGACCAACTTTACAGGATACTATGGATTTTCCACAAGATCAAACCAATGTGCATGCTGGTTGTTCCGAAGGGTACATTGCCGAGAAGATACTGTTCTTTAGAAATTGCAAATAGTACTGTCGAGAAGAAGTTTATCAGTGGTGAGCTTGAAGCAAAATTTATTAAATTTCAAATGGACAATATCATTTTAGATTACATCCCCCATTCGTCCTATTATAACGAAAGTATATTTTCTGAACACCTGTCAAAATTAAGACAACTTTGTGTGGAAGAGGAAAATGTGTCTGGGAAGGTAATCACCTTACAAGATTCTGGTATCGATTACAGGGATATTTCTTATGATTCTAGAGAAAGGAATAGAAAGTTAACTGATTTTTCCTCTATTATGGATGTTTTAGAATGGAGAATACCTACCCTAAAGAATAAGGCGGCATTCAGCGAACTCGGTGAATCATTTCATTCATCCTCGAAGACATCAGAAATGATGAGTCTAAGAAGCATATCATGGGCCAATTTTGAGATTATTGTTGCCTCTTTCTTAAAGAAAATCGTGTCGTCCAAGAACCCACTAAAGCCTGAGGACAGAATTGTCATTATTGCAGAAAACAATATTGACTACGTAGCAATAGTCATGGCATGTTTCTACTGTAATTTTGTAGTTATACCATTACCCCCATTGAATGAGAAGAATTTGGACAAAGATTTGGTATATCTAACTGAGATAATCAAAACATACAAGGTCAAAAGACTTTTTATTGATCTGAAAGTCCATATGCTCATGGATACGAGTCCTTATAACAAAATATTCAAAAAATATAAACATCTATTGCCAAAAACAACACTGATTTCCAAAATTAAGAGAAAACAGGGTCTCTCCATCAAAATATTTAAGAAAATCCTACATGACACATATTACTACAAACCAGGTAAAAAGACACTTGCTGTCCCACGACTTGTTTGGATAGACAGGGAATTTAGTTCCACCAAGGATATCCATGTCACTATGACACACTCAACTTTAATGAATATGTGCAAAGTATTGAAGGAGACATTGCAACTAACTGCCGATTCATCCATTTTCTCTCTTTGTTCACACACTAAAGGTTTGGGGTTTATACTAAGTTCCTTAATTGGTATTTATGTTGGTTCCATGACAACATTATTTTCCTATGATACGGTTATGGCTCACCCTAAGTATTTCTTGATGGAGGTTCAAAATAAGAATGTTCGGGATCTGTTTTTAACATTAGACACCTTCACAATACTCATGGACAAGGCTTCTAAACTCGTCGATAGAGTATCTAGGTCTAACACAGACGGTACAAAACATCAAAGTAAGAGCGGCAAAAAGAATGGTCAAACACAAATTTCTACACTCAGAGCAGATATGTTCAGAAACGTGAAAAACATCATGATTCCTTTTATCGGACGTCCTGAATTTAATAGGATTGAAAGTATTTTATTAAATTCACAGTCCATTTTTGTCAAAAGAACCCAGATCAACTACATATACCAACATCACTTCAACCCTATCATTTCTTTGCACTCTTACTTAGACGTTCCACCTGTAGAATTTTTTGTTGATCCAACTTCTTTACGTGAAGGTATGGTAAGAGAGGCAGGTACGGGATTCCAAGGTTTACGATTGCAAGACTCGGGTGTGGTACCCGTATGTACGAATGTATCCATCGTAAATCCTGAAACACAATTGCCATGTTATGAGGGAGAAATCGGTGAAATTTGGTGTTGTTCTGAGGCTAATGTTTTTAACTATACGATATCCAAAGATGGAAAATTAGTTAGAGATGAATTAATATCACAACAATTCAAGAGCCGTATGGCTGAAGGGGCAGATAATGGTCTAACCTATTTAAGAACAGGTGACCTAGGGTTTATAAGGACAGTAGAAATTACAAATACCAATGGGGATTTAGTCAGATTAAACTTATTATATGTTTTAGGTAGGATTAATGAGACCATCGAATTATTGGGACTAACACATTTTGTAGGTGATTTAGAGAGGACGGTTTTCTCTGCGCATAGTTATATCACAAATTGTATTATATCGAAAGCAGGTGGGTTATTAGTTTGCTTATTGAAGTGTAGACCGAAATGTTCAGAATTATATGCCAATATCGCAGCACTTGTTGTGTCGGAGCTGTTGAATAGGAACGGGGTGATTGTAGATCTCTGTACATTTGTGAAATCTAATAGGCCAGGATCATACTCAGTCGATGGTGAGTGGAAGAGAAATCGTTCTACAATAATGAATGACTGGTTTAGTCAAAAATTACGCGTAGAGACACAATTTGGTATCAACTATGGTGAGAATATATCTATGTATCTGTTATCTGACTTCAATAAGGACATTGTTAAATAGACGTCATGTTTATATAATCAAATAAAAATAAATAAATAATTAATATTAATTAATCAATTAATTTATCAAATTACAATGGATTTTAAACTTCAATGATTACTATATTAAAAAGAAGTACGTAGTTATTATGAATTATAAAAAATGTTTGTTCCTTAAACTATTTTTAAGTCTATCGAGAGACTTCGTCTTTTTTAAAATAAAAAAAGATATGCATACATCACAAATTATACGATGGTTTATATGGGTGGAAAATACCAAATCTTCTTGAGAGACTAAGATAAACCACATTAAATTCATAAATTGGTGACAATTAAGAGGAGGTAGAAAAAAAACAGAAATGCGAGATTAATAAAGGAAAAACACAATGATGAGATTGGAATATATGGACTTAAAATTGTAACTGATATATGTCAAGTTAACTCTTTTTATTTTATGTTTTTTTGTCATTAACTCAGTTTACTTCTTCAAGTAGACCTTCAAGTAGTAAGTGACGACGAATGGAAGACTGACGATCAATAGGGGATATTGCAACATTAGGAAAAATGCAGTACATTCCATTTGGATTGGATCCTCACAATCGACAGGTGTATAACTTGCAGTGAAATAAATCAAAGTAGTCATTGTTGGTAAAGCCCAATTGATTGTCATAACAAACAGTAACATTTCATCCTTTTCTCTATCTAACCAACCTGCTTTAACTAAACGATCGGCCCATAAGACACCAAAGATTGGCATGACACATTGTCTTAAAAAGACTAATAAGACAGCTGATTTCCAGAAACCTGGGTATAATTTCTTAATCTTTAATCTACCTAGAGTAGCACCTAATAAGATTAAACCAAATGGAACGGAGGCAGCACCAACGTAACTTGTGAAATCCATGAAAAAACTTAGAGCTGGTTGATTATCTGGAGCTTGCTTAATATTTGGTGTATTACTAGATGTAACAAATAAAGCTTTTACCCAGGGGATGAAAGCAATTGTTAAAGCAGCAATAACAGCCATTGAACAAGGTCTTAAACAATTCTTTAAGAAAAAGACAATGAATGGAGTCAATGGGAATTTCCTAATACATTTTGGTAATGAACCACCAGATTCTTCAATATCTTTCTTACTAACTGTGGCATCAGATGTTAAAATTTTAGTTAAATTTGATGATCTAATTCTTTGTAGACTTGAAACATGAGAAGCTTGATCATTAGAAGCATCTTCATTTTGTAAAGAAGCAACTACAGAGGCTCTTCTTCCACCATATTGATCAACATTAGAATATTCTCTAACGATATCGTCAAGACCTTCAGTTGGGAAATCACGTTTATCTAAAGAACGAACAGGAGTCAAGGCTAATTCTGAATTCAAACTATATTGACTATAAGTTTGACGTCTACCCATAGAACCATTATCATCTTCAGTATAAGCGACTGGTTGACTCATAGTACGTCTTGCAGCTGGGACACCTAATTCACGGTTGTAGTCACCTGCAGAAGCTTGGGAATCCACAGAAGTAGCAATAGAAGATTGAACAGAATGTAAATCGTTATTAACTGCAGCCATTGGCATATCACCAAGATCTTCAGTAGTTGAATCATCTAAGTTTTGATTAGATAAGGATGATGAATCACCTGCACCTAACTTAGTTACCATATTTTTCTCTTGATCATGATTAACTTCAGATGGTGTTACAGAACCACTATTAAAACCATTCTTTTCACCATTTACCACAGAACGAGATTTCCCACTTAAGGATGAAGATGAGGACAAATCATTATGATGAATACCAATTGGAGATTCGTCTTCTTCACGAATAGAAGCTAATGGAGAGATAACGGATGACATTTCACTATCTCTAACACCACTTTCTTCATCTTTATAATTGAAATCATTTTCAATAAGACGGAAACCACCTAAATTAAATACACAGAATAAAAACATTGCTAAGAAAATAATAACATTAGCAACACCTTTATTACCTTCTTCAGTAGTAAACATAGTAGATTGATCTAAAGTTTGTAAATAAGCAATCGGTAAATCACTAATATTTGGGAACATACCACCTGCTAGAATACCACCGCCCCAAGCCTTTGGGACAGGTAAAGTTTTTTTAATAATATATGCACATCCTAGACCAGTACCAAAGATTAAAATTGATGTTAAACAAATTATACCAACAAATTTAATATCTTGGTCTTCAATATTACCCACAATTTTATTAAATGATAAAGAAGGTAATAAAACAGTTAGGACAATATCTGAAATACTTCTAGTAGCATCAGCTGTTAATATACCCATTTTACAAAGACCGAAACCAACACCAATGATCAAGTAAATCTTGATAATAGGTTTAACAGCGATCCAAATAACATTACCTAACGTTTCATGCATGATTCAGGTGTTATTATTATACTATTATAGGGTCTTGTTTTTGTTTTTCTTTCTTTTTATTATTGTATTAGTTAATGGACTTACAAGGGATGATTTTATAATTAATTGTTTTCAGTCAAAAAATCAAAGAAAAAAAGAAATAAATTATTCACTTTCTTGAGATATTCTAAACGTAAATCAATTTAAATAAAACAAAAAAAAATTATTATTATTTATTATTATTGATATTAATGATAATGATACTCCATACAATAAAATAAAATGTATAATCTAGGGAATCAATATTTTATATCTTTTAATGTTTTAAATTTTATTACTGTTTTATAATAAATTAAATATATGTATGAAAAATTAGATGAGGAATATGCAATTAAAATGTGGAACTTGAAAAAAAAAAAATATAACTTAAAAAAGAAAATACTGGTTATATATATATATGAGAAATTATCTAATAATAAGGAACTTAAACTATTTATTTTATAATCAAGAATATAATTAGATATATAGTACGCGTTTAAAGGTCTCGCGGTAAACCGAGACTTAAACCTCAACGAATGCAACTCTAAGTTCAATTAAATTTATATTATTCAAAGCTATTTGTTGTATATCCGTCTGCTTATTCGATGAGATAATAATATTTCACCATTGATTAAACAGAACAACTATTTTATTTGTTTCATTATCCTTAGGGAGGATGATACAGTGATTGAACTCTACATATGTTCAGATCAAATCGATTACATTACGTCTTATAACAAAGGTGCAAGAGGCCAAGAATATATGGTACTATAACCAAGAAGACAGTCATCGAGAGGGAATATATAGACCGGTTACGAATAAGTTTGACTATCTTACCATAGATTTAATCTCTTTCTATTCCTAATTCTGCTAGTTATCATCGAAAAACACACAAGAGCTATTACGAGTCAGAGAGATTTATCAGTGAAAAAGAGAGGATTACTTTTCCAGAATATCGATATTTAATTAAATAATAATACTATGCATACGTAATTAGATTTGCTCTGTAGTAGCCGTAGCAATCTAGTGGAGTATGTCATCATCATCACCAATTCTTGCTGATCTTGACGGTTTTTGGATTTAGAAAATCAAGAAAAGCAAAGCTCAGTAGCGTGGGGGGGGAAAGAGAGAGGCGGTTTCGGTTAAGGCAAAGAATATTTTGTCGCTCGGAGAGTGGGATAAGTTATTCAAAAAAAAACAAATATTTTTGGTGCACACTTTACTGAATTATTTTGTATCTTTATGGGCTGAGCACAGATAATATATATTTTTGGTGTGGGAAGGCGTGGGGGGAGGAAAATAGACACAATAACACCAATATAAATTGCGTGACCGAAACGTGGGATACCAACTTAGAGGCAAAATTTAACGAGATACTGTGCGAGGTAAAGGAAAAGAGTGTGGGATTTTTTTGTATTTTATTGTGTAAGAAGATAGAGTGGAAAAAAGGCAAGCCCTAACTTTGGGAACTTACCCGTATTTGGGGGAAACAAGGGTCTACAAAAAAAGGGAAGAGCAGAACGGTCCCTGCTCCTAATTATGTCTTCTTTTTCTTCTCGTTGCGTCTCATATTGTTATAAGATTTCTCTTTCGGCTTTCCGGAAAATAGGCAAACCCTAATATAGGGCCGCCAATCGCTTCTTATAGGTCAGTTAACAATACGCTAATTTTTTTGACGTGGGATAACGTGAGAAAAGGACCAACGTTTTAAAATTTTAGTGCTGTTCCATTTCGTTTCTTGAAATATCAAATTTATTTGACAGCAAATCATGGGTTTTCCCAACAGAATACGGGGGAGAAGAAATATAAAGTGTAAGGCCGCTTCTTGCGTTGTCTTTAAGAAGTAGTGAGTGGCTACCAAAGCAACGACTAGTAGATACATCGCCCTTCCATACTAAAAAAAACAAGAGTGTATAGCATATTTGACTTATATAAATGAAGCTTATAGGCGCGGCTATCGGGGTTAAGCCTTTTTAGCATTGCAGAAAAGAATCTTATTAACTATAATTCGATTTAGTCATCTTATCCTACCGTCTTTTATGCTGTTAATGTAACGAGATGATTTACGTATTTTCCGTATTAACGGAGAAGATGTAAACCGTGCAGAATATATTCTAATATTAAACTGAAAACTTGCATGTTTTTTCTAACGTCAATGTCTTCTTTCTTTGAAACTCTATATGTACATATCCTACTATGGCGAACCATGCTTATGTACGTAGTTCAACAAAAACAAGCTACTTACCCCTGGATTTTTTGTTTTATTATATCGCTTCAATTTCGTGTACATCATTAAGTTTTTCGAACATCATTTTCGCACTTGTAAATCATAATTTCTTCTTTCTGTCAATATCGGTATTATGACCTTGGCAAACAATTATTCTTTTTATTCAATTCGAACCATATATTGTCCGTATTGAATCAATAACGCTACTTTTGCGTTATTTGCTCCCTCACCTTTTGATAGTGAACTTGCTCTTGAAATAAGGAGCATTGTATTAACCCTCTCTTTCTCCCATTTACGTATATTGGTACATATTAGTTCCTTGTTAAGCCTGTATCTTTCTTCTGCAAGAATCCTTAATTTCTTTTTGATATTCCTGTGATTCAGCCGGCTAGCCATTCACATGCCAAAAACGGAAAATAACCGCAGAAAGGTTCAAAAAGTCACGTGACTCCAATATTTCGTGTAACACGATAACCTGCTTTCTTTCTTTAGAATCTCAAAAAAATTAAAAAAAATCTTCGAATTTTTTTTATTTTTTTGCTTAATTCAATACTTTTCCTATTATGGTAGAATTGTAAACAGAAAAAATCAAAAAGCGAAAACAAAATCAAAAAGAAAAAAAAAATGTTATTACTGAACAATCGACATAATAATATTCTTAATTATGCTGGTGAATAATTGATTCGATGGACCATATAGGAAATGTAATTACACTATTATGACAATATTAATAATAACTTCTTTAAATGTGTTTTTTTAGAATATAACTTAGTAACTTTTGATCTCAATTTTAAATATATACTTTTGATCCATATTTCATAGATATTAGAGTTGTACAATTAATAGATCACAGAACACTGAAAAATCGTTCGTTGGACTTGTACATAATATATTCCTAATTTTTTATTTTTTTTTTAAGTTCTATCTACTTTAGTTTAACAATCAATTCACAATTGCTCTCAATCAAATTAATTTAATATGCGTAGAAGTATATTTCTAGATAATACAATCGAATTTTTAAAAGGGCGAGTTTACCTTGGAGCATACGATTTCACTCCAGATGATACAGATGAAATTGTTTTCTTTACAGTTGAAGATTCAATTTTTTATAACAGTTTCCATTTAGATTTTGGTCCTTTAAATATTGGTCATCTCTATAGATTTGCCGTTATTTTCCATGAAATATTAAATAACCCTGATAATTCAAATAAAGCAGTTGTCTTTTATTCATCTGCATCTTCAAGACAAAGAGCCAATGCCGCATGTATGTTATGTTGTTATATGGTATTAGTTCAAGGTTGGACTCCTCATCAAGTATTACAACCTTTAGCCCAGGTAGACCCCCCATTTATGCCATTTAGAGATGCAGGTTATTCTAATGCGGACTTTGAAATTAGCATACAAGATGTAGCCTATGGTGTATGGCGTGCAAAGGAAAAAGGTTTAATAGATTTACATTCTTTTAACTTAGAGACTTATGAAAAATATGAACATGTTGAAAATGGTGATTTTAACGTATTAACACCTGATTTTATTGCATTTGCATCACCACAAGAAGATATGAGACTTAATAGTAATTTTAAATCTCGTTCTCATTTAAATCAACCATTTCGTAGTGTATTAAATTTTTTCTCTGAAAATGATGTTCAATTAGTTGTTAGATTAAATTCTCATCTTTATAATAAACAACATTTTGAAAATTCTGGAATTCAACATATTGATATGATTTTTGAAGATGGTACTTGTCCAGATTTGTCAATTGTTCAAAATTTTATAGGTGCAGCTGATACTATTATTAGACGTGGTGGGAAAATTGCTGTACATTGTAAAGCAGGCTTAGGGAGAACGGGATGTCTTATTGGAGCTCATTTAATATATACTTATGGTTTTACAGCAAATGAATGTATTGGATTCTTAAGATTCATTAGACCTGGGATGGTAGTAGGCCCACAACAACACTGGTTATATTTACATCAAAATGATTTTAGAGAATGGAAATATACAATGAGAGTTGCACTAGAATCAAGTGAATTGATTGGAGATTTATATCCATTGATCACTAATGATGAGTATAAGATTCAAAAGAAAAGATTAAGAGATGCAACTACAACGGCGGCCTCTGCATCTTTAGCTAGAGAAAACGGAAGAAAAGGCTCAAACAATCTTGAATCAAATCTCCGAGATTTGAATATGACTCCACAAAAGTCTTCATCTTCTTCAGGTTCAAGAAAATCTGCTGTGTTTAATAGTCAAAAGAATACTACTACTACTACTACTACTACCAATACCAATACCAATAATAATAATGCCTCACAAATGGACTACACAAATAAAGCTGTACCTCAAAATTCTCCTGGGCAACCAAGAAAGGGACAAAATGGTACTAACACAATTGAAGATATTAAAGCTACTAAGAGAAGGTCGAATAATGAAAACGAAAGTGACATGAATGACAACGATGAAGTAATAGATACAATTGATGGTGATACTAATATGCTGACAGACAACAATTCTGATGAGGAAGACATTAATAATAAACCTGTATCAATTACAAATATCTCTAGAAGAGCACAAAGAATACAACAAAACAACCAGGATGATGCAGCTGAAGAAGAAGATAACGCAATGCTAAAACAATTATTACCAAAAAATAGACGTACAACTTCTGGAAGAAGAACCCCAAGTTCGGCTGGTGGCATAAGGAAAATTAGTGGCACCACTAAAAAATGAAAAAATAGGTTTATCAGATAGACAGATTTTATATATTTACATAATTACTCAAACTAATAAAAAAGAAGAAAATTAAATCTTTTCAATGAGAATCATAATTGTTATTAATCGATATTAGTTAATCAACACTTTTATTTCAGACTTTTTATATATTATTACAATTATTACCTTTATTGCATGTTGAATATTACACATTAAGTTATTATTTTATAAGTTCAACACTCTATAAATACTATTTCATACATGATATCTTTTTTTACTTTAGATTTAAATGAACTAATCATATACATTGATAAAAACACAGACATTTTTCTTTATTTCTTTCAAAAGAGAAACTAGTAAGAACGACCAAACATGGTGTAATTAATAGCTTTACGGTCACATTTGACACACATTTGACCTTCCTTTAATTCCGGTTGTTCAAATGGGATACATAAAGATTTAGCACCCATAGATGGGGACTTGTCATCAGTTTCAATCTCTTCACCATCATCTTGTTTAGCAGAAGAGTCCTTAATATCTTCTTCACAATCCATGACACCACACCATGGTGACAAAATAATGTTCTTCTTGTTTAAGTTTGGAACGAAATCCTTCCATTCATCAACAATAACTCTGTGAGTGTCAAATAATTCCTTGGCTCTGTTATATAAATCATTATGCAATTCATCTAGAATTTCTGGGATACGGGTTTCAAGCTCGTCTAACTTAACGGTGTACTTACGAGAATCGTTTCTACGCACAACAACAACTTGGTTGTTTTCTAGATCCTTTGGACCCATTTCAATACGGATTGGAATACCCTTTAGTTCATATTGGGAAAATTTCCAACCTGGGGTGTAGTTATCGTTGTAATCACCGAATGCTCTGATACCAGACTTCTTCAAACGAGATTCGATATCCTTAGCTGACTCATGGATTAAAGAACGTTGTTCATCGGTGGTCTTCTTGGTAATACCGACTGGGATAACAACAGCTTGGAATTGAGAGACACGTGGTGGAATGACTAGACCCTTGTTATCAGAGTGAATCATTACCATGACACCAATAGTACGGGTGGAAAGACCCCAAGAATTTTGGTAGGCAAAAATCTTTGGATGTTCAGCACCTAGAGGGTTTTCAACAGATAAGTTAAACATCTTAGAGAAGTTTTGACCCAAATGATGAGAAGTACCACCTTGGATACCACGACCTGTTTGTGGAATGTAACCTTCCACGGTGGTAGTGAAATCACCACCAGCGAATTTTTCCTTTTCGGTTTTCTTACCCTTGATAACTGGGACAGCTAATAATTCTTCATAAACACCTGCATAGTAATCTAAGATTTGTAGAACTTCTTCTTGAGCTTCGGCAGATTCTAAGAAAGCAGTGTGACCTTCTTGCCATAAGAATTCTCTAGTTCTTAGGAAAGGCTGTGGGTGCTTAAATTCCCATCTAACAACAGAGTTCCATTGGTTTAATTTCAATGGAAGATCTCTGTAGGATTGAACCCATTTGGCGTAGTATGGGTACATTACAGTTTCAGAAGTTGGTCTGATAGCAATTGGTTCATCAAGCTCAGAGGAACCAGCTCTTGTAACCCATGCTACTTCTGGAGCAAAACCTTCGACATGATCCTTTTCTTTCTCTAGGACACGGGAAGAGACGAACATTGGGAAATAAGCATTTTGGACACCCAAAGCCTTGATCTTTGCATCAAAGTATTTTTGAATTTGTTCCCAGATGGCATAAGACGGTGGCCTCAAAATGTAACAACCGGAGACATCATAGTAATCTAACATTTCACCTTTGGTTAAAACTTGTTGGTACCAGCCTGGGAAGTCCTTGGCCTTATCGACGGTAATACCGATCAACTTAGCATCATCCAGAGTTGCGTTAGATGGTTGTGCAACCTTCTTGGCGTCCTTGGCCTTCTTTGGTGGAGGGTCTTTAGCGACTTCCTTTGAAAAATCAACGACCTTCTTGGCGTAAGTAGATAAGAACTTGAATAATTCAGCCTTAGTAATAAATAGATCATCATTTAATTGAAGAACAGCTGAGTCATCGGTAGCTTCTAGTTGTTGGTCAATCAACAATGTAAATTCAGAAACAGCACTTGGCAAGTAAGCTAAAGTGAAACCTCTGGCGGATTCACAACTGAAGAAGGATTTCATTAGATCATCACGAGCTAATCTAGGATCCTTAGCGGCGGCCTCCTGGGCAATCAAACCGGAAGAAGTTGTGGTAGTTTGTAATGCAACGACAACAATAGGGACTGGTGTGGCACTCTTAGCGGTTTTTGGCTTGAAGACCAAAGACTTGGTAGCGATAGCGCCAGCTGGCTTATCAGCCAGACATAACTTTGAGAAGTCTTCAACTACAGACATTCCTGGATGTATATATTTATAAGATGCTTTTGAATGGAGCTCTTTATCCTACTATTTATAAAATAATCTCAAGTATAACAGTTTGATTTTACATAAAGAAAACTGTTAATTTTAACTTAAATCTAATGTCAACAAAATTGCAACCGATTCAGTGGAAAATTCCAGTCATCACAAACCCTACTTCGTCAAACTGCATGATCTCGAGCACCTGTCGTCAATACTTTCTTCCGATGAGATAGCCAATATTCGCTCTTTTGTGAGATCGAAATTTTTTTTCTTTTTGGTCAGTGCGTTTGTCACTACACACGGGTGAAAAATTTTCTAGCAAATCTGTTTTCGTTTTAGTTGTCTCATTGCAATGAGTCAAGTAAGCCAGCGAAACTACCAAACAAGCAAGCCAGAGGGAGCCTGTTGTTATTGTCGTTATCGATTTTGAAATTTTCTTGATGGTTCGTGGGGTTATTGTAGCTGTAGCTGTTGTTGTCTCAGCGTGTCTTGGTTGTCTGATGTGTCAGCATTGTGTCCTGTAACGCTATCCTAATATATTAAACTTGGCTGTGTTGTAGATCTGATCAATTGGTGACCTAATTATATTGAATCATATATCCTTATATTTATTTTATTTAAAAACTAAAGCCTACCAAAAAACAGTTCAATCATCATGTCTCTATATATCAACGACGCTACTGGTGTAGATGAATTAACCCGTACCGGTTCTAAAGAACAAACTTATAAGACCCCAGCTTTTGCCTTGTTTGCTACCCAACAACAAGATGCTTCTGCTCCGGAACCAAAACTTTATGTGTTCAAAACTGAAGAAAATGATTACTTAGAGATCTCTGCTTCTGCATTGAAAAAGGCCCGTAAAGGTTGCGATGGTTTGAAGAAGAAGGCCATTAAGCAAAAGGAACAAGCTGCTAAGCAAGAAGAACAAGCTGCTGCTGCTGCCGCTAAGCAAATGGCAAACTTACACATTACCATCGAAGAAGACAAATCATTGCCAGCCGCTCTTAAATGTAAGATCAACCAAGCTTATGGTCATGTCGGCGAAAGGGTTAAAGTTTCTGGTTGGATCCACAGATTACGTTCTAACAAGAAGGTTGTCTTTGTTGTCCTAAGAGATGGTTCTGGTTACGTTCAATGTGTCTTGACTGGTAACTTAGCTTTGGCTCAACAAACTCTAGATTTGACTTTAGAATCTACTGTTACTCTATACGGTTCCATCAAGAAGGTTCCAGAAGGTAAGAGTGCTCCAGGTGGTGTTGAACTAGATGTGGATTACTATGAAGTTGTCGGTCTAGCTCCTTCCGGTGAAGAATCCTTCTCAAACAAGATCACCGAAGATGCTGACCCATCTATTTTACTAGACCAACGTCATTTGGCTCTAAGAGGTGAAACATTATCTGGTGTTATGAAGGTCCGTGCTGCCCTATTAGCTTCCGTCAGACGTGTCTACAAAGAAGAAAACTTGACTGAAGTTACTCCACCATGTATGGTCCAAACTCAAGTCGAAGGTGGTTCTACATTATTTAAACTTGATTACTATGGTGAAGAAGCGTTCTTGACTCAAAGTTCTCAATTGTACTTGGAAACTTGTCTACCATCTCTAGGTGATGTTTACTGTATGCAAGAATCCTTCAGAGCTGAAAAGTCTCACACAAGAAGACATTTGTCTGAATACACTCACATCGAAGCTGAATTGGCTTTCCTAACATTTGACGAATTGTTACAACACATTGAAACTTTGATCGTTAAATCCATTCAATATGTCCTAGAAGACCCAGTCGCTGGCCCAATTATCAAAGAATTGAATCCAGATTTCGTTGCACCAAAGGCCCCATTCATGAGACTAGAATACAAAGACGCTATCGATTGGTTAAAGGAACACCAAATCCTAAACGAAGAAGGTAAAGAGTTCCAATTCGGTGACGATATTGCTGAAGCTGCCGAAAGAAAGATGACTGACACCATTGGTGTTCCAATCTTATTGACTAAGTTCCCTGTCGAGATCAAATCCTTCTACATGCCTCGTTGTAAGGATGACGCAAGAGTTACCGAGTCTGTGGATGTTCTAATGCCAACTGTCGGTGAAATTACTGGTGGTTCAATGAGAATCAACAACTTGGAAGAATTGATGGCTGGTTTCAAGCGTGAAGGTATCGATCCAAAACCATACTACTGGTTCATTGACCAAAGAAAATATGGTACCTGTCCTCACGGTGGTTACGGTATTGGTACTGAACGTATCTTGGCTTGGTTATGTAACAGATACACTGTCAGAGACTGTTCCCTATACCCTCGTTTCAGTGGTAGATGTAAGCCATAAACAAAGTAGTAATATATCTCAATACAATTTATGTACATATATAGATTATATACTTGAAATGACCTCTTCTAACCTTAATATCATCAACAGATACTTCATAATCGGGATCTTGTTATGTGTAAGGTCTCCTTACTTCCAGTTCTTCCCAGTAATAGAGTAATAGAGTAATATAACAGGAACTGCGTGACTCAGGCAAAAATCTCGCCGTTGAAAAATATTGAAAACTTTGGATACACCGCTTAGCATCGACAATCCTAAAATCTTATATAAAGTTAATAAAATATCAATTTTGTAAGGAACAAGAAACCTATTTCAAATTGTGTAGATTTTGATAACTAATCCTAGATTGAACCAAGAAATAAACTAACAAATACGATAGAAATATAATGTCAAACGACCAAGGTACTCAAAAACTATGGGGTGGTAGATTTACTGGGGAAACTGACCCATTAATGCATCTTTACAATGCTTCCTTACCATACGATTACAAGATGTACAAAGCCGATTTGGAAGGTACTAAAGTCTACACTTCTGGTTTACAAAAACTAGGCCTGTTGACTCAAGATGAATTGACCAAGATCCACCATGGTCTAGATGAGATTAAAAAGGAATGGGACAGTGACTCCTTTGTCCGTCATCCAAATGACGAGGATATTCACACTGCAAATGAAAGACGTTTAGGTGAAATCATTGGTCGTGACATTGCTGGTAAGGTTCATACTGGTAGATCTCGTAACGATCAATGTGTTACTGATTTGAGAATTTTTTGCCGTGACACTCTGAATGAAAAATTACTACCAGCTTTATTAGATCTAATAAAAGTTTTGATCAAAAGATCCAGAGAAGAAATTGATATATTGATGCCAGGTTACACCCACTTGCAAAGAGCTCAACCAATCAGATGGTCCCATTGGTTAAGTTCTTACGCCACTTATTTCACCGAAGACTACAAGAGATTATTGCAAATCCTAGATAGATTGAACGTATCCCCATTAGGTGCCGGTGCTTTAGCCGGCCATCCATACGGTATTGACAGAGAATTTTTGGCTGAAGGTTTGGGTTTCAATGGTGTTATCGGTAACTCTTTAGTTGCTGTTTCCGATAGAGATTTTGTAGTTGAACTAATGTTCTGGGGTACTCTTTTCATGAACCACATTTCTCGTTTTGCTGAAGATTTGGTTATTTATTCTACCGCTGAATTTGGTTTCATAAAACTAAGTGATGCTTATTCAACTGGCTCCTCATTAATGCCACAAAAGAAGAACGCTGACTCTCTTGAACTACTAAGAGGTAAGTCTGGAAGAGTCTTCGGTGATATGGCCGGTTTCCTAATGAGTTTGAAGGGTATTCCTTCCACATACGATAAGGATATGCAAGAAGACAAAGAATCTCTATTTGATGCTTTAACCACTGTAGAACACTCTATTTTGATCGCTACTGGTGTCGTATCAACTTTATCTGTTCAAAAGGAAAAGATGGAATCAGCTTTAACAATGGATATGCTTGCTACTGACTTGGCCGATTACTTGGTAAGAAGAGGTGTTCCATTTAGAGAAACTCATCACATTTCCGGTGAATGTGTTGCCGAAGCTGAAAGATTGAACTTGTCAGGTATTGACAAATTAACACTAGAACAATACAAAAAGATTGACCCTAGATTTGAAGCTGATTTGTTTGAGACCTTCAACTTTGAACAAAGTGTCGAAAGAAGAGATGCCACTGGTGGTACTGCCAGATCTGCTATTTTCAAACAATTGGATAATCTTGAATCTCAAATTCAATAGACTAAAATACCATCTTTTTTTTTTAGTACAGTTTAATTGACTTATGCAAAGTATATATATATTAAACATGAAAAATAATAATAAAAATATATATTTATCCAGAAGTATGACATTAAATAATTATTAGTTAAGAACAGTTAACTTATCTGCTATGAATTTTCTGGCAAATTTGAAAGATGATGCAATGGAAATTTGGAATTTCATCAAGAATGGAGCAAAAGGCAAGGTTGATAAATAACTAAACTTACCAAGGTAATAGATTTGATATTTGCCCCCACATGTCGATAACCACTCTACAAATTGTTGTAATAAATTACCGTTATGTCTCATTATCATCTTATAGATAGGAGTATGTAAACCACATGATATATCTTTACCCGTTAAGCGCATATGTTTGTAATTTGATAATTGTCCCCTCACTTGGAATAGTCCGAGATTTACCATAGAAATGCTTAATGTCTTGTAATTTTTTAGAGCCTTAAAAACTGATGTGATAAATCCAGATATGAATAATTCAGTGGTATGATGAGTAGTTCCCAAATTATAGGTCAATGAAGGATTGAACAATATTATTTGAGTATTTGAATTAGGTAAATGAGGTATCAATTTTATTAGCGTGTTATAATAAGTTAAAATATTTGTTTTCAATTCATGTTGCATACTTTCAACAGGTAACTCACCTGTGGGTTGATAAGATAAATTTGGCATAAAAAGGATTGATGCTAACTTCCTCGGTGGTTCACTTCCTTGAGTAATAAATTCCGTAAAGAACGCCAAATCACTTGGTGATGCAGGATTGATTGGATGAATAAAATCGGTTTCTTCTTCAAATTGTTTGAAACTAGATGAATTTTCAGAACAAATAAACACGGTAAATCTTCTTCTGTAAAGATCCATTACTTGCGATCTAATAATAGGGTCACTCATATCACCTAACACCAACACACACATGTTCTCATTTTGAGGGATATGATCTGGTAGGCATAGTAATTTATTCCATTTCCATATAATTAATAATGCTGTTGCAGAAATACTCAATCCATACATCCAATTTTCTTTTATTGGTTCGATTGAGTTGATACCTGGAAGGATTCCGGAAAAGATTCCCTTGGTGGTCGGAACTGTTTCTGGTTGAAAAACATCTATATTTGAGGAATCGAAAACTTTATCTTTGATATTACCAATCGAATTTATTACTGAATGCGTGGTACTATCAGCTATATCTATACTCTTTTTGGCTAATTTGAAACTTGCGTTGAACAATTTATCAACAAAGTCTTGATCTGAAGACATCACAGGTGTGTAAAGCTAAGTTTTTATACAGATATTTCTACGGAAAAGGTTATCGAGTGCCTTTGTAATAGAGTGATGAACAAATGATATAAATGTGTAATAATCTTCTTTTAATTTTGTTACAGGATCTACTGTACGCTAATTAGGTTTGTTTGTTGTTATTTTGTTGAGTTTACATGACACACAACCCAAATTCCATCTCTTTCCCAGGCCCTTCACGAAAGGTGGAATAATGGACACAGAGATTTCGGACCGAGCGACTCCGTGGAGGAGAGTTGTCAAGGGTATAAAGGACTACTCCTTAATCAAATATTATATAAACAATTTCAAGTGCATCACTTTGATTAAACTTGGTATTTACAAACCATCTTAGATCAGCTTAAGAAATAACATACAATAATTATTCTATTTACGGAAGGAACATATTACCCAATTTTTATTTTATTATGCCATTACCTTTCGGTTTAAACAATCCCCTACCAAGGGATCTAGACAATGAAGCAAAGTATGCATAAAAGCTACTATATTTAGTTCTAAATAATGTTTTTTAAAATATATTACTAACATATATACCTCTGAATCATTCATTGGATAGTGTATTAGAAAGGCTGCAAATATCTTGAGGAGTTTTGTAAAACCAAACCAGGTATTGGGTGAAGATCAAATTATCCCCCCAAAAGTCCTACAAAATGCGAAGGGTTTAGCTATTATAACTGTTATTAAAGCTGGATTTTTGTTCTCTGGAAGAGCTGGCTCAGGTGTCATAGTAGCTAAACAAGGTGGTGGGTATTGGTCAGCTCCATCAGCAATCGCATTAGCCGGTGCAGGGGCTGGTGGTATGGTTGGTGTTGAATTAACTGATTTCGTTTTTATTCTTAATACAGAAGAAGCAGTTCAATCGTTCTCCGAATTTGGAACAATCACATTAGGTGGAAATGTCTCTGTATCAGCTGGACCATTAGGTAGAAATGCTGAATATGATGCGTCTGCCTCGACAGGTGGAATAGCAACTGTATATTCTTATTCCAAGAGTAAAGGTCTCTTTGCTGGGATATCTGTCGAAGGATCGGCTATTATCGAGAGACGTGAAACTAATAGAAAAATGTATGGCGATAACTGTACCACAAAATTAATTCTATCTGGTAGAGTTGATCCACCATTCGAATATGATGCCTTATATAGCGTGTTAGATTCAAGGGCGTTCAACGCAGAGGCTAAAATACCCGAAGGAAAAGACTTCTATGATGATATACCTGATGATTTTAATTGTCAAGACATTAAGAATAATAAAAGTAGATCAAATATGAAAAGCCATATTACGGTTAATAGTAGTGCTGAAGATGGAATATTTTCAGATTTGAAATTTAATGATAATAAAGAAGAAAGCTCAATTATTTCGGACAATATAAGCACGAAAAAGATCAAAGTATTGGCATTATACGATTTTGATGGAGTGGAAAAGACAGATCTGCCATTTAAGAAGGGTGATATTATAGAGGTTATAAAAAGAACTAAAAATCAAGAAGACTGGTGGTACGGCACAGTCAACGGAAAAGTAGGTAATTTCCCAGCCAATTACTGTTCCATCCAGAAGTAAAAAATTGAATGTGATTTCGGGGGTAACAACATCAACTATATTTTCTACGGTGATTGCATATATATCTACTTAATATTTTATCAAAAACAGTTTAGCAAAACAAATATATATTTAAATGACTTCTATTTATTAGTTAGAGAGCTAATTTGTTTTTTAAAAATGATACAACAGGTTAAGTTCCGCATCCCAGCTACAAATTATATGCAGAATTATCTAGAAACCCCAGACTTTTTAGTGCTTCTGTTATTTGTTTGTGGAGTATATCTTCGTATTGGATATTCGTTTTTAATATTGACATAAATTCTTGTAATGCATAAATATTATTACACCAGAAAACCTCTATAATGTAGCCTGAAATGGTGTTCACACTTTTTGGGTCATCTACATTTAGAAGTTGGAGGAATTTCATTGATTTTTTCACCTGTCTAATAAGTAATTCTTTAACGTAGGAATATTGCGACTTTTCTTTCATTTCTTGCCCACTATGCTCCACATCAATTTTCGTTGACATAGAAAGTTCCTGGATAGGAAGTACCTTATTTACTGGATCATAATTTGTCTTTAAAGCCTTAGTCTCTTCCATGTGTTTTGTCCTCTCTAGACTATTTTCTCTTGAAGCAGACTCCATTTTCAACTTAAGTTCGGTTATTTCTGACAAAGAGTTAGGAGTTCTTGCATGAATAATGCAACCTCCAACAAGTCTACCATTTAAAAAATTAATTATCTTCTTTTGAATATCGTCCGTCTTTATTGAAAGTATGCCTGAAAAGGTTCCTTGTGTCTGATTGTAAGTGGTAACTTTAAATTTACTAAAATGGAGTCTTTCTTGTGAACAAAGTCTCGATAAAAATTCCTTGGTACAAATAGTTCCCATTCCTGATAAGATTACAAAATATTCAGTTTTCAATTTATCCATATTATATCTACGTGGCCTTGCCTTAGTGACACTTATTTGACTATTTTTAAAAACTGAATTGTTGAGTAATTCAATAGCTTTTTGGGTGTCACTTAGTTTTTTATAGGTTAAAAATGCCCATTTACTTGAAAACTTTTCATGCCCATCTGAAGTATACACAGACTTGATAGGACCAATTTTACAAAAATGTTCTAGCAATTCTTCAGATGTAGTTTCTTTTGGAAGGTTCTTAATAAAAATTGCATTTGGATGAACCAACGGCTTCTCTTCTACAACTTTAGTGTGCGAACCATCATCGGATCCTACGGCACTCAGTTCATCTTGCAGGATAATATTTTGATCCAGATTTAGTTTAGTTTTATCAAAATCTGGGAAATTTCTTAATTCTTTATCGAAATGCAAACCACAAACGATTGTGGAACCAAAATATTCTTTATTATTATAGTCCTCAATAACTTTTGTGGCGGCTTTGTCATCAGAAAAATACACAAAACCAATGTTTTTCCTGTTATCTAATTTGCAAGATAAGATCTTACCATATGCCTTAAACGTGTCATAAAATTTTCTTGTTGTTAGTTCTTCATTACCAAGTGGAAGATTAGAGAAAAAGACGTTGGTTCCAATATTTTTTCTATACAAACTGTTTCTTAATGATGGCATAATTTTAATTTCATTTCCAAACAAAATATTGTAATTGTATTCTTCCGTGCATAAATCGACATCCTGTTGATTTTTGAAATTCAGATATCCATAACCTAAAGATTGGTTTGTTGATGTATCGTAACATATTTTTACTGACGTTAATGACTTAAATTTTCCAAATTCTTTTTTTATATCGTCTTCTGTTACGGATGGCCCAAGACCACCGATGTATAATGCTATTAACCTCGGTTTTGGAGTCGTGATTAGTTTTGACGAAACATTAGGTTTAGGTGCCAGTTTTTTTGCATACGGCGCCTTTGTTTTATTCTTGTGTTCTGAAACTAGTTTCGTTTTCCACCCTTTAGACAAATCTGTAATCTGAGTTACAACTCCTTCATTTTCTTTGTTAGTAGTAAAGACTGCTTCTCTAGACATCTCAGTTGTTATTTTTTTGTTATTAACAGTGTTAATTTGTTCGAGGGAGACATCATTCAATACAACTGACGGTTTTGGTGAGAAATGTTTCATTGTTTTAATTTATTTTTGACGAACTTTATGTTTTATATTTTATCCTTATTTTAAATTAATGAACTTGATAGATAAATATGTAAATTAAAGCTCCTAATATGAGAAAACTGAACCAAATATTATAGAGAAAGAAAATAGATAATTGTACTTTTACAAAAACATTTTTATCTTATTTGTTTAATAATTATTTTAAATTTGTGGCACTGTGCCAATTTACCTTCATCGTGTTTTTTTTCCCTCTGCGGCAATTTTTTAGTTAAAGTTAGAAAAGGGAAAAACATAATAAATGTCAAATAAAATTAGTTTGGGAAGTTTAATTTATGCTGTAATGTATTTAATGTTATATATCTGATTATTTTAGTATGTACCAGATTCATTTCTTGAAAATAAATCTAGAAAATTAGAGAACGACGAATTCTTTTTATTGAAACTACCGTTCCTTGATCTGTTTATCTTGAATGATTCAACTTGTTGCATATATGGTGAATTAGAATCTTCTGCACCGTTCCTATCATCAGCAGCGAAAGCCACTTGATCTGATTGAACTGGTGTCATATTAAATGAAAAGACCTTATTTGCAGTATTCTTTGGTGTAGAGTTATCTATACCGGATAACCTTAAGTGTGAATCATTTGCTATCATTGCATGCAATGACGTATTTGAACTGTTATTACTTCTGCTTAAAACACTAGAAGATCTCAATCGATTACTTGACACACCTAAAAATGACGAAGACCGTTGACGAGCACTCTGAGGTCTTTCGAGAGATAGCCTTTGTAATTTAGGTTCTGAACCAGTTGGGTAACTTGGTGGAAGATCATCTCCTATGATATCTGAATTAACTGCCTTTGTATAAGAGGGAACTCTACTCAACGAATTTAATTTCCAATCAGAATTAACTGAAGGAGAAGCAGGATATGTAGAATCATTATGAGAAGATGTTTGCCCTGCAACAAAATCGACAGGGGTAGGTGCTCGACTAATTTGTAATCCAATACCAGCTAGATTTACGCCACTTAAGGTTGGAACAGCAATAGGACTTTCCAATGCAAAACTATCATTAATGGGACTATCTCTGGTACTACTTCTATTAGAATTCGATCTACTACCATTTAATTGGGGAGAAGGATGTTCAAATTGGGCCATATGTAAAACATTATTTGGTAATGACCCTACTCTTGGTAAAGGATTTGATACTGATGGAACTGGACTATTACTTCTTGGCGTGACAGTACCGGAACCATTTTCATCCACAGCATAAAGCCTATCATAAACATGATTACCATAGTTTGGTGGTGTCATTAAATTTGATACAAGGAAAGGAGCAACAACATTATTCTGCAGTGTTCCTGCCTGCAGTTCAACTTCTGAATAATTTTTTGCAAATAATAAATTTCCTTGTTCATTATCACTTCCACTACTATTGGATGAAAGACTAGCAATAGATTCTCTTGTCGAGCCAATACCAGTATCTTCATGTTTAGGATTTATAGGTATAGGTTTACCAAAATTTTTAATACATCTTTCAATTGCTTCAGATGATTTACACGAGACTGCAACAAATGGTGATATAAATAATTGAATTGGTAAAGATGCACGTAATTCTGAAATATGACCGTCTGGATTAATTAAAGAAACAACAAATTTTAATTTATGACGTAATTTAATATTACTTAGAATAACAGCATCCTGTGAACATTTGGAGAGATCTGAAGGAATATTTAAAACAGTTTCAAAATTCCATCTATCTTGAAAAGTTTCATCTTCTAATGATTCTTCATCATTATTAATTAAATGTTGTTGTTTCTTCAATTTACGTAACTTAACATGACCTATTGGATCCTTTATCTTTAATCTTGTAATTACTCTATCTTCATTAAAACTACCACGATGACCTCCTGAACATTGAACGGTTTCAATTAAATAAATTTTCACTGGCCCTAATTTCAAACCTTTTAATATTGGAACAAAACTCATATCAATAGGGGTTGATGAACCAATTGCAATAGCTTTTGCAGGTATCGAAATTGAATATTCTACTTTTTTTGGCCATGAATTATCAATAGCTGTACTTTCTGATAACTCTACAGCATCAGAAGATAATGTCCGTATGACTCTTAAATGTTTTGTACATACTAAATCTGGTAGTTTGGGTCTTTCCACAGTAGCTTGTAATTTATAAACAACAGCTGCATTTTTTAAACCTTCTATACTTTCAGTCATTGAACCAGGTAAAATAGCACTGAAAGGAAACTCATAATTACCTTGCATTAAAGTACGATAACTATTATTTGATGACGATGATGAATAACCACCTAACGAAAGAATTGAACTATTTGATTTACTTCTTAATCTTTTCTTTTGCATTCCAACAATATTTGTTGAAGATTTACTATTAATTGAATTTTTGATATTATAATTATCGTAAAGATTATCAAAATATGATTCAATATTAAAATTATCCCAATTATGAGTGAAAAATAATTTTTCAAATTTAACAAATCTTTGTAGTGTTGAATTTGGATTATTAACAGTAGATGGTAAATTAAGTAAAAGTTTACCAGTTAAATAAAGTCTTAAATTTTTAATTTGAATTGGTTGTAAGACTGATAAAACTACAACACCTGATAATAATACAGATGACGCATTTTCTGGATCACCTTTAACAATCAATACATTATCTGTATTATCTGTGTTTCTTATTCTAATATCGAATAAGATAGGAGTTTTCGATGATGATTTTGATCCACTTGATAACATAACTTAAAAATGTGGAAAATGCAATGAAAAAAAATAATAGGAATAGGAATAAAAGATGAAAATGTAGATGTAATGCAAAAGGTAAAAACAAACAAACAAACAATCGGAATAATATGTTAATGAATGATAGTTAAAATGAAAATTAACCCCTTTCTTGTAATAAGTCAAAGAGAACAACGGTAGTGAAAATGTTTTCAACACATATAATTTGTAGTTAAGTAAATGATAACAAAATCAAATCAAATCAAACAATAGATGGATGGAATGTTTTGATTGAGTTTAACTTGTAATATCTGGAAAATACTCTGATTCACTGTTATAACTTTATAAACAGTTACTCAAATATGTATATATATATATATATAAAGATATGATTTGAAACTACGAATAGGAGTAATTATATTTAAGAATAACAAAATAGAGATATAAATGTATATATATAAAGCACTTATCATAATAAGTAATCGTAGATAGATATATGATGTATATCTGATTGATATTTTGTTCACTCTTTCTTTCTCGATGAAGGGATGTCCGTCCGTTCACAGTTTATCATTCAAATCGCTCTTGCAGAATTGATAATAATAAGAAAGGAGAGCAGGTGCACGATGCCCTATTTTGAACAAATACCAAATGCGGCAATTATTCGAGATGCATTCATTCCCACGGACTCTTCCACTATATTTATTCTCGATTAGCGAAACAGAATAGCTGTAGCGGCAGCAGCAGCAGCAGCAGTTAACAGGTGCTGTTCAGTGGCTCTTCGTCCCAATAAAATGGCAAGTTTTCTCTTCGTGCGAAACGCGCGCGGTGTGTTCCGTTTAATGAGTTTCTTTGTCGCGAGTCGGAAAAACAATGCGCTAATTAATTTGGTATATTTAATTCCTTGTTTGTCTGGCTAAGAAATGGCTTAGGACAGCGGCAGAAATGAGGGTAAGCTCTTTCTTTCTCCTATATGTCATTGTTACTATTTCTTCTTCTCCTTCTTTTGTACGTGGGCAAAACAGAAAAGCTGAGAGTACGTAGCTATCTCTAGTTTTCTATTCGGCGGAATTGGAAGTTGATAAGAGCAATAGTAATAATTCGATTTTGTGTATAATTCTGGGGTAATTAATTAATGGTACTCTTTAAGATCAAATTGTGTGATTATTATGAATAAACAGTTTCTCACCGTTTATGTAAACAATGTTGAGTATCATGGCACTCGTGGTCTTCTTCTCTGTGGTATATTTACTTTTGGTTAGTAGCTGATGCTAAATATATAGTGAAACATTCCCCCACTATCATTTTTTTTTATCGTAGATATGTCATTTTTCACTCAAGTGTATTCTTTGACGAAAATTGCACGGAGATAACCAGTGAAATCAGATTGTTATAACATTTTTTGTTTTTTGATTTCTTCGCCAAGTGAAAGAAAACAGGAAATAACAAATACAGTTTTTCCGGAATTAAATGATTTAATATTCTTTCCTTCATCACTTCTGTGGGAAAATTTAGTTACACAGGTCTATCTTTGAATAGTAAAAGTTCTTGATACTAAAGTTTGACAGTAAGGTGATGAAAATTAATTATTTCCTCTGAGCATCGGTTAAATTCTGTTCACTTTCAGTTCTGGCGAAATTATCTCAAAACATCTACGTGATATACAATTTTACTCGTTTCTTATTATTGTGATTTATGATTGTGTAGCATCGGCTCTTACAACAGTATCCGTCTGATCACGAATTACATTTCCTTTTTCAATACGTATATAAACATTTTAGATAGAAAGTTTTTAATTTTATTGTGGGGTAATTAAGAATAAATATTTCTTCATCATCACTGATTGTTATTTACATATCCTTGGTGTGTCGCATATTTTCATATGTGTACTTTTTTTTTTTGGTTCACTGTTCAATAAGTGAATATTGCGATAATAGAAGACAATCACCTCCACGTTCAGGATCTAGAACATAATTATATAGATATCCTTCTGTTGTAACAACACGGATTACCATCATAGTGATACTACTAGCTGTCGTAGTAGTAGTAGGTAATTGATTTGATTCAGAATTCATTTTATAACCATTTTGGAATGCACGATTACCATGAATACCTATATTCCCAGTCACTGTACCTCCACTATTATTTTTATTAGTAATATTTGATCTCTTGTCTTCAATTGAAAATAATTCAGGATAATCGGATATACTAATTTCCGTAGTACCACCAATAAATGCGGAACTACGAACATGCTTATCAACATCATCTTTTATAGGTATCTTAAGACTAGCAAAATGACGTGAAGGTTCAAGGATCGATGTAACTTTATAAGGGAAAATTTGTCCTAATGTCTTTGCTGCTCGTCTAGTTAAATTTTGTGAAGAATTTCTTATCATTCTTGCTACTGTCTTTCTTGATGCATCAACATATGGTTTTCTAACTGTGGAATCATCAATATAACCTCCGCCACAACTGTTATTTAAATTATTATTATTATCATCAGCAGCATCATCATCATCCTTAATAATATCTCCATTGACTCGATCATTTTCGACGCCTAATCCATTATTACCAATTATATTACCAAGTTTGAAAATATGAACAGTCTTACTTGATGAACAAGCTAAAAGAAATTGGTTATCTTCACTGAAACTCATAGAATATATCTTTGTACTATATGTACCTCTTCTAAATTGATAAAGTTTAAAACCTGTAGTAGCATTAAATATACGTATAATAGTACCTTTCTCTGAAGCCGTAGCCAAAAATAATCCATCGGGACTTAAAGCTAATGCAGCTATCCCATTTTGATGAGCCTCTATCACCATAGTTGGTTGCAACTCATCTAAATCAAATAATATTACATCGCCATTATTAATGGGTCGATCTGAATTATCAACATTATTACTTATATTGTTATTATTGTTGGAATTATCAAGATTAAGTTCTGCGGCCCGTCGACTATAGGATTCATTATTTTCATTATTAGTGTTCTCCTCAAAACCAATATTTTCATTATCTTCATATTCATCGATATCAACTGCGGTCTCCACATTATTGCTTACAGCATCATCACTTAACGGATCACTTAATTTACTATGTAATATGTTAATATTATTACTAGTCACATTTGGTCGTATTTCTGAATATATTGCTGTGGATGTGGATGGATAAGCCAGAACATTATTATCAAGATTTGGGGAGAGGCTAATAAGGTTCGTCTGGTTTGGCTCACGATCTATAACGTACAACAACGTCATATTATTTATATCATAAATGTATATCTGTAGATTCAATAAAACTACAACCCTAGATTTATTCATCTTAACAGAAAGAATAGAAGTCGGAAATGTTATCTCACATATTATAGAACGTTTCTTTATATTGACCAATCTTAGCTTTCTTGGAGATAAATTAGGAGAATCACCATTCCCTACCAATGCTACCAAAGATGTTGAAAAAAGCATTTCTACAATACTATAACCACCAATATCTGGTTCACTCTCTGAATAAAATTTACCAAATGGATCACAATTAAAAATATCATATCCTCTGGATGTCCCCAAGGAGATACATGCACCTGTCTGATTAAAATCGATGCAATTTACTACATCATCAATGGATTCTTTCGTATCCATTATTAATTAAATGGATTTGCTTTTGTTATCAAGAACAAAAAATTATTGGTATATTATATATATATATCGTCTTAAGGGTATATTTTCAGGTGGTTATGTCTGTCTTCGTACTGAGCGAAACCCTTCATAAATATGTGTTGATTTTGATTGCGATCTTAATCAAACACTATTAACAAATTTCTTAAATTTATCTTGTATGCGCGCGTAAGGAGATTAACTAAATATTATTTTAAGAGGAACCTGTAAACAATTAATAGATAGAAAAGGGACAGCGGACGATTCATTTTTTTTATCATATAGCATATCTGAATTTCCCATTGGTACTACAGCCTCGAGCATTCATTTTACGAATGGATAAGATGGTTCCATTTTGGTTCATAACTTGTCTTTACTATATACTAAATTATAGCACTTGATGGACATAAGTTTGAAATTTCATACATCTCTATTTTTTATAGAATCACTATCGAAAGAAAAGGTGAACTTATATAGGAATATTGTCGCTCGAGTATGTCATAGTTGTCATTTTTGCCATGAATACTCTGTTAAGGATTTCCATTACTCTCTACAAATTGGGTTTATATTTGATATTATACAAGTTGCTGTTATTACTTATTCCACGTAAGACGTCGTTTTCATTGATATTTGATTTACCGTATTGAACGTTTTTTTTAAATTTACAAGAAAAGAGGCAGCCAATTCTTATATTGAATGTATTTTTAATATAGCACATACATTATGATAATGAATAATAAAACTCAGATCTTGTTAGGCAATCTCCTATACACACCTAATTAGTCTATTAAAGAAGGTAAATAATTGGAAAATATTGTTCATACAATATAACAATTCTCTTTCTACGTATATGGCAAACTGAAAATTTGTAGCCTATTTCTTAAAATAAGCAATTTCAATGCTATCCATCCAGTATATTAGAAATCATGCCATTTACGGGGTTATTTTTTATATAAAAGAAGTCCATCTTTTTCTAATGTGTTTCTAGCGGCAGACATTTGGGAGTATGTATAGTACTGGCATTGATATTTATTAACAAACAAACTTTAAGGGTAGTAATTCTAAGATATATCAATTTGTTCTCCTTGACAATGTTGAATTCAAAACTTGTTGGATATTTGAATTATTAGAGGAATCCATTTCTTTAATATGGTACAAAATTTAATTTATTAGAAATCAACGTATAGTCGTCTGATTTCTTTAATATACAAATTGTAAATAATATACAAAATAATCAGGGAAATAAAATATT